ATATGCTCCATGCCAGGTTTTGTGATCCAACAAGTGCAACTCGAGTCGACCGAGTTGGCTGTCCGTGGAATCGAAGTCCGAATAGGGTTTCGCGATTCAGGACGGGTTTTGAGATCCAATCCAAATTTTTGGATCCACGCCGAGTTTTGATATCCACACCAGGTTTGGAGATCCAGTCCTGGTTCCGAGGGATCCAGTCGGGGTTTTGAAATCGAGCTGCTGCTCACGCGGGACGGAACCACGCTCATCTCATCTTCATGGGCTCTAAGCCAGTCGTGGAAATTCCACACTCCCATGGCGGGTGCAAGCAATTCCATAGAATGACCACTTAATATCAACACAGAGTGGTTCTAGTTCATCTCCCTGTGTCGACCGCATAGGGATAATGATGATGCTAATAATTACGGATTATGATGATTCATGTTTGGATGTTCATTATGATTATACATGTAGTGACATAGAATGGATCACTACGGCGCGTAGTGCTGGGTACAATAGAATAAGTAAATATGGGTGTAGCCGCCAGCACAGCATGTAATGCCACGCAGTGCGTCGCTAGGGTGCGTGGTGTTGGCTGCTGGCAGAGAGGGGCATGTGGGGACGCGTCACTTCGGACGGCAGGCAAAGCACGTGATGGGCTGGGGTGAAGGATGTAGGGCAAATGTGACCGAGGGGACACGGGGAGCATGGCCCAGGACCTTCTGGAGGGTTCCAGGAGGGGGCGTGGTTAAGGGCGGAGCCGGGCAGGTGGCACGTGGAGGTCGGCGCAGGACCTCCTGGAAGGTTCGAGAAGGGGGCGTGCCCGAGGGCGAAGCCAGGCCACGTTGAGGGGCATGAAAGGGAAGCCCCGAGGCTGAATCGGGGCTGTCTACAGGTGGAATGGAACCCGAGGTGCTACATCTCCATCTCCGGCGTCGTGGGTCAGACAGCATGTTGGCTGCTCTGACCCGTCATTAATGATCTCGTGTGTGAACAGTGTGTAAGATATATACCTACTATAATCACCCAGGAATGTCTGTCCTTAACGCTAGTGACGTCACTCCACATCGACCAGCCCCCCTCATTCATATTCATGAGCAGGTGACGTCCTCCAAATGGACACCCCCCCACTCCTCATTAATAATCATGAGCGGGTGACGTCACTCAATATGGAGTACTCCCCCCCTCTCACTAATAATCATGCGCAAGTGACGTCACTCCATATCGACCAGCCCCCCTCATGAATAATCATACGCAAGTGACGTCACTCCACCTGGGGGGGGGGGGCGAGGCGCCTCCTCCCCCTCCTCGGCGTCAACTTACTCACTGCAGAGGCGGAAACCTCACGTCACGTGATCTCCGTGACGCTGTTGAGACATCAAAGTAAAAGGTCGTCGTGATGAACAAGGGATTATAACCTGTAAATGAAATAAGTCTGTGTCACCACGCCCTTACAAAGTGCACACGCATTGATGCAATATCACGTCGCGCTCTGCTTTTCGCTTGCAAGTTTCAGATTTACTGCAATAAACCCGTCCCCGGACGGGTTAAAGGCGAGTTGTGCAGAATGAACTTTATTGCCTCCTAAAATAATATCTCAGAAGTGACTCACTACACATGTTTGGATAAAGATCATGATGATGATTCATGTTTGGATAAAGTTCATGATGATGATTCATGTTGGGATGTTCATCATGATGGTTCATGTTGGGATGATGTTCATTGTGATGATTCATGTTTGGATGATGTTCATTATGATGATTTATGTTGCTGCCGATGATAATCCCACTGCTTATATTTCTGCGGCTGATCATACTTCTGCTGATGATTACACCCCTGATGATGATACTTCTTCTGTTGATGATGCTGCTGGTGCTTTGATCTCTTGACTGTTCCGACTGTCATTCGTGGGAGACGCGGAGTCAGGATGTGAGGATCGCACGCGCATGTGCGGAGCCATCAGAACCCCCCCCCACCTCGCGAGCCCCTCCTCGAGCCCACCGCCCCTCCCCTCCCCCTCGACCCGTCCCCCCTCCCCGCCCATCATTACAGCCGCTCCACAGGGGGGGGGGGGTACTCCTGCTAAACATTTTCTCTCTCCTTACATCATAATCAGCCCCGTCCTCTGTAGCCCAGCAGCAGCAGCATCATCAGCGAATCTACACCACCATCATCACTGCCACTCCCAGAGACTGGCCACTACTTACCCTCCTCTCCCACCCCTTCCCCCATATCCCCCCCACCTCCCGAATTCCCACCGCACCGCTAATTACCACAATAATCATGCAATTTACTTTTCCAGAGAGGCTCCACTTAGCGGTGACAGCGCCGCTGCCGTCGCATCAGCAGCAACATATCCATCGTTGTACTGAACTTCTACGCTCCTCTCGCCGTCCCCAACTGGCACTGATCAGCGTGGTGAAGTATGGTCATATAGCCCCCCACGACCCACACTGCAGGCGCGGGGAGGCCTTCATCCAGCAGTGGGTTGACAAAAGCTCTGAAGCGTAATCTTTTCCGTGATGTTTGTCATTAATCCAGGCGTTGTTGTTGTGATGCTGCTGCTGCGTTGGCAGTGGTGTACAACCAAACAACAACAACCACTCAACGCGTTTCTCAACTACAGCGGGGGGGGGGGCTCTACAAAAAATGAAACAAACACAATAGGCGACGTTTCGGACAACGGCCCTTCTTCATAGACAGCAGAGAGATGGGCATTTTACAAAAGGTCGGGCAAAAACATGTGGCCACGTGGAACTCACCCATCACCTGCCCGCATTGACCAGCGTGGTGAAGTATGGCCAAATAACACCGGTAAGCAACACGGGGCGTGGAGATGTCTTGACTCGTCCAGCAGTGGATTGGTACTGGGTTGAATAGGGGTTGTACCGCTACGCGTTGTTGTTGTTGTCCGACGTTTCTCTAAACATCGGCCACTGTTGTCCTCTCTCTCCGTCGTCCCCCCCCTCACCCACGCTCCCGCCCTGCCCCCGGCAGTGCGCGATGATTCGTGGATCGCGACTGATCGAGGGAATCTCTCATCACGATCAGCACCATCAGCACCATCAAGAGCAGCAGCAGCACGATCAGCAGCACGATCAGCACCATCGAGAGTAGCAGCAGCAGCATCACAATCAGCAGCACGATCAGCACCATCAGCAACATTTGAACGGCAGGCTGGTGGTGCAATACAAACAGCAGTGCCTCGCAGCAAGGAGAGAGGCTGAGTCGTGCGCCTCTCTGTGTGCAGTCTATACGTTCTCTCTCTCTCTCCCCCCTTGGTCTGCCTGGGCTTCCTCCAGGACCTCTGGTTTCCAGCCAGAGCGAGAACACACCGACATGCGATGTCACCGGTGTTGGACAAAGACCTCCACAAAACTGACAAAAATCACTCAGTCGGGATCACACAGCAGCAGTAGCAGCAGCAACATCGCCCCCCCCCCCCCCCCCCCCATCCTGCGACAGCTTGGCAGGGGCCTCCTGAGAAAATGACGAGACTTAGTGAGGCTCTCCTCGCTAAGCAAGTGGAATCGTCATCATCACGGCCACTCAGCGGCTCCTCCTGCCACACGGAGCGCAGAGGAGCCGCCCACAGACTCCCCGGACCTGCACGTTCATGACCCATTGAGCTGGCGCTGTGACCTCTTGATTGAGGATCGTGACCCCATTAATCGGTCGTTGCAGCATCTAAAGGTCACCTTCATCGTCCCACCCCCCCCCCCCCCAGCTGCCGCTGGGGGGGGGGGGGGGGTCCCACTGGGCTCCACCGAATCCCTGCGCTCGAGAGAGGCGTCGTGGCGTCTAGATTGTTGTCTCGCCTCACGCCGGCCCCAGCTCAGCCCTCGTGTCCACAGGTGACTCCGAGTCGCCTGAAATAAACCCCCAGATCCCCAGAATCTCCACGGACCCCCACCAAGGTCCCCAAGACCCCAATCCCCACCTCCTGACCCCTACACCGGGATCCAAACCCCCCGCATTCCGGTCCCTGGACCCCGGTCACCGTTCCCTCGATCGATACCCTATACCCCAGATCTCCGCACCCCCGAACCCCCCCCCAGCAGAACCCCCTTAATGGGGGCTCATCCCCTCTCCCTTCTGCTCCCCGCCCCCCATCTCACAATTCTTCTCCCTGTGGCTGAGAATGGCGGCGAGCGGGGTTCCCACTCTCGCGTGCCAGAACGCCCCCCCCCCCCCTCTCGCTACTCTCTCACGACCCCCCCACCCCCTCCTCACATTCACCTCTCTCCCACCCCTCCCCCCACGTCCTCTCTCTCCTTCATGGTCGTCTCTGTCCCCCTCCCTCCCCCCGTTTCCGCTCCCTACCACTTTCCCTCTAAACTTCACCCCTCTCTCTCTCTCTCTCCCTGCACCTATCCCCTGTCAACGCCCTTCCTCTCCCAACCCTTCTCTCACCTGCTCCCCCACGCGTCTTTGTCTTCGCTCTCGTCCCCTCCCTCCCTCTCCCCCCTCTCTAAGCCCCCCACCCGCCTCTCATCCCCGGGACCCCTCGTGCACGTGAACTCCCCCCGTGCCCTCCCTCGCTCCCCTCCTGCCCCCCTCCCTCGCGACCTCCGTCTCGCTGAGCGCAAATCCGCGCAGCGCGGGAACGCGGAGGCACAACGCGCCGTGGGGACGCGCACGGCGTGAGGGGGCGAGTGACAAAGCACCTGGGTGACGTCACCCGCCCCCAGAGTGACTCAAGACGCGCGTGACCTCTAACCCCCCCCCCCCCATCTTATCAGCTCCACCCCGATAAACCGCGCCGCGCTGTGCCCCCCCCCCCAATCCCTCACCGCTCCCTGTCGGGGGGGGGTCTCAACCCCCACCCCCTTTCACCATCAACTCCCCTCCCTCCCCCTCATCCCCCACCCCCGCCCTCCATTTCATAATCCCCCAAACCCCAATCCCCTCTCGGAGTCCCAGACACTCCCCTCGCCCCACCACTCACCAGCCACACGGCCCGCCCTCCCCGTCCCATCGTAACCCCTTAGACCCTGGCGGGGACTTCACCCCCCGCCTCCCCATTCCCAACCCCCTCCCCTCATCCCTCCCTCCCCCCTCGGGGTCCCCGCCTGTTCCCGTCACGACTTCCCGACACCAGGATGCGAACCAAACAAACAAACACACAGCAGCAGCCAGACGCGACACGGCGCAGGGTCCCACGGCAGCAGACCCACGGCGACACCGCGACACAGGGACCCAGGCACCCAGGGACCCAGGCACCCAGGGACCCAGGGACCCAGGGACCCAGGCACCCAGGCACCCAGGCACCCAGGGACCCAGGCACCCAGGGACCCAGGGACCCAGGCACCCAGGCACCCACGGCGACACCGCGACACCGCGACCCAGGGACCCAGGCACCCTCGCGCAGAAAGGTGAGGTCCTAAACACACACACACAAGACAAAGATGCGCCGTGTAGCCTAACAGACTGTTGCGGCAAGTGCAGTCCACACACACACATTCATTTACACTCAACTTCACTCACTTGGAGCTGTCAGAGTGTAATGGCCAGCGCGCTGGAGCTGCGATCTCAGACGTCGCTGGATCAATTTGATCTTCTGGCGAGGCAATTGAAACAATGGGGCCAGTGTTTACTAAATCCCGAACGGCGCGCACACGACGGGGTGGGTGGCCAGCACTACGCCCGGCCGCCTTTGTCTGCCCAGTGCCGATGTTTTTCACACCGCACCAGGTACTCATTTAAGGCTGAGTCGACCTAGGGGACGGCCAGGACTGTTTCGAATTTATGTCATTGGTGTTGGGCGTGAGTACGAATCGAACACGGGTCCCCGGGTTGGCAGCGCAGTGCGCTGTCCACGACATTACCGCTCCCCACACACACGCGCGCGCACTCCCAAACCTCCACACACGGCCAATGTCATTCTCACCACCATTGCGCGCCCCGCGTCTTCCTTCAATGCCCTACACCCCAATACAGCCTGGGGCCGGCCGTGCGAGCCACTCGCCCGCTTTCATCTCGGCTGCAGCGTCGCACTCCGCGGCAGGCGAATTACTCGGTTCACCGATGTCGCTGCTGCTGCTGCTGCCACGGCTCGCGTGAGCGTTGAGCCGCGCGAGCCGCGGAGCAGCAGCGGGAGGAGGAGGTGGAGGAGGTGGAGGAGGTGGAGGTGATGGAGGAGGTGGAGGAGGTGGAGGCGCACCGAGCCTGGGGCAGCCGCTCCGCTGCATCGCGGCTCCTGCTTCTGTCGCCCTCTGTTCGAGGACGGCCACAATTGGGAAATGTTCGTTGGGAGCATTTTTTTCCTTTCTCCCAGCTGTGGTGTTTGTTCGCATTGTAAGACGCACCGGGAAGTAAGACGCACCCCCCCCCCCCCCCCCCCCACAAGTTCGGCTTCAGAATGAACTGCGAGGGGCAATAGAGAGTGAGAGAGAAAGAGATTTTGTCGGATAAGAAGAGCACCGCCTATCACACTGCAGCTCCCCACGAGTGGATGCGCGCGTGGTGTAACAAGTCCGGAGAGTTGCACAAACGTCGGCCTGCGCCCCCTCCCCACCCCCGAGTGGGGGGGGGGGGACGCATGACTCTGCACGTCATCGTTGCTGGCATGGGGGGGGGGGGCATGACGCGAGGGCATTGCCTGAGAGAACACCGCGTTAAGTGGAGAGTTCTACAGGGGCGCCCCCTCTCTCCCTCCCGTCTCTCATCTCCGTAACTGCTTCTCCCCCCCCCCCCTTTGTGCATCTCTCTGGTCCTGCCTGCGTGCGTGCCTGCGTGTCTGTCTGTCTCCCTTTGTCGGTGTTTGTGTGTTTATGTCTGGCTGTCTCTGTGTGTCTGTCTCGTAGGGTGCTTGTGTATCTCTGTCCCTCTGTTCTCTCTTGTTACGCAAACACACGCACACAACAAAGACAAAACTCACTCACACACACTCACACACACTCAACAACCGCCATTCGCCACTAAGTGGCGGTGACGTCACCACGACGCTTGTGCCAGGCCATGTGCACCTTGAGGCCACGTGAAGTGTCGAACAACCGCTGGCAGGAGGTCACGGGGCAGACCCAAGTGCCACGGGTCGACTGACTAAAATGACTGGCTCATGCACCACCTGTGCCCCCTCCTGTGCCAACTTGCTGTGCTTTAGCCACCCGGCGCTCCGCTCGTTGTTGTGAGCTTCGCTCCTCCGCCCTCCGTTGTTGTTGGAGGGCGACTGCCTCCAACTGCCCAGTAGCGTCCTTCACGAGCTTCCTCCATAGAGGCCGATCTTGACACCGCTGGTACCAGTCATCGGCAAGTCAACTCAGCTCCACGTCCTCCTGTACCACATCACTCCATCTCTTCTCTAGCCCATGCCGCGCCCGCTTAGCCTCCTCGATCCGGCCGAAAAAAAGCTGTTTCGGCATGCGGTGGCTGGGCATGCGGGCTACATGACCCAGCTATCGCAGCCTTGCCCGCCGGAGGAGCTCACCGATGGGACCGTGCCCAGATCTTTCAAGGATTTGTGAGCTCCTCACACAATCCAGCCTGGTTAAACCCAGGATGGATCGTAGGCAGGCCAGCCTAAATGTTTCTAACCGGCGAAGATGTTCCATTAGGGGGGTCCACGTTTCACAAGCGTAGAGAAGGGAGGGAATGACCGTGGTCGAAAAGACCTGAAGCTTAGTGCGGAGCGACAGACCAGGTAGCTTCCACACAGCGTTACGCAACCGATGAAAAGATATTGCCGCTCGACTGATTCGGAGTGAGACGTCTGCTGTTAAACTGGAGCCGGTCACTCAGACACACGCACACTCACACACACGCACACTCACACACACGCACACTCACACACACACACACTCACACACACGCACACTCACACACACTCACACACACGCACACTCACACACACGCACACACACTCACACACACGTACACTCACATACACTCACACTCACTCACACACACACTCACGCACACTCACATACACGCACATACACGCACACTCACTCACACTCACACACACTCACACACACTCACACACACGCACACTCACACACACTCACACACACTCACATACACGCACACTCACACACACTCACACACAAACGTACACGCCCCCCATCGTGACTTGCGATCCGCTCATTCATAAACAACGTCCGCAAATGACCCCACGTCTGACCCTCTGCCTCACTCCGCCTGGGTCACGCTGACCCAGGCGGAGTGCCCGCGGGCTCTGCGTGACCACGGTGCTACGGGCGCGGTGCCCGGAGGGGATCAGGCGCGGTGCCCAGAGGTGTTGGCGGCACAACCACCACCATCACCACCACCACCGCCAAATAACCTCCGAATGTCATCAGCAGAATCGCCAACTCCTGTACCCCTCCTCCTCCCCCTCGTCGCCATCGTCACCATGGAGCTCACGTGGGGCGCCTTGCTCCTCCTGCTCTTCCTGCTGCTCGTGCTGCTCGTGCTGCTGCTCAACTCGGGGGGACGCGGGGGCTCGAGGCGCCGCTCCCTGAGGGTGCCCGGACCCCGGGGGGTGCCCCTGCTGGGAAACGTCGCCGAGCTGTTCCGCACGGACCGCCACCGGCACCTGGCGAAGCTCGCGCGGCGCTACGGCCCCGTGTACAGCCTGCGGCTCGGGGCCCACGGTGATGCTGCCCGGGCGGGGGTGCTCGTCGTGGGGCTTGGGAGTGGTAGTTGGTGATGCTGGTGGTGGTGATGCTGGTGGTGGTGATGCTGGTGGTGGTGATGCTGGTGGTGGTGATGCTGGTGGTGGTGATGCTGGTGGTGGTGATGCTGGTGGTGGTGATGCTGGTGGTGGTGATGCTGGTGGTGGTGATGCTGGTGGTGGTGATGTTGGTGATGTCAGTCGACCCATGGCACCTGCTGGGTCTGCTCCGTGACCTCCTGCCAGCGGGCGTTAGACACCACGTGGCCTCAACGTGCACCTAGCCTGGCACAAGCGCCGTGGTGGCGTCACCGCCACTTAGTTGTTGTTGATGTGGGCAACGGTAGCGCAGCGGTTTAGGGCGCCCCGCTACGAACCCGGCGATCCGAGGGCCACCGACACACCAGTGACTATTGTCTGAAGTGGTTCGAGGCCTCCCCTAGGTCGAATCAGCCTCAATTGAGCGCCTAGTGCGGTGTGTAAACATCGCCACGAGGGAAACAAAGGCGGCCCCGGCGTGGTGATGGCCACCCACCTCCTTCGTGTGCCGTTCCGCCCTTCGTAGGTGCTCGCTGACAGACCTCGCCAACAGGCCCTACGGGAGACCTTTGTCTTTGATGCAGGGAGCGGTGGCGTAGTGGTTAGCGCGCTCCGCTATGAACCCGGCAATCCGAGTTCAATTCCCGCTCACGGCCACTAACACCAGTGACGGCTATCTGAATTGATCCTAGGCCCCCCCTAGGTCTATTCAGCCTTAAATCAGTACAATACCTGGTGCGGTGTGTAATCATCGCCACTGGGGAGACAAAGGCGGCCGGGCGTGGTGCTGACCATCCACCTCCTCGTGTTCCGTGCCGGCCATAAAAGGCGGTACTCCCGAACAGCACTTGTCCCAAAAGTGTGTGGAGGCTATACGGGGGATCTTTGTCTGTGTTACGCGAGTAGAGATGGTGGTGCTCAACTCGGCCGAGGTGCTGCGCGAAGCTCTCATCAAGAAGAGCGCCGACTTCGCGGGCCGGCCCCAGACGTACACGGGTACTCAATGCATCAATCAAATATCTCCCACGCCTCACATCGACACCCGGAACCCGCCTGAACTCCGCTGACTCCCCCCCCTCACCCCCAGCCCGCCCGCGCCCTTTGATTGCGCAACATCCCTCTCGGACCCTGCTCTACGAGTTCTCTCGCATGTCCGTGTCTTTATGTTGCCGTTGCTGTGCTCACGCATCGCCACGGATCTCCCGTGAAGAAATAACCGGGCGGCTGGCTGCAGCGGCATGACCGTCATCGTCCGCCTCACAAATAAAATCAACGCGACACTCAAACTCACGCGTGTGTCATCTCGTACGGATGGTTTAGCGACCAACGCGAGATTATTCACAATTGGTTTCTGTTTGGGTCAAACATGTGCGGGTGCGATGGCAACCATTCGTGCCGTGCGCCCTCCACCACCCGACGCAGCCGAACGAATCGAGCCGTCACGTGGGCAAATACGCCCGATTCATGTTTTTTTTCTCAGCAAAACCGGTTACGTTGAAAAAAAATCGCGCAAAATTTGATGATTATAACCGTGCACGTAATGGTCAGAAATGCCCATGCACGCTTCTGTAGCGATACACACAACCATTGCATGAATGTTTGTGATTCATTGCTGGCAAACATCTCACAACAAACCCCCAGCGTGTCAGCAGCAGGGCCCACGACTCAGTGTGGTCATAGTGCGCTCCACTCAAGCCGACATCGTCTGTCCTATCCTTGGTCTTCTTTCTGACCCCCTACCGCTCCCCAAGGCTGCGCCATCTCGTTCGGGGGCCGCGACCTCTCCCTGGGGGACTTCACCCCCGCGTGGCGCCTGCAGAGCCGCATGGCGCGCGCGGGGCTCCGGGATCGCAGCGCGGACACCACCCACGCGGTCATCGCGGGCGAGGGGGCCTGCCTGTGTCACGTGAGCGGGGAGGGGGGCAAGGAGAAGATGGGGGGGGGGGCTGATGGCGCTGGGAGAATAGGGGGGGGGGGGCAGCGATTCCTCGAACTCCAGCCCCTCGCTGACCCCATCCCCCCTCCCCCCGCCTGCCCACGTTTAACCATTTCCCATGTCGTGCGTGAATTTGTGACACGCTACGCGTGCCAGATGATTGCTAAACACGTTGCACTTGCATTGCATCGCTAAATTATACCGCACAGCTTCCCTCGCGTGTGTGCGTGTGTCACACGTGGCGTCGCGCAGCGATGATTATCTCAACTTAATTAGACCCCCCCCCCCGTCAGGTACTCCGAGGTCACGGGGGCCGCCCCGTGGACCCCATGCCAATCCTGTCGGTGCACACGAGCAACATCGTGTGCGCACTCAGCTTCGGCGTCAGGGTACGGTCCCGCACCCCACCCGCGCCCCCCTCTGTCGCTCCCCGCCACCCACCGCTCCGTACCCGTGATTAGATGGCTTCATGTGACACCGGTAAATGCGGATATACGAAGCATTTGTTTGTGATATTTTGACTAAAAGCAAACATGTAACATATTAAACATAGCAACAAATGTCATGCAATAGCCTCTCATCTCACTCTACTCCCCTCCACTCTCCTGCCTCTCCCCTCTCATCTCTCATCTCACTCCACTCCCCTCCACTCACTCTCCTGCCTCTCCCCTCTCATCTCACTCTACTCCCCTCCACGCACTCTCCTACCTCTCCCCTCTCATCTCACTCTACTCCCCTCCACGCACTCTCCTACCTCTCCCCTCTCATCTCATTCTACTCCCCGCCACGCACTCTCCTACCTCTCCCCTCTCATCTCACTCTACTCCCCTCCACGCACTCTCCTACCCCTCCCCTCTCATCTCACTCCACTCCCCTCCACGCACTCTCCGCTCCAGCAAGCTAGCCTCTCTGCGCCAGCCCCGAGTTAACCTTCACTTAGTGGCAGGTCGCTCCTTCTCCTTTGTCGGGAACTTCCTTCCCCGAGTCACCCGTGCTGTCGACTGTTCAAGTCCAAGCTCACGACCCACCCTTCATCCTCTTCCTTGCCTCTGTGACTGACTGCCTATGACAGACGGCACGTGAGGCGTTCTTGAATCCGTCTGTGCGGAGTTGTGTACGTGTGGTGGTGGGGCGTTCTCTGCGTGTCAGTACGCAGAGCAGGACCCCGAGTTCCGCAAACTCCGCGAGAGTCTGGACGAATTGGTGCACCTCTGGGGCTCCTCCACCATCATGGCGCGCGACCACCTGCCCTGGCTCCGGGTGCGAACCGGAACGACGGACAACGCGGGACTCACAAACCAGTACCGGACTGACGTAGAACAGGGACCCACGACTAACGAAGGACTTGAAACTACAGCAGGAATAGCCTAGACCATAACCCGGCCCAGGAATAATACAGAACCAGGATCACGCAGCAGGTCCACAACCACGACTTGTATACAAACTCAGAACCAGGACTCACATGGGACTACATACAAAACCAAGACTAACACTGGACCAGACCCATGACTAACATCCATCATCACCTCGTGTGATGTCTGACTATGCGTGCTGAGATTATTTCGCATCGTATGTAGCCAACCGTGCGAATCGGGACCAGCACGAACTCGACCCGACGCCATGACTCAAGTCAGAACCAGATCCAGGAGGAACTCAGACAGAGAAGCGAACCATTACTCACCCAGACACAAAAACAACAACAGTCAACACATGCATCAATAACGCTTCGTGGTCTTAAAAGGAAAACTATTTAAATGTTTAATAGGCGACGTTTCGGGCGATGGCCCTTCTTCTTCGATACACAGAGACGGCAGAGATATGGAGCGGATAATAGGAGTCGGAGGCTGCGATTTGCACCGTGGGAGGTGACGAGAAAACATCGTGATGATCACGCGAACCGCATAGACCTCCAGAGACACTCACCACGATGGGTCCAGCCACTCACCCTACTCACCGCCCTCCCCCACCCCTCTCTCGTGTAGAAGTTCCCCAGCGCCACGTGGACTCGCTTCCTCGAGGCCGTAGAGAGACGCGATCACGTGGTGCGCGGGCACCTCGAGGCGCACAAGGTTTGAAAGCAAATATCGCTCACCATCACACTCACGTCATCACGCTCATCAATACACCATCACACTCATAAATACACCATCATACTCACGCCATCACGCTCATCAATACACCATCATACGCCATCACGCTCATCAATACACCATCACACTCACGTCATCACGCTCATCAATACACCATCACACTCACGCCATCACGCTCATCAATACACCATCATACTCACGTCATCACGCTCATCAATACACCATCACACTCATCAATACACCATCACACTCACGCCATCACGCTCATCAATACACCATCACACTCATCAATACACCATCATACTCACGCCATCACGCTCATCAATACACCATCATACTCACGCCATCACGCTCATCAATACACCATCATACGCCATCACGCTCATCAATACACCATCACACTCACGCCATCACGCTCATCAATACACCATCACACTCACGCCATCACGCTCATCAATACACCATCACACTCACGCCATCACGCTCATCAATACACCATCACACTCACGCCATCACGCTCATCAATACACCATTACACTCACGCCATCACGCTCATCAATACACCATCATACGCCATCACGCTCATCAATACACCATCACACTCACGCCATCACGCTCATCAATACACCATCACACTATCACGCTCATCAATACACCATCACACTCACGCCATCACGCTCATCAATACACCATAATACTCATCATCATATTCACTCACGTCACCACCCTTACATACATGCCATCTCCGCACTCTGCCCCCCCCCACGCTCCGCACTGCTCCCCACGCGCACCGCTCATGCCCCCCCCCCCCCGCAACGCTCATGCGCCCCCCCCCCAACAGAAGGGAGGCGCGCGCGCCGGGACTGAGGACATCACCACCTCCATGCTGAGGTTCCTGAAGCAAGAAGGCAGAGGGGAGGGGGCGGGGGAGCCGGGGGGCGGGGAGGAGAGGGGGGAAGAGGAGGACGAGGAGGGGGAGGTGGAGCGGAAGGAGGTGGCGGGGGACAACGAGGAGGAGGAGGCGGAGCAGGTGGAGCACGGCTCGCTCACAGAGCAGCACCTGCACATGGTGCTTGTGGACCTGCTGGTCGGAGGCTCTGAAACGACGGCGATCACGCTGGTCTGGGCGATCGCGTTCCTCATGCACGACCCTCAGGTGACGGTGATAACCATCAGCAACAGTCGCGGTTGCATCAGCAGTGTCACCACCACCACCACTATCATCATGATGCACCTAGCTGGAACCGCATTAGCATCGTGATCGTTCTCTGAATCATCATCAATGACTTGATGAACATCATCATCGTAACAGCAGCAGCAGCATTAGCGGCAGTGTCAGCGCCACCATCATCATCATCGCTACCATTGGAATCCTCATTATCAGCCACGCCATCGTCACAATCTTTGTCGTTGTCAACACTTGTCACCAAAGACAAAGATCCCCCGTGTAAACTGAAACAGACAGTCGGGGCAAGTGCTGAAGTCCGGCAGGGCACACGAGGCCGTGGGTGGCTAACATCACGGCCGGCCGCCTTTGTCTCCCAGGTGATGATGTTTGAATAACGCCTCAGGCACCCATTTGAGGCTGAGTCGACTTACGGGAATCCCAAGGCAGGTTCCGATAATCGTCACTGGTGTTGGCTGTGAGCCGAGGGAATCTAAATCGGATCGCCGGGTCCGAAGCGCACTGCGCTAACTACCGCGCCACCGCTCCCCCCGGCACCCCCCACCGCAGCTGCAGGAGCGCCTGCACGCCGAGCTGCTGCGCGCCGTGGGCCGGGCGCGTGCCCCGCTCTACGCTGACCGCTTCGCGACGCCGCTGCTGCGCGCGACCATCAACGAGGTTCTGCGCACACGGCCCGTGGCGCCACTCGGCATCCCGCACCTCACCACGCGTGACACCAGGTGACTCACCACGCACCTCACCACGCACCTCACTACGCACCTCACCACGCGTGACACCAGGTGACTCACCACGCACCTCACCACGCACCTCACCACGCGTGACACCAGGTGACTCACCACGCGACTCACCACGCACATTACCACGCACCTTACCACGCACCTCACCACGCGTGACACCAGGTGACTCACCACGCACCTCACCACGTGTGACACCAGGTGACTCACCACGCACCTCACCACGCGTGACACCAGGTGACTCACCACGCACCTCAGCACGCCCCTCACCACGTGTAACACCAGGTGACTCACCACGCACCTCACCACGCCCCTCACCACGCGTGACACCAGGTGACTCACCACGCACCTTACCACGCACCTCACTACGCCCCTCACCACGCACCTCACCACGCGTGACACCAGGTGACTCACCACGGACCTCACCACGCACCTCACTACGCCCCTCACCACGCACCTCACCACGCGTGACACCAGGTGACTCACCACGCACCTCACCACGCACCTCACTACGCCCCTCACCACGCACCTCACCACGCGTGACACCAGGTGACTCACCACGCACCTCACCACGCACCTCACTACGCCGCTCACCACGCACCTCACCACGCGTGACACCAGGTGACTCACCACGCACCTCACCACGCACCTCACTACGCCCCTCACCACGCACCTCACCACGCGTGACACCAGGTGACTCACCACGCACCTCACCACGCACCTCACTACGCCCCTCACCACGCACCTCACCACGCGTGACACCAGGTGACTCACCACGCACCTCACCACGCACCTCACTACGCCCCTCACCACGCACCTCACCACGCGTGACACCAGGTGACTCACCACGCACCTCACCACGTGTGACACCAGGTGACTCACCACGCACCTCACCACGCGTGACACCAGGTGACTCACCACGCACCTCACCACGCACCTCACCACGCGTGACACCAGGTGACTCACCACGCGACTCACCACGCACTTTACCACGCACCTTACCACGCACCTCACCACGCGTGACACCAGGTGACTCACCACGCACCAAACCACGCGTCACACCAGGTGACTCATCACGCGCCTTACCACGCACCACGCGCGACTGCAGGTACCACCCCGCGCACCACGTGACTCGCGAACATCACTGCCGTGCTGTGTTGCAAAACAACACTCTCAGGGATCGATGGGGGGGCAGGGGAATGCGGTGGGGCTCACGACAGTGACCTTGATCTGGACCGCTTGACTTTGACCTCCGTGCAGTGTCGGGGGGTACCAGCTGCCGCGGGGCACCACGGTCATCCCAAACCTGTGGGCCGCGCAGCACGACCCGGACAAATGGAGCAACCCCGAGCGCTTCCAGCCAGGTGAGGCGAGGCCACGCCCAGCCCCCACGTGACCACGCCCCCTCCACACCAGGTTGCGCCTGTCGAGTAAACCACGCCCCCTGTCACGCCAGGTCGCGCCTGTCAAGAGTAAACCACGCCCCCTGTTACGCCAGGTCACGCCCCTCCCCTCACATCCCAACCTCCCCACTCACCCAGACCTGCCGACGAGAATTCCTTCCCCCCGCGACGTTTAGACGTCGCCTCAGCTGGAGACGACGATGTTCCACTCACCTCACCTGGAGACGACGATGTTCCACTCACCTCACCTGGAGACGACGATGTTCCACTCACCTCACCTGGAGACGACGATGTTCCACTCACCTCACCTGGAGACGACGATGTTCCACTCACCTCACCTGGAGACGACGATGTTCCACTCACCTCACCTGGAGACGACGATGTTCCCCGAGGAGAGGGAGCGATGCAAGCAGCTCGTCAAAAAGGGGTGGGAGGGAGGAGGGGCTGCAGACAATCTCAGCAGATTTTCCAAACACCAGGCCATGGTATGGGTGGTGTGGGGAGAGTAGATTGGTGGAGTGGTTAGAGGAGTGGTTGGCTGAGTCGTTCAGTGATTGAGTGGTTGGTTGAGTAGTCGACTCTGCAGATGGGTTTCTCTCCCTCCATTCTCCCCTCTCTCTCCATTCACCCATCTCATCCTCTACCCTCCTACTCCACTCCTCTCCTTTCTCCTCCCGCATTCTCCCTCCTCACGTCCCTCTTCCCAGGAACGCTCCCTTCTCTTCCTCCTCTCTTCTTCCTCAACTTGTCTCCTACCCCGCATCCCCACTCCTCTCTCCCCCTGCCATCTCCGCCCCCCCCCCCATCTACCCATCCATTCTCCCACCCTCCCTCCTCCAACCTTCTCTCTCCTTTTGTCACCTTCTACTCCACCTCCTCACTCTGCCCACCAACCTCTCCCTCCTCTTCCCCACCCCCGTCTCCCAACAGAGCGTCACCTCCACCGTGACCCGTCCGCCGAGCGCCGCCCCGTGGGGAGCCTCCTTCCGTTTGGCGCGGGCCCCCGGGCCTGTCTGGGGGCCTCCCTGGCGCGAGCCGAACTCTACATCCTGCTCGCGCTGCTCATCCGTGACTTCCGCTTTGAGGCCGAGGGGGGCCCGGGGGGGGACCTGCCGGACCTGGACGGGGAGCTCACCGTCATCCTCAAGCCCAAGCCCTTCCACATGCGCTTCCTCGAGAGGCCGTGAAGGCGCCGAGAAGAAGGGGTTAGTGTTGGTGGATCCCGCGGAGATGGCAGGGGACGTGCTCGTTTCGTTGAAAGTAAGGGTTAGGATTTTCAGTAACCTCCTGTTCATAAAGTATTAAAGCTTTCGTGACTGCATAAAATTGCTCATTGGTTTTTTCGGTAAAGTTACGTATGTAGAAATACAATAAAATTATATTAAAACAAAAAACAATCACGCCGTTTCGATCACAACGCAAGCGATCTTCTGAAATTCGTGGTCCGCCAGGAAGTGTCTAACTGTGTTGTTGGCCTGACTGGATGTGCTTCACATAATGTTTTTTCAGGTTTGTTGAATTCTCGTCTCTCATCTTTTTGTTGTATTTCCCTCCGTGATTTGTTCTTGACACCTGATGAAGATCGCTTGCGTTGTGATCGAAACGTCGTGATTGTTTTTTTAAAATAGAATTTTATTGTATTTCTACATACGTGACTTTACCGAAAAAACCAATGAGTAACCTCCTGTTCAACCCATGAAACCTGGGTCTGTCCCATGACCTCTTGTACGTGAGCCTTCGACACTTCACGTGGCCTCAAAGTACACCTAGCCTCGCACAGGCACCGTGGTGAGATCACCATCACTTAGTGGCGAATGGCGGGTATTGGAATAAGTTCGGATTGCAACACATTTCCCAGTCAGGACCAGCTCTATTCTCACAGTATCCTGCAATAAAGTTCACCTTGACGTGTCTGACATCACACGCTCAGCTCGACCATCACAATGCACATCTGCAATCCAGCACCGACCTACAAATGGGCATTCGTCTGCCAGTAGATTGGCGATGTTACGATTTGGTTTCTTTCCCAATTAAGCAATTTATGGGCCACGTTTTCGAATGAGAAGTGTCTGTAATGGAGATTATTGGTGGAAGGAGGCAGTACATCAAGTATGTTGATAACAGCTTACTTGTGAAGCTATAGGGTTGTGTGTTGTTCCCTTCTGTGCTGAGATTTCCCCTGGCAATGACGCTGTGATCATAAGAGGGTCCTTGCCTATAAACCTCTGGTGCTTCAGCAGCATTGATCCAAGCGAGACCGACTGCTGCTGAGACACTGGATTTGGAGCCCGGTCCAGAGTTTTGCTCGTTATAAACCAATGCTGCTGCATTCATGCACTCCGGGGAGGCTGTAGAGAGCTGATGAGATGTGTAAAACATAATTTGAGCTTGTGAAGGGACAGATATGGGATGGAGGGAGATTGCTAATTTAAGAGGCATTAGTCAAACACATTATGCAAGAACCCATTGAAAATGAGCGTCATGAGAATGGTGACGACGATAAGGCAGATGATTGAGACTCGTGTTTTGAATAAACTGCAGAGTTCAGACTCAACGGCTCGAAACGCCAAAGTGGCCAGCAAAAAACATCACTAGTGAAGGTATAATAGTTAAGTGTTCATTGGAGACAGATTGATAGCAATTACAGTAATGATGAGACAGGTGATTGCGACGATGATTATGATGAATGATGATGAGACAGATGCCGATGAAGACGATGGTGACGACGATTGAGGATGATGGCGATGGTAATTTTTACTGGTAGGAACGAAGTTGTAAACTGAGTGTACCAGCCTGCAATAGATTAATGTGTCCGTCCGTCCGTCCCCTTTCAATACTTTAACGAAGTGAAATCTCGTGCTGTTGGGTGTAAAATCAGCAATAGACAGCGCAGAGACTTGTCCTACCAGCCCACCCTGCAGGGACCTGTTATAACGCCTTAGCTCACGAAGTTTTACATCGTTTAGAAGCGGTAACAAAAACTGAGTGATTTCGATGGCAAGGGCAGTGCAAGGGCCGAGAAATGAATGACCGTAACAGAGGACGGAGTGGAGGGGCGAGGGGAGAGGAAGGTAATGGCCGATGGAGAAGAGCTGAGGCTTTTCGAGAGGAACGGAAGGAGGTTAAAAAGGGGACCTGAACAATGTACAGGGTCATTTTATTCCAGTGGAGGGTTGCAAGGAGGGAGAAATATTGGAAACGAGATGGGGCACAGGGAGAAGCAGGGACAGATGGAGAGATGATCATATTTACGAGGGATGTTTCGGCCAATGGATTTGTTCATAGCACAGAGGTAGAGTGGCCATTGCTGGGACTGTTGCCTGTTACATACATATTTCATTTGAGGGGCACTTATCGATGAATTTGTTCGTTTTATTATTTGCGCTTATATACCGCTGCAACCGCAGTATCATTTAAAAAAAAGCATTAACGTGTAGATAGAATGACGCAGATGGCGATGATGACAGCTGATGTAGAAAACGTGTCACGTGATTTCCCACAATGCACTGTATAGCGATTCGTTTGTTATGGAATTGACTAACACTCGAGTCTGTTAATCACATTTTATTAAGCATTCATCTTTTAAGTGTTTCACCACACGTTTTAAACGTTAAATAAATATTTCTCGAGACTTATACATTTGTAAAGTCACCACGGTTTCAAGAGACCCCGGTAATTTCATGACGAATTATGTTGTCACTGTTTGTATCCATACAAAACTCGCTTCTCCTGTTCTTAAGGTTGCGGAGTAAAAAGTTAACGACTTAAGAAACAAAACCGGACCCTCTCCCATCTCACCTTGATCTACAAACCCTTGATTCACCCAGTCTTCCTATCCCCCGTTGATCCATCAACCATTCCCATCCCACCATTAATGACTTACCCCCACGCCTCCCATCCTTCGCCGATATCCCAACCCCTCTCGACCTTACCTGATCCTCTAATGCTTCCTCTCCATCTCATCGTCATTCAGACACACCTCCCATCCCACCCTGGCCCACCACCCACTCTCATCCTTCCTTGATCAATTCATCCCTCTCCCATCCCACTATCAACCACCAACCCTTACCAGCCCTCTTTGATCCACCAACCCCTTCCATGCCACCATCATCCCACAACATTTCCCATCCTTCTTTGATCTAATAACTCCTTCCATCTCATGGTGATCCACTCAACCTTCTCCCATCCCATACTCATCCACCAACCTCTTCCCCTTCCTGCCCACTATTCCTTCCGATTCCATATAATCATAATGAACAAACTCCTCCAGTTATATTATGATATACCAACTCGCCTACCCTACACTGATTCACTCATCTAATATAATTTTGATTCACGCTTCTCCCATGTCTAATCCACCAACCCCTCCCATACCACTTTCATCCACACCAACCCGTACCATGTGTCTTTGATACACAAACCATTCCCGTCATTCTCTGGTCCAATAACTCTGCCTGTCTCACCCTGATCCACTCACCCTCCTCCGCTCCGATACTAATCCATCAACCATTCCATCACTCCCTGATCCACCCACCCCTCCCCATGCCGGGCGCGAACTCCTAACCCGTGCGTCACGAACCGGCTGATATAAATGTACAAAGAGCAGTAGTGCGTGCGAAGTAAGGGACTTGGCAACACTCGAACCTGGCACGACACGCGGGGGCTCACAGACCAAACGAGGAAAAACAATTACAACACAACCCACCCTTCCCCCATACACCACACACACCTAAACCTCCCACTCATAAATTAATAAAATATACATTCCACGTTTATCCCCTCAAGTTCCCGTTTAATGTTTTGTATTCAGATGTTTAGTCCAAATGTTTCGCAAATTTGTTTCATACGAAATGGAACAAAAGTTGAAAAGTGCGCAAAGCAGCATGGAGAGACGCATGCAGAAACAGGAAGTGGAGCACGTGGATTAGAGAACACACGCGGGCTAGAGATACCATCATCGTCATCACATTGATCTTCATCCAGCAGTGGATATACCATGATGATGATAAGTTAGAGAAATCAGAATGACTGGCAAAAGTGGGTTGGCTTGGGCAGGACGCGTCATGGCGAGGAGGGTTGGTGGCCGTGGTCGAGACTCACAGTGGAGTGGCAAACAAAGAGCGTGTCTGCCATGGAGATGGAGATTGTTGCATGGCGAGACCATGAGGGATGGCGATGATGTGGGGAGGCCTTCATCCAGCAGTGAATAGACGGCTGATCATGATGATATGTAAATTATATGCTGTTAGTAAACGGTTATTAGAGCAAGAAAAACAACAAACGAGATAAAAGACCAATTTTTGAATCGAATGCAGGCAATTCAAATCATCGGTGGGGAGGATGAGGTGAGGGTGAACCTGAAGCGACCACATGTCAGCGATGCTCAATGAGAACACGTGGTCGTGAGCGGGCAACTCCTCCCTCTGCCTGCTCCGCCTACTTCCACATCGCCACGCCCACTCAGCCACTAGCACCACGCGCAGGGAGCGGCCTCCGACCGTCCACTGCCCAGGTAGCCTCGCCCAGTGCCCGCATCACGAGGGCAGATTCTTAAAAAACAGAAACAAAATCCTGACTTTCACAAAAAAACTTCACTGGGATGGGGGGGGGGACACCGTTACAGACTTTCTGTGACCACCGGGGACTATTTGGTAGCTTTGCGTGAACCCTTTCCATGAGATCGCGAGGTCCCATCCGGGTAGAGACGGGATGATAAAGCTCGCGCCGAATGTGTGACACTTGAGGACTCGGCGAACTTACAATGGCATCTACACGAAGAGGGATCGTCGTCCCCCCCCCCCCCCCCCCCCCCCCCCAGTGAAAGTGACATCTTAAGAGACGTATTAGGAGGAACTTCATCGAACCATTAAGGTCACGATAAGAGCGGCGACAGTGAACTTGAGGTGCTAGTTCAAAACGTGCAACTTAACGTGAGCTCACGCACTCAGATTCCACTTCGCCTAAACAAATGAGACGTTTTTGGTTTCTGTCGCTTACTTTACTCAGAATACTTGGCAACACGGACTTTGGGCGTCAATGGTCGCTCACCTAGTTAAACAACGGTAGCTATTGCACGCTAATTTGACGCACCATCGCCACTAATCTACCATCACCAACATGACCACGAACACCTTCCTGCAGCACCATCGAGCATTGAATGCCCTATCTAGGAAATGCCCTCTCCTGTAGCAAGCATGCCCATCTACCAGATACACCCTTCCACGAGGCGGCCATGCCCTACCACTAGACATGCCCTAACACAAAACATTCCCTGCCACCAGACATGGCCTTTCAAGTTTTTTTGTCAAACATGCCCTCCCGCTGCACAATACTCGACCACTAGATACTTCATTCTACCTGACATGCCTCCCATGAGGCAGACAGACATGCCCTCCCATGGGGCAGACAGACATGCCCTCCCATGGGGCAGGTAGACATGCCCTCCCATGGGGCAGGTAGACATGCCATCCCATGGGGCAGGTAGACATGCCCTCCCATGGGGCAGCCATGCCCTCCCATGAGACAGACAGACATGCCCTCCCATGGGGCAGGTAGACATGCCCTACCATGAGACAGACAGACATGCCCTCCCATGGGGCAGACATGCCATCCCATGGGGCAGGTAGACATGCCCTACCATGAGACAGACAGACATGCCCTCCCATGGGGCAGCCATGCCCTCCCATGAAGCAGACAGACATGCCCTCCCATGGGGCAGGTAGACATGCCCTCCCATGAGACAGACAGACATGCCCTCCCCTACTGGGCCCTGTACCACGTCTCATCGCCACTGCTGGCCTGCGTCTGCTGCGCATTTGGCCCCATCGCACCTTGGCACAGAATGCAGCATCAGGATCAAACTTTTCCCCTCACGTGCCCACACGCACAGACTCACATTGCACGGGGGTCGGGTCAAGGGTTAAGGTCAGTGCACGAATCATGGATAGGAGCAAGAGCTAGGGTTAGGGGTTTGAGATTAGGATTCACAGGGCATGAGTTCGGGTGCGGAGGTTACATTTAGGGATATATTTAAGGCTCGGGTCAGGGACAAGGCATGCGCTAGGAATAGGGTTATGGGGGTTTGAGAGGAAGGGGCCAGGCATACGTTAAGGATTAGGGCTAGGGGTTAGAGGTGAGGTTACAGGTCACATTGGGGACAGATCTAGGGTTAATGCATGAGTTAGGTTATGTCTAGGATTAGGTCAAGGCATACGTTAGGGTTCAGGGGATGAGGTTATGAGATACGGCTACAGCAAAGGTAAGATTTACGGCTAGAGTTAGGTGGGACATCTGTGAAAAAGAGCTTCAGACCTCATCAGATTCCTCTGGTATAATCAAAGATTTTAATTCTCAGTTACACTTTTGGCTAAGATTTGGGCCAGACTTGATAGGCTGTAGGCGAGGGTTAGGGCTGGGTCTTGGAATGGATTGGGTAATGGCGAAGGTTCGGAGAAGATATGAGGGTTAGGGCTCGCTTAATAATTTAACAAGGCAGCAGACATCTGTCGACAAACTTGTCGAAAATACCCCAACAACACCATGCCCCCATCCCAAGTTCCCGGTCCGTTGGTATCGCCCGACATTGCAGACAAGCCAGGTTTAGTTTGGGCGATACCAACGGCATGCTAGGGGTGCTGTAACAAGCATAAACACTGTTCGTTCTTGCAGTGCAAATATAATTTCTACCGCAGTTGGTACGAGTCCATAGAACCTCACGGGTGTACACAGGAATGAATGTTGTCACTGAATATTTTCAGGGTCGTGGTTCGACTTAGGAGTAAGGCGTAACGAACAGGGGAGTCGAGACTCGACTCAACGATTCTACCATTTGTAAACACTCATGTTGTGGGAGGAGAGCAGTGACTGTAAAGGGAGTCACGCGGATCCTAAGAAGCACCGCATTACCCTATCGGAAATACTGGAATCGATCATTCCTTACTCGCCGTGATCGGGGCCATCCATTGAGCGCGAACGCGTGGAGGGGGGATGGGGGGTAACCCAAATGCGTCCGCTTACGTATGGGGGTCTACTGACAGTGTACGCATAGGAAACGGGGGGGGGAGGTGAAGCCTCGACAATAATTTGTCTACATTGGCCTTCAAATTAGTTAGTCCGGCGGTGGACTTTCTGTTTGCGTACAGGGAGGGTAGGGGGTGAAGTTTCGACCGATTTTTGGGTATAAAATGAATGGCCCTTAGGAGAACTGCTGGATAGCCGTTACATCCTGAACCCCTCCCCCAATACTGTGTTAAGTGCCGACGAGACGCTGACTTACTAAGAACGCGGCGCTCATTAGTCTTAATCTCCCCGCGCAACTCGTCTCAGTGCAACTCCCGTAATACCGGATCCAGACATTACACACGGGAAGGAGTTAACATCCCCCGACCAGAGCGGCTGCGTCGCATGCAGGCGGAAAGATGGAGAGGGGGGGGTGACGGTTAATTTGGCGGGAAAATAAAACTACATGAAGCGAAAACATACCCCCTTAAAACCTTTTTACACGAAATACCAGTCACTTCTGAGGGAATATGTTGGATACCGGGGTCAAACGAAGCTTTCCGTACCTCAACAAGCGTTATTGGTAAAAACATCCGGCCAATTTAGGGTTCAGGTTTCCGATTTTAAAGCAGGCTTATGTTAAGGGGGCCGGATTAAAGGCGCTAATTAATTACCCCCCCCCCCGCCACTCTTTACACGGTGTGGTGAGGTGGGGGTGAGGCAATGTCTCCTCACCTCACTTTTGCCTCAGCCACCGGTACTAACACACACACTTACAAAACCAGCCACTTACACACACACGCGCAACAGCGGCATTATCACAAATTTGGTCCACATATTTTGCACAAAATGGTGTTGGGGGGCAGGCGAGGGAATCGGTTTCCATGGAGATGCCCCGGTAAAAGGGGTTTTGGTTGGGTCACCCCCATTTCATTCCACATGGGCCCCCCCACTTTAGTCCGCCTTGGGTCCCCCGGCCATCACCAGGCCCCCTCAACTAGGCCCTCCAACCCCCCACCGCTTTACAGCCGATCCCTGGTTCATCTGGCCGGACCCCACAATAATTCCTCTATGTGATCTTGCCAGGAGGTCAAACTATCCCGCTTGGAATGTCCCAGCTCCAGGCAGGCCCGGACTACAAGTGTTGATTAGCCCCGGTAGCGCAAGTAGGGTAGCCACCTATCCTCGCATTCCCAGGATTGTCCCCGTGTTGAGGAGGCAGTTGCTATCCAGGGGAATCTCCAAACCTTCCCGGGACATTTAAAAGCCCAGTTTGTTGTCAGTAGCGTAATAATAACAACACACCACTGTAGACAATGCATTTACATGTAGTTCCCCCCTCTTCTGCTCAAGTAAGACATTCTTCCCATGATATGTCTCGGTTTTTTTTTACCTTAAAGGTGGCAGCCGACGGTGCGAGATTAGACCGGACTAAGACTGTTGAGTCTAGCCCTGATTTCTAACTCAACACACGTTTAGACTGGGCTAGCGCTGTGGGCTCGAGCTGTGGGCTATATCCATGGCCCAAATATACACTCTTGTACCTCTTTTCCACTGATGCGTCCGAGGAGAGCCAGCACGGGGCCCCTCACAGTACGGGTGGTTTTCCACTGGCTCTTTTCGGAGCCAAGCCAGAACCAAACTGTGATGCGCTGGTCTTGCAAGGCATCTGAGTCTGGCTCAGGGCCAAGCAGGGCCAGGGGCGGGGACATAGTCATTCTCGTCGTGCTTTGCGTTAGTCAGTTCGCTTGAACACAGTTTGGGTTCAGCAGTGGGATAAAACAACCTGAGCCACGCTGGGCTGGCTCGACCATAGCCCCTGCGTGGCTCGATTTGTACAGTGGAAAAGAAGTAAAGCTCAGTTGAGGCTAAACCGGGCTAGGGCTATGAATCTAGCCCTGATTCTAAGCCACCACAACACAACCCTAGACTTGGCCCTTTGGCTGCAGGCTCTACTCACGACCCTGTAACCCAGACTCTAACTTAGTTCGGCCACTCGTGTGGCCGCCGGGCGGTCCAAGGGGAGCACGTGACCACCGCCCCCCCCCCCCCAAAGCGACGTGGCCCATGGCAAGCGAGGCTTGAGGAAGATGGAGGACTGCGAGGCGGCTGCATGCTCCCTGCGAGGGGAAAATGCTTGCGAGAGAAGAAGTGTCCATCTACCATATTCTTGGTTCTTTCGGTGACTAAAAACATCGATAGCCTTGCACGCATCATACAAAAAGTGAGGGGGGGTGCCCTTTGTGGGGGTCCCCGGAGTTCGTTTCTTAGTTTCTTCCACACTTCTTCCTCTCGTTTGCGAATTTTCCTCCGGTCCGCCCAGGCCCCCCGTCGTCGTGACAACGGTGCCTATCCGTCGCGCGGCGATGATGATGATGATGTTTCCTCAGGGTCGTGAAGCACGGGGAAGGGCTAGACCCTGGTCGTAACCCCAGCTGTGACCCGAGGAGTCAGGGGTCCCTGAGCGGGGTCGGTGGGGGAGGGGGAGGGAGGGGGGTTGGATCCCTCTCTCTGCAGGGGTCGTCCTCCCCCTCCTCCCTCCCAGGTCCTCCCGCCCCTCCCCTCGAGATGGGGTCCACTACCCCTGTGGGGAATGAGAGGAGGCAAATGTTGATGACATCACCAACATGAGCAGCGATCACAAAACGAGAACATCACCATGTCACGTGTCTGCGCGTGTGTGCTGCCTGTGTTCTGCTGCTTTATGGGGAGTGGTGTTGCAGTGGTTAGCACACTGTCCTACGAACCCGGTGACCTGGGTTTGATTCTCGCTCACGGCTAATATCAAGTGACATCTCAAACCAGCCACGGGCCTCCCCTTGGTTGGCTCTCCACTTTAAAGGAGTACCTGGTGCGGTGTGTAACGCATCAACACTGGAGAGACAAAGGCGGCCGGGCATGGTGCTAGCATAACATCCCCCCGTGTATGTATGTTGAATTTCTTTCGCACCATACGTAGCCAACCGTGCTAATCGGAGGTGCGGGATTCGGCCTTCATAGGTGCCACTCCTCCCTAACAGCACTTGCCCCAACAGCCTGTGTAGGCTACGCGGGGGATCTTTGTCATTGTGTGCACATACGTGAGTGTCGCGTGGGTGAGTGATCTTCACACTGCACTCACCTCAGCTCAAGCGCTCACGCCTGGCATCACACGGGAGGCGATGGGAGAGAGGGGAAAGAAGATACGAGAGAGAGACAGAGGATAGAGAGAGTGTAATAATTTAATTAAATGGGATCCCCCGTACCATCGCGATGCCTCTCACCCACCGTGTTTGGTCCGGCACCATTCGTAAGATGCTTCTTAACTCTGCGAACACTCAATATCGTAACGCTGAGAGGGGGTGGGCAAACAGGGAAATTCACAACAGGGGGCTCCATGGTGAGCCTCAAGTTTGTGGGCTAGGGAAACTCACGTGGCATTTATACCCAAGGCCTGATTGTAACGCTCTTCGTTACAATCGTAGCTGAAAGCGTCAATGGAACTTACGACATTGCTACGATATCGTAACTCGCTCTGTGCCGGGCCCCTCACTCACCTTCCCGTGCCGCTCCGTCCTGCCCGGCCGGGGCTCACGTCCACGCAGCTCTCCATCTCGTTCACCTCCACCGCCTCCTCCTCGTCGCCCATCGTCACACACACCTCCCTCGAGGGGGGCTGGGGCCCCGGGGCCCCGCACACGCAGGGGCTCGCCCCTTCCCTGAGCCCGCTCGGTGCCCCTCGGTCTGGAGCCCAAGAAGGTCGGGAGAGATAAACGTTCATCGTGATCCAGCGCTAACTCCAGTCGCTCGCTCACCGCCAGTCAGTCGCCCCTTGCCACTCTTGTATTGCTACTACTACCACGCAACTACTACCACGCTACTATTACCACGCTTACTGGTAAACCGACCTTGAATCCTCTGCTCATGACGAGGATGCGAGAAAGCGATTGCAGGACGACGCCATTACCTTGTAACTGAGAGACGAGGGGAAACGTACTTTGCCGTGATTTAGCCCGTCATGCGGTTTGTACGATCACGCGCGCCAATCGGTGCAATCGCGACTCACGTTCCACTACAATCGGTTACCGATTCCCGAGTGGTGGAGGCTACGCACGTGGCCTATAACCCAGCGCTGTGGAGGCAGCAAGGGTTGGTGGATCACCGCACAGATGTGGTGAAACTCCCTTCTCATGGGCTTCGAGGAGGTGCCGTACCCTGGCTCTAAAAAATGCAGTACAGCAAAAATGTGGACTAATCTACATCTGTTCCACGCCTTGCATGAGTGGGGTTTCTCCGGGTGCTCTGCTTTCATACCACATGTAAACACTCGTTAATTGGTTGAAAATATCTTCATATATAGAAGACCACAGAGCTTGGGCAATTGTTGCTATCACCGGCTGCTGCCTTCCCACTCAGCTGTTTCCCCTCGTGCCTCTGAGTTGTTCTCTCTCTTCCAGAGCGAGAGACTATTATCTGGTGGAGCGTTACAACTTAAAATTATTCAAATTATACATTATGAACAAAAAGGTTTTGCTGGCTGGAGGGAGAGATGAATGGACAAGCGATCACATCCAAAGGCCGTGTGCATTGCTTGTTAATCGACTGTGAACACGGCTCCAGTGTAGTGGTTACAATAACTCTATCCAGAATGCAGCAGGGGTATTGGAGCGGCTGAGATGTTGATTTAAGGCGAGGTTGAGTTGCTGAGGCATTAAAGCCAGGACCCTGACGCCACGCGAAACGAGGCGGCCGTCGCGCGACGGCGTCACGGAAATTTTTTCTTGATAAATTCGAATAATTTCACAGCAAACGACTCAATTGGGATCGCGCACACAGCAAGAACATGCCCCCTCCTGTGTAACTGCTGCAAACAGAGTCTGTGGAACACAGCAGCAGCAAGCGCCTTCCTGTGGGACGTTCATCACGCGTTGTGAGACTGACAGCGTGAATACCACTCCTACTTAATTATTAGCACTTATTGTTATCATCATCATCATCATCACCGCCGCAATTATTGCTGATATTGAAACAGAAGCCCTCGCGTTGCCATGTCGGCGTGACCCCGCGGCTCGCGACGGAACCTGTGGCGCTGTCGCTGAGCCTGTGCCGGCTCCGAGAGCGCCGCGTCTGCCTCGACGTTCGCTCCGCCAACCACGCGTTGCCTCCTCCTCCTCCGCCCCCCACTCCCTCTCTCCGGGGCTCCAAGTCCGCGGGGTCCAGGGTGGAGCGGGGTCTCGCGGGGTCCAGGTCGCGCAGGCGGAGCCTCGTGGGGTCGAACGCTGACATCGACCTCTTCATGGGGCTCAGGTCCCCTAGGAGCTGGGGGCGGGGGCAGGGGAGGGGAGTTCAGAGATCAGGCAGATCAGGGAGATCAAAAGGGACCAGGGGGAGCTACTGCCCATGCGTGCGCGCCCATAGCTGCGCGTGCGGCCCGTACCTGCGCATGCGCGTGGTGCAGGCGCGGCATGGAGGAGGCGAGGCCCTGGTGCTCCAGCGCCAGGCAGTACTCGCTCTCCTGGTCACTGCTCCCATCCACCTCGCTCACACCCAGCACCTGCACGGGCACATGTGGCATACCTGTATACACAACAATAACAACCGCCATTCGCCACTAAATGGCGGTGACGTCACCACGACGCCTGTGCCAGGCTATGTGCACCTTGAGGCCACGTGAAGTGTCGAACGCCCGCTCGTAGGAGGTCACGGGGCAGACCCAGATGCCACGGGTTGACTGACTGAGACGACTGGCTGATGCACCACCTGTGCCCCCTACTGTGCCAACTTGCTGTGCTTTAGCCACCCGGCGCTCCGCTCATTGTTGTGAGCGTTGCTCCACCGCCCTCCGTTGTTGTTGGAGGGTGCCTGCCTCCAACTGCTCAGTAACGTCCTTCACAAGCCTCCTCCACAGAGGCCGATCTTGACACCGCTGGTACCAATCATCAGCAAGTCCACTCAGCTCCACGTCCTCCTGTACCACATCAATCCATCTCTTCTCTAGCCCGTGCCACACCCGTTTAGCCCCGTCGATCCAGCCAAACATAAGTTGTTTGGGCATGCAGTGGCTGGGCATGCGGGTTACATGGCCCAGCCAACACAGCCTTACCTGTCGTAGGAGCTCACCGATGGGACCTTGTCCAGATCTTTCAAGGATTTGTGAGATCCTCACACAATCCAGCCAGGTTTAACCCAGGATGGATCGTAGGAAGGCCAGCCTAAATCTTTCTAACCGGCGAAGATGCTCCATTAGGGGGGTCCATGTTTCACAAGCGTAGAGAAGGGAGGGAATGACCGTGGCCGAGAAGACCGGAAGCTTCGTGCGGAGCGAGAGACCAGGTAGCTTCCACACGACGTTACACAACCAATGAAAAGATAATGCCGCTCGACTGATTCGGAGTGAGACCTCTGCTGTTAAACCGGAGCTGGTCATGAGCACACTGCCCAGGTATGGGAAACTCTCCACTTACTCCACAACTGCCCTATCACCAATTGGGCGTTGTGGGGGTAGAGTGTCCGTTGGTACAAAATACCCAGGCAGGTGCTTAGTTTTGGTGGGGCTGATGGTAAGGCCCCACCTCTTAGTGGCAAGCTCCAAGTTCAGCAGCAGCACCTCCAACTCCTACTCTAAATTAGTAGCAATTACCAGATCATCGGCATACATAACATGGTTGAACAATAGGGAGCTATCCCTTGACCGCACCCGGCCATCGGTCAGCCTCCCATTGTATCTGTACCAGATGGAAATTCCTCCGGTACACCTATTAAACGCTTCACGAACTACATGGTCAAAATAGATGTTAAATAATGTGGGAGCCAGAGGACATCCCTGTCGCATCCAAAGGTAAACAGGGAATGGCTCTGACTCCCGGCCACGTAGTTTTACCCGTGCCCGCTCACCATCATGAAGGTTCTTAATGATCGTGAGCAGAGGGTCAGGGTACTCCGAAAGCATGAAGAACCCAGAGCCCAGGCCTACTGATGGTATCATAGGCCTTGACCAGGTCAATAAAGCAGAGATGTAGGTCTTCTTGGAATTCCCAATACCTCTGCTGTAGCAAACAGAGAGAAAATATGGCATCTGTGCAGGACCGCCCTTTTTCCTGAAACCGCATTGGGGCTCTGCAAGCCTCTCCTCAGCGTGCCTAGCAAGGCGATGTTGAATAATCCTTGCCATGTCCTTTTCCGGCACACTGAGGAGTGAGATGCCCCTGTAGTTCTTACAGTCTGTGCGGTCCCCTTTCTTAAAGAGGGGGACCACCAGGGCATCCTTCCAATCCTGCAGAACCCATCCAGTAGCCCAGACTGTTGTTATGATGTCATGTAGGGCAGTCTGTGCACAAACGCAACCCTTCCTCAGCATTTGGCTTGGGAGATCATCTCTGCCCGGTGCCTTTCCTGGTCTCAGACTCTGGATCGCCTTCAGTACTTCCTCAACAGATGGCACCTCAGCCAGCCACTCACAGGTGGTGACTTCCTCCAATATTTGAGGCACCGCAGCCTCAGCAGGGTCATCCCCACTTTGTGCCACGATGTTTCATGGCTGAGGGATTTCCCCTCCCCCAAAACCTCACAGAAATGCTCAGCAAATCTGCAAACCTGTTCCTGGGGGTCGGAGATTGGATCGCTGTTCTTTCCCCTAATGATGGTAATAGGTGTGGTGCTGCAGGTTACTTTTTTGATGGAGTTAAATAGAGATTTGTGATCACGGGCCACTGAAGCAGAGTCCATCTCCTCAGCAACCTGCGACCACCACCCATCCTTGCAGCACCTTACGGCTCTCTGAACCTCCGAGCGAAGGCTGCGGTAAGCCTCCTCATTCTCTGACGTGGGATGCTGTAGACGTTGAGAGTGGGCCTGTCGCTTTTTCTCAGCCAGCCTGAACACCTCCTCTGTCAGCCAGGGTCTCTAGGGAGGTCTGGACCGTGTACCCAGAGCAGCCATTGTAGCTGTATGAGCCACAGTCCTAAACCTCGCCCATTTCCCCTCGACATCTAGAGGAGTGGGGGACGATGCCAACCCTAGCCGCAAACGATGATGAAATTCTCACTTGCAACTTTCATCAGCTAGCTGAGACCATGCCACTAAGGGTTTGAATGGGGTCCTGGGTGTACACCCACCACCAGAATGGAAGAATGGCAGGCGGATCTTACAGATTACAAGTCGATGGTCAGAGGGCAGATCAGCTCCACGGTAGGTCCTGGTGTCCAGGACATGGGCCCACATCCGCTGTTCTGTCACTATGTAGTCCAGCAGATATTCTTGTTGGACCCGTCATGCATCTATGATGTGGTGTGGATGCGCCGATGCCGGAACAGCGTGTTGGTAATTACAAGCCCATGGGCTGCACAAAAATCTAGCAGCCTCATGCCGTTGTTATTGAGCTGATCTGGCCCATGCCTTCCAATTACTCCAGACCAGGTGCCAGCATCATGACCAACTCGAGCATTGAAGTCACCCAACTCTATCCCGAGGGGCCACTTTAGCTAGCACCTGTGACAGGAGGTCATAGAATTAATCTGACTCGATCGGCCTGGCCTGCATCCCTCCACGGATGTTCGTCTTCAGTGGGGGCATGTAACCACGACCACCACTCCTCGCCTCTGGTTAATGGAAAGGCGAGCCCAAAGTAGCCCGGGGCTTACAGCTTCCCACACCTCACCACCGCGCTCCCATGCCCCCTTCATTATTTTATTCAGAAGAAGAGCCACACCCTGTTGTTTGGCAGTCTCCTGCCCCGAGTAGAGGACTGTTCACCCCTCATGGTGGCAGGAGCTAGAGCCGGTCCACCGGACCTCCTGAATACCACAGAGATCCAGGCAGTACTGGTCCAGCTCCTGACAGAGGAGTGGCAGCCTCTCCTCCGCAGTGAGCGTTCGAACATTCCACGTGACCACCCGTAGTGGCTTTTTGTTGTTTCTGGAGGAGCCCCGAGGGTAAGGATTCAGTCTCCTGGCTCCGCCAAATGGGGTTTGGGCAGGACACGTCATAGATGCCTGTCCCCCCGGGGCCTCCGGCAAAAGCCTATTTATTCAATTTTGTCGTCGTGGTTTAGTGGTAATTAATTGAAGGTGGAGGGGTTACCAGCCCCTCGCACCCGTCTAGAGCCCCCATTTGGCCGCTGTGGTGGTTACAAACGGGGAAAGGCCAATCGGAATTGGCCCTCCCCCCACAGCACTGTCCACGACAGCATTGCCCGGCCGGCAACACACGCCTGTATACACACACACTTGTGTATGCACAAAAAGACTAAGATCCCCGGTATAGCCTTCACAGACTGTTGGGGCAAGTGCTGTTAGCAAGCACCTATGAAGGCTGGCACGGCATACGAAGGGGTGGGTGGCCAGTGCCACGCATGGCCGCCTTTGTCCCCCCAGTGGAGATGTTTACACACCGCACGAGGTACTCTTTTGAGGCTGAGTCTACCTAGGGAAGGCTCAGGACGGCTTCAGATAATCGTCACTGCTATTCCTAGCCATGAGCCGGAATCAAACTCGGTTTGTGGCACAGTGCGCTAAACACTACACTCCCTCTTCCCACACACACTCACAGCTGTGTCACCACCATCTCTACTGGAGGTGTGGCCAGGGTTGGGGAGAATGGGGGTGGGGGGGGGGGATCATGCTCCCAACACAGGCAGGGAGAGGGAGCAGCGATGACACTTGCCCATGGGCCACTCACCTCGGAGCATGCGGTGCGAGCAATCAGGGGCACCATGGCTTCCAGCTGTCATTGTGGGGACAGGGAGCAGGGGAGCAGGGGGAGCAGGGGTGGGTGCAGGGCGAACACAGGCAGGGGGATCAGGCAAAGGGAGGGAGGTGGCGAGTCACATGCGTTGGCGCATGGACACATACTCAGGATTCTAACGTAGGTGGCTCGGTATTTGCGGTGCGTTGCAACTCACTGCGATGCACACACACAACATACACGTGACAGACACAGAACCCCCCGTTATAGCCTTGACGGACTGTTGGGGCAAGTGCTGTTAGCGAGCACCTATTAACGCTAGCAAGGCCCACGAGGGGGTCTGTGGTCAGCACCACGCACGGGCGGCCTTTGGCACCCTAACACTGCTGTTTACAGACTGTACAGGGAATTCATTTAAGGCTGAGTCGACTGGTTTAAATATTCGTCATTGTTGGTGGGCGGGAATCGAACTCGTAGCAAAGTGCGTCAACCACTACGCCACCGCTCCCCACCACATAACAACACAGACACGTACACACACACGTACACACCCACGTACAAAGACACGTACACAGACACGTACACACACACTCACACGCAACGCTTCATTGCCATGACCGTGCCAATGACCGCAATGACTGCATGCACCCTAATCACCCACGCGTGCACACGTGTGAGTCTCGGACGGCGGGGGTGGCGGTGGGTGGGGAATACATGGGGGGGGGGGCTCGGGGTGCGATGGGGGTCAAGGGCTGATGGGAAGGGAGTACCTGCGTGGGGGGCTCCCCGGGCCCCCCGGCCGCCTCGCTCCCGCGCCCCCAGTCCGGGGTGTGAGGTCGCGTGCGCTGGCACATCTCCTGGGCTCGCTGGGTCACCCAGGAGGGCGAGGCACGCAGGCCAGACTCGCCCGGGCACCTTCGCCAAACACAGCACGCACGCACGCACGTGTCTCTCTCACTCCCGTGTCTCTCTCACTCCCGTGTCTCTCTCACTCTCGTGTCTCTCTCACTCCCGCGTGTCTCTCACTCCCGCGTGTCTCTCTCGCTCCCGTGTCTCTCTCTCACTCCCGTGTCTCTCTCACTCCCGTGTCTCTCTCGCTCCCGCGTGTCTCTCTCGCTCCCGTGTCTCTCTCGCTCCCGGGTCTCTCTCGCTCCCGTGTCTCTCTCGCTCCCGTGTCTCTCTCTCGCTCCCGTGTCTCTCTCTCGCTCCCGTGTCTCTCTCTCGCTCCCGTGTCTCTCTCACTCCCGTGTCTCTCTCGCTCCCGTGTCTCTCTCGCTCCCGTGTCTCTCTCGCTCCCGTGTCTCTCTCACTCCCGCGTCTCTCTCACTCCCGTGTGTCTCTCTCACTCCCGTGTCTCTCTCACTCCCGTGTGTCTCTCTCACTCCCGTGTGTCTCTCTCCCTCCCGTGTGTCTCTCTCACTCCCGTGTCTCTCTCTCACTCCCGTGTCTCTCTCTCACTCCCGTGTCTCTCTCACTCCCGTGTCTCTCTCGCTCCCGTGTCTCTCTCGCTCCCGTGTCTCTCGCTCCCGTGTCTCTCTCGCTCCCGTGTCTCTCTCTCGCTCCCGTGTCTCTCTCTCGCTCCCGTGTCTCTCTCTCGCTCCCGTGTCTCTCTCTCTCGCTCCCGTGTCTCTCTCACTCCCGTGTCTCTCTCGCTCCCGCGTCTCTCTCACTCCCGCGTCTCTCTCTCCCGCGTCTCTCCCACTCCCGTGTCTCTCTCACTCCCGTGTCTCTCTCACTCCCGTGTGTCTCTCTCACTCCCGTGTCTCTCTCTCACTCCCGTGTCTCTCACTCCCGCGTCTCTCTCACTCCCGTGTCTCTCTCTCACTCCCGTGTCTCTCACTCCCGTGTGTCTCTCTCACTCCCGTGTCTCTCTCACTCCCGTGTGTCTCTCTCACTCCCGTGTCTCTCTCTCTCACTCCCGTGTCTCTCTCTCACTCCCGTGTGTCTCTCTCACTCCCGTGTCTCTCTCTCTCATTCCCGTGTCTCTCTCTCACTCCCGTGTCTCTCTCTCACTCCCGTGTGTCTCTCTCACTCCGCGTCTCTCACTCCCGTGTGTCTCTCTCACTCCCGCGTCTCTCTCACTCCCGCGACTCTCTCACTCCCGTGTCTCTATCTCTCACTCCCGTGTCTCTCTCTTTCACTCCCGTGTCTCTCTCTCTCACTCCCGTGTCTCTCTCTCCCTCCCGTGTCTCTCTCTCCCGTGTCTTTCTCACTCCCGTGTCTCTCTCACTCCCGCGTGTCTCTCTCACTCCCGCGTGTCTCTCTCACTCCCGTGTATCTCACTCCCACGTCTCTCTCACTCCCGCGTCTCTCTCTCTCCCTCCCGTGTCTCTCTCTCTCCCGTGTCTCTCTCACTCCCGTGTCTCTCTCACTCCCCCGTGTCTCTCTCACTCCCGTGTCTCTCTCACTCCCGCGTCTCTCTCACTCCCGCGTCTCTCTCCCGTGTCTCTCTCTCCCGTGTCTCTCTCGCTCCCGTGTCTCTCTCGCTCCCGTGTCTCTCTCGCTCCCGTGTCTCTCTCGCTCCCGTGTCTCTCTCGCTCCCGCGTCTCTCTCCCGTGTCTCTCTCACTCCCGCGTGTCCCTCTCACTCCCGCGTCTCTCTCACTCCCGTGTCTCTCACTCCCGTGTCTCTCTCACTCAAGGGTCTCTCACTCCCGTGTCTCTCTCGCTCCCGCGTCTCTCTCGCTCCCGCGTCTCTCTCGCTCCCGTGTCTCTCAGTCCCGTGTCTCTCTCACTCCCGTGTCTCTCTCACTTCCGTGTCTCTCTCTCACTCCCGTGTCTCTCTCACTCAAGGGTCTCTCACTCCCGTGTCTCTCTCGCTCCCGTGTCTCTATCACTCCCGTGTCTCTATCACTCCCGTGTCTCTCTCTCACTCCCGTGTCTCTCTCTCACTCCCGTGTCTCTCTCTCACTCCCGTGTCTCTCTCACTCAAGGGTCTCTCACTCCCGTGTCTCTCTCGCTCCCGTGTCTCTCTCTCACTCCCGTGTCTCTCTCTCACTCCCGTGTCTCTCTCTCACTCCCGTGTCTCTCTCTCACTCAAGGGCCTCTCACTCCCGTGTCTCTCTCTCACTCCCGTGTCTCTCTCTCAATCCCGTGTCTCTCTCACTCCCGTGTCTCTCTCTCTCTCACTCAAGGGTCTCTCACTCCCGTGTCTCTCTCACTCCCGTGTCTCTCTCCCTCCCGCGTCTCTCTCACTCCCGTGTCTCTCTCTCTCCCGCGTCTCTCTCACTCCCGCGTCTCTCTCTCTCCCGCGTCTCTCACTCCGGCGTGTCTCTCTCGCTCCCGTATCTCTCGCTCCCGTGTCTCTCTCACTCCCGTGTCTCTCTCTCACTCCCGTGTCTCTCTCTCACTCCCGTGTCTCTCTCACTCCCGTGGCTCTCACTCCCGTGTCTCTCACTCCCGCGTCTCTCTCTCACTCCCGTCTCTCTCTCACTCCCGTGTCTCTCTCACTCCCGTGTCTCTCTCACTCCCGTGTCTCTCTCACTCCCGTGTGTCTCTCACTCCCGTGTCTCTCTCACTCCCGTGTCTCTCTCACTCCCGTGTCTCTCTCTCACTCCCGTGTCTCTCTCTCACTCCCGTGTCTCTCTCTCACTCCCGTGTCTCTCTCTCACTCCCGTGTCTCTCTCTCTCCCGTGTCTCTCTCACTCCCGTGTCTCTCTCTCACTCCCGTGTCTCTCTCTCACTCCCGTGTCTCTCTCTCACTCCCGTGTCTCTCTCTCACTCCCGTGTCTCACTCCCGTGTCTCTCTCTCTCCCGGGTCTCTCTCACTCCCGTGTCTCTCTCTCCCGTGTCTCTCTCGCTCCCGTGTCTCTCTCACTCCCGTGTCTCTCTCACTCCGGCGTGTCTCTCAGGAGGGGGGGGGGGGCTCTCACAGGCTGGATTGGGGGGCCCCCGTGTCGTCCGAGTCTGGCTCCTGGAAGCGCACGGCGGGGATGGGGACGTGAGGGGCGGGGCCCTGGGGGGACGTGACGGCCCCCACCATGCGGTGGAACAGGGACGAGTTGCGGCCCTGGTGGGGGCGGCAGTGGAGGCGGGGCCAGGGAGAGGGTGTGTTGGTGAGCGTGCACGTGTGGAACAAGTGTGCACGTGTGGAACAAGCGTGCACGTGTGTAACAAGCGTGCACGTGTGTAACAAGTGTGCACGTGTGTAACAAGTGTGCACGTGTGTAACAAGCGTGCACGTGTGGAACAAGCCTGCACGTGTGTGTGTGTGGGTCCGTACGAGTTCGTATGCGTACAGCGATTGGTGTTTTCATAGGTGTGCTATATTGATGTGTGTTCGCACGTGTGCGTGCACACACGTGTACACGCACACGTGTGCGTGCACACGTGTGCGTGTACGAGTGGGCGTGTACGAATACGCGTGTACGCATGTGCGTGTACACGCACGGCGTGAGTCGGGGAGGCCGCGCCCTGTGCTCGTCGCGCCTTGCTCGTCTTGTAGAAGTCGAAGATCATGAGCGACGCGTACACCTTGCCCACCGTGAGGGCGTTCGCTACGGGGGGGGGGGCGGGGGTGATGAGAGGATGGTGGAGGTGATGGGGGAGAGAGTGTGTACGCAGAAACGTCAAGACATGGGTACACAGTGAATGAGACAAGGAGGGACACAACACCAAACAGGTTTGTCGCGTCGAGACAGAGGAGACATGGAGACATCGGAAGCCTCAGAGACATCGGAAAAAAGAGGCTGAAACATACTCATAGCGGCACGCTGACAAACACAGGAAGCACGGAGATGGGAAATATGGAGAGGCACGTGGAGGAGACGCGAACACACACAGGGAGACTCGCACAGAGACACGCGGGGAGGCAGAGAGACACTGAGGGACACAAGGGGAGGCAGAGAGACACTGAGAGACACGTGGGGAGGCAGAGAGACACTGAGAGACACGTGGGGAGGCAGAGAGACACTGAGAGACACGTGGGGAGACAGAGAGACACTGAGAGACACGCGGGGAGGCAGAGAGACACTGAGAGAGACGCGGGGAGGCAGAGAGACACTGAGAGACACGTGGGGAGGCAGAGAGACACTGAGAGACACGTGGGGAGACAGAGAGACACTGAGAGACACGTGGGGAGGCAGCGAGACACTGAGAGACACGTGGGGAGACAGAGAGACACTGAGAGACACGTGAGGAGGCAGAGAGACACTGAGAGACACGTGGGGAGGCAGAGAGACACTGAGAGACACGTGGGGAGGCAGAGAGACACTGAGAGACACGTGGGGAGACAGAGAGACACTGAGAGACACGTGGGGAGGCAGAGAGACACTGAGAGACACGTGGGGAGGCAGAGAGACACTGAGAGACACGTGGGGAGGCAGGGAGACACTGAGAGACACGTGGGGAGGCAGAGAAACACTGAGAGACACGCGGGGAGGCAGAGAGACACTGAGAGACACGTGGGGAGGCAGAGAGACACTGAGAGACACGTGGGGAGACAGAGAGACACTGAGAGACACGTGGGGAGGCAGAGAGACACTGAGAGACACGTGGGAAGGCAGAGAGACACTGAGAGACACGTGGGGAGACAGAGAGACACTGAGAGACACGTGGGGAGGCAGAGAGACACTGAGAGACACGCGGGGAGGCAGAGAGACATTGAGAGAAACGTGGGGAGGCAGAGAGATGCGTGGGAAGGCAGAGAGACACTGAGAGACACGTGGGGAGACAGAGAGACACTGAGAGACACGTGGGGAGGCAGAGAGACACTGAGAGACACGTGGAAAGGCAGAGAGACACTGAGAGACACGTGGGGAGACAGAGAGACACTGACACGTGGGGAGGCAGAGAGACACTGAGAGACACGCGGGGAGGCAGAGAGACATTGAGAGAAATGTGGGGAGGCAGAGAGACACTGAGAGACACGTGGGAAGACAGAGAGACACTGAGAGACACGTGGGGAGGCAGAGAGACACTGAGAGACACGCGGGGAGGCAGAGAGACACTGAGATACACGTGGGGAGGCAGAGAGACACTGAGAGACACGTGGGGAGACAGAGAAACACTGAGAGACACGTGAGGAGACAGAGAGACACTGAGAGACACGTGGGGAGGCAGAGAGACACTGAGAGACACGTGGGGAGACAGAGAGACACTGAGAGACACGTGAGGGGGCAGAGAGCCACTGAGAGACACGTGGGGAGGCAGAGAGACACTGAGAGACACGTGGGGAGACAGAGAGACACTGAGAGACACGTGAGGAGACAGAGAGACACTGAGAGACACGTGGGGAGGCAGAGAGACACTGAGAGACACGTGAGGAGACAGAGAGACACTGAGAGACACGTGGGGAGGTAGAGAGACACTGAGAGACACGTGGGGAGGCAGAGAGACACTGAGAGACACGTGGGAGGCAGAGAAACACGGAGAGACACGTGGGGAGACAGAGAGACACTGAGAGACACGCGGGGAGGCAGAGAGACACTGAGAGACACGTGGGGAGGCAGAGAGACACTGAGAGACACGTGGGGAGACAGAAAGACACCGAGATACACGTGGGGAGGCAGAGAGACACTGAGAGACACGTGGGGAGGCAGAGAGACACTGAGAGACACGTGGGGAGACAGAGAGACACTGAGAGACACGTGGGGAGGCAGAGAGACACTGAGAGACACGTGAGGAGGCAGAGAGACACTGAGAGACACGTGGGGAGACAGAGAGACACTGAGAGACACGTGGGGAGGCAGAAAGACACTGAGAGACACGTGGGGAGACAGAGAGACACTGAGAGACACGTGGGGAGGCAGAGAGACACTGAGAGACACGTGGGGAGGCAGAGAGACACTGAGAGACTCGTGGGGAGGCAGAGAGACACTGAGAGACACGTGGGGAGGCAGAGAGACACTGAGAGACACGTGGGGAGACAGAGAGACACTGAGAGACACGTGAGGAGACAGAGAGACACTGAGAGACACGTGGGGAGACAGAGAGACACTGAGAGACACGTGGGGAGGCAGAGAGACACTGAGAGACACGTGGGGAGGCAGAGAGACACTGAGAGACACGTGGGGAGGCAGAGAGACACTGAGAGACACGTGGGGAGACAGAGAGACACGTGGGGAGGCAGAGAGACACTGAGAGACACGCGGTGAGGCAGAGAAACACTGAGAGACACGCGGGGAGACAGAGAGACACCGAGAGACACGTGGGGAGGCAGAGAGACACTGAGAGACACGTGGGGAGGCAGAGAGACACTGAGAGACACGTGGGGAGGCAGAGAGACACTGAGAGACACGTGGGGAGGCAGAGAGCCACTGAGAGACACGCGGGGAGACAGAGAGACACCGAGAGACACGTGGGGAGGCAGAGAGACACTGAGAGACACGTGGGGAGGCAGAGAGACACTGAGAGACACGTGGGGAGACAGAGAGACACTGAGAGGCACGTGGGGAGACAGAGAAACACGTGAGGAGACAGAGAGACACTGAGAGACACGCGAGGAGGTGAGACGCACGCGGGTGAGTGGGCACGAGCAGGTCCAAGGTCTTGGCGGAGAGGTTGGGCCACACGGTCAAGATCTCTTTGCGCAGCTCCAGATCCTCCAGCTGCTGGATCATCCCTCCAGCTGACGAGGTGGAGGTGACGAGGTGGTTGAGCGGGAGAGGAGAGAAGTGAGAAGAGAGACACGGGGCGGAGGGGTTCAGATTCGGAGGCGGCAAGGGGAGACGACAGTTTCTCTGAGCCGAGTGTGGTGCTGGTGGTGGTGCTGGTGGTGCTGGTGGTGGTGGTAGTGGTGCTGGTGGTGGTGTTGGTGGTGCTGGTGGTGGTGCTGGTGGTGGTGCTGGTTGTGATGGTGGTGGTGCTGGTGATGGTGGTGGTGCTGGTGGTGCTGGTAGTGCTGGTGGTGGTGTTGGTGGTGCTGGTGGTGGTGCTGGTGCTGGTGGTGGTGCTGGTTGTGATGGTGGTGCTGGTGGTGATGGTGCTGGTGGTGCTGGTGGTGGTGCTGCTGGTGGTGGTGCTGGTGGTGATGGTGCTGGTGGTGATGGTGCTGGTGGTGGTGGTTCTGGTGGTGGTGCTGGTGCTGGTGGTGGTGGTGCTGGTGGTGGTGTTGGTGGTGGTGCTGGTGGTGGTGGTGCTGGTGGTGCTGGTGGTGCTGGTGGTGGTGGTGGTGCTGGTGGTGGTGGTGCTGGTGGTGGTGGTGCTGGTGGTGTCGCCTGTCGTCCAGGAATTTGGAGGCGGGGGTTGGTGGAACACGGAGGGAATTGTTAAACTCCCAACCCCGCTAGGCTGTTTTGTTTTTCAGGTGCTGGCAGCAGAGTCAGTGGGGTCGTGAACCTATCTAAGTGGACCTTTGAGTGCTGTCTCTTTGTGGGCTTTGTCCGGGTTCTCTGCTGGTTCCCTGTATCACGTTAAACACCTCCAGCAACATCACCCCCCTCACCATAACCCCCATCACCACCCACAGCGGCATCACCATCACCACCCCCATCACTACCCCGTCCCTCAACCTTCACCACCCCTAGCATCATCAATAACCGCTGTTCGCCACTAATTAGCGGTGAGTTCACCACGGCGCTTGTGCCAGGCTAGGTGCACGTTGAGGCCGTCACATGAAGTGTCGGAGGCTGGCTGTTGGCAGGAGATCACTCATGTGCCAGGGTAGGTGCAGGAGGCCAGGGGACAAACGCAGGTGCTATGGGTTGACTGACTGACTGGCAGATGCACCACCTGTGCTCCGCACCCTCCACAATCATCGCCAACCCCATCAATCTCTGCCACCCCTCCCCCACCAGAGGAGATCTTGATGTCGAGCGCCGTGCGGATGAGCGCCATGAGCGTGGAGGTGAAGTGGACCGTCTTGTCGTCCGCGATCGGCATGTTCATGCGCACCAGCCGCTGTGGGTCGCACGCACACGCACGAGCAAACTCACACGTGCACACCCACCCACGTGCACACCCACCCACGTGCACACCCACCCACGTGCACACGCGTGCCCCACCTCTGACCACAACCGCACAGAACCATGACGACCACAGGAGTCCCCCCCCCCCCGCTCAGCCTTCGGGTAAAGCAGCAACGTCTTTGGAAAGGCTGGCGAACTAGCAGCCCCGCCCACTTCTACACAGCCACGCCCACTCCATGACTATCCCCGCCCACTTCCCAAGTAACCCCGCCCACTGCTCGATATCCACGCACACTGCCCAGGTAGCCCCGCCCACTGGTCGAGAGCCCCGCCTACTACCCAGGTAGTCCCGCCCTCTGCTCGTATCACGAGTCCAGGGTGAGAGCAGAAGAGTTGAACGGGAGACAAAGTTGCTGATTTCCCACAAACAGCTCTATACGGTGGGGGGGGGGGGGGCAGTGAACACCGGATCACACGTTCTGTAACCACCGGGAAGTTTGGTAGCTACTTTACCTTTTGGATACAATGGCTGTGTTAAATAATAATTCATAATAATGATAATCAAATCTAGAATAATGATATAATCGATCATGTGGGGTCAAGTCAATTTGCATTAATTTGCAAAGTGATCAAGTGCCAGGGGGCAGCACAATTACCGGTGCACGTGCGTGGGGTAGTTAGGGGGGGGGACAGAGACCCCCACCCCCTCTCACCCCCTGCCCCTCCCCCCACTCACTTGTTCAGACGTCAAAACCAGAAACGTGATAAAAATCCGCGGAAGCTCCTCAACGTGTGCACGAGTGAGGTCACTGCCACGTTATTTCGGTGCCATAATTCTACATTTCTCTGTTTCGTTCACAAACTGTGCAGTATAATTAACCAAATCTTTAAAATCACTTCAGAGGGGGCCCGAGACACACAGCCGTGTTTGCAACTACAAGATCTGTACAATTGTATTCAATGGCTGTAAACCACGTGGCAACTGCAGTGGTGGTGGTTGGATTAGGCGCTGGCTGGTACGGAACTTCCACGGATTTCTATTGCCGTATGTCCATCAAAAGCTCACGTCACGTGACACACACGAGCAGATGTCGGCGGTTGAACACCGAGTCCCACGCGAAACGGGAGGGGCGGAGGGGGCTGGGGGGACGAGGGGAGGGAGAAGAGGGGATTGAAAATGGGGGGGGGGGGCACATGGATCCATCAAATACAACACCACGAGCACACAGCCAAGGCACGGCGAAGCACACAGTGACGATTCTATGGGGGCCCTGGGGGTCTGTACCCCCCCCCCCCCCCACCCACGAGTGAACAAGATTACTTCCCTACCCATCCACAGCCCAGCTGGCCACGTGTCGCGTCCTCCATTCAAAGGGTAGGGGGCACATTGCCGCTCTCCCACCACCTCTCTTACTAGCCCAGAGCCTGGCTCCCCTCCGGCACGTGGGCCCTGGTGCAGAGACACCGCCCGCACACTGACTCCATAGCTACGCCGCTGCATGCCCAAATTAATCGCAACGATTGTAAAGTCCCGTTCATTCCTTTATCAGGCAAAATCCCATTGAGTCTCAAGAGCCTCTTGTCAGAACGATCGTGCTACATTGGGGGATGTTCGTCCAATCCCATGCCGCGTATCCACGCCCACGAGAATGTATGCCAGCTTGGCCGTCAATCCGGGCCAGCTTGGCCATCAATCCGGGCCAGATTGACCGTCAATCCGGGCCAGCTTGGCCGTCAATCCGGGCCAGCAGGGCCGTCAATCCGGGCCAGCTTGGCCGTCAATCCGGGCCAGCAGGGCCGCACGCACAGCGGTGTTCCTCGGCGGTTCTAAAGCAGCCGGGATCGTGGAATCTGACCCGAACTCTTCTAATGCGTCTGTACCCTACACTGGAACCCCTAGAATCGCCAACGTGGGTTGGGGGAGGGTGGGGGGAGGCTAGGGGGGGAGGGGCACAGCAAGACAAGGGGGTCATGCAGGAGTTTGGTACCTTATAGGCCACGCGCGCGGGACATCTCTTGCCGAGACCCAGAGGAGGTGACATGTGCCTAAGCATCTCATACATGTCTAGATATGAGATACGGCCGCTGTGGGTGGGAGACGGGGGCAGGGGTGGGGGGGGTTTGGGGGGGCAGGGCGATGGGAGCAGTGTAGGAAAAGTCGGGTAAATTGCCCCCAGGGAGCACGGGGATAGGGAAGGGGAGCAGAGGGATCAAACAGAGCAGATGGTTAAGGGTTAAGGACCCCGGCGTGGGGGCGGGGGTCACCCTGTGTGGGAGGGAGGGGGGAGATGGGGGAGGGGCGGAAACTGCCTTAGGTGCACGGGGGAGGCGCGGCGCTGGGTCCCCTGAAGGAACCCCCTTGCCACTGGGGGGTCCAGCAAGGGAGCCCCTCTACACACCCCCTGGCTCACTCCCTGGCTCACCCCCTGGCTCACTCCCTGGCTCACTCCCTGGCTCACTCCCTGGCTCACCCCCCGGACCCAGCGCCGTACCGCCAGGGGAAGCGCTGCTGCGTGGGGTGCGTGGTTGGGGGTGGGAGGGGGAAGGGAGGGGGGGTTCAAGGAGATTCCAGGGGGTTCGAAGGGGTCTGAAGGGGTCCGAAGGGGTCCGAAGGGGTCCGAGAAGGTCCGAGGAGGTCCGAAGGGGTACGGGGCAGACCTTGTATGCGACTCTCTCCGGGCAGCGCCTGCCCAGCCCCGCGGGGGGCAGAATGGCTCTCAACACACGATACATTTCTCCATAGGGGATCCTACCGCTTGGGGGGCCACGGGGTCCGTGGGGGGGAGGGGGGAGAGGGGCAAGGAAGAGGGGAGAGGGCAGACAGAAGACAAGGAGGAGGAGGAGGAGGGGGGGGGGACGGCATGGGGGGGGGGGGGTGGGGGGGGTTAGTCACAAAACACCGGGTTGGAGGAAGAGACAGGGGGGGGGGGTGGCAATGGAGGTGAGAGGAATGGGTGGGGGAAGGGTACGGGGTGGAAGGGGAGGGGACAGGGGGGTGGGAGGTAATTGGGAGGAGGGGTGAGGGGATGACGATGGCGTGGGTGGTGAGGAGACGGTGAGGTCAGTGAACCAAACCAAGGTGACGTGCGGCGAGTCCGCTGGACAATGGAGAGGCATGGAGGACAGCGGAGGGCACTGGCGTGGGGCGGGGAACGGGGTCGTCCCGGGGTCACGGCGATGGCGCCACGCGGTGGGGCGAGCGAGCGCAAGCTGGGACAGAGCGGCGACTGGACGAGTTTCCGATGGCGCCGCCCGCCGCGACGGGGGTCAGCGACATGGACGCCGACGAGGAGGCCGTGGAGCGGTGCCCGCCGGGAGGGGGAGCCAGGCGCCTCAGAGAGCGAGCTTCGGGACTCCGTGACGCCAAACCCAGCGCGCTCGTCCACAACGCTGGCGTCTTACAAGGAAACGGATGTAATAGGCGACGTTTTGGGCGACGGCCCTTCGTCAAGGTAGGTGGGTTCGGGCAGGACACGTCATCGCTGGAAGGGCACGATGATCCGTGGCGGGCGAGACTGGCCGGCTTGGAGCGTCAGCCAGAGGTGGGAAAGCACTCGGGAGGGACCCGCCACGGAGATGGAGCGTTGGTGAAATCGGATCGCGTGCGGGTGCCGGCTTGGGGTGGCCTTCATCCAGCAGTGAATTGATCATGGCTCATGATGGGTATGCAGAGGGAGAACACCAGAGAGAAAGAGATAAGGGAGAGAGAGAGAGTCGGGCAGCGACAGTTGGATTGGGGGCAGAGCCCCCCCCCCCATTTCCATGCTTCTCCGACTGAGACAGAGCCGCATTGGGGACGGGGAGTCACCTGGTGACACTGGGGTGGTGAGCGCAGGTGCCGTGACCATAGTTACGATGGTTAGCGACAGGTTGCCCTGGTTACGGTGGTGAGAGAGCGGTCGCCGTTGCTGCGACTGTTCTAACTGGGCTCAAGCAGCTATGGTGGTGAGGACTGGTTCCATGGTTAAGGTGGCGAGTGAACGAGCGGTTACCATGGTTACCGTGATGATGTTGCGGTGTTAATGTTGCGGCGAGTGAGCTGTTGTCGTTACATGCATAGAAGTATGTATTTGCTGCAGTTACAGAGAATCCGAAGCGCTCATTGCCGTGGCTACGGGGATTCCCGAGCGAGTTTTCCTGTGGTCACGTCGAGTGGGCACCGTTGCCATCGGTTATGGCAACGAGCGAGTGAGCACAACAAAAGCGCTGCCGGGAGCGAGCGGTTGCTGCGGTTACGGTGGCAAGCCGCGTACCAGGCGGCCGGGTCGTACTCGGCCCACACGCGGATGTACTCGTCCAGGTGGTGCGGGCCCAGGATCGCCGAGTCCCGGGTCAGGTACTCAAAGTTGTCCATGATGACGGCCACAAACAGATTCAGCATCTACGGGGGGCGGGGGGTGGCAGGGCGGGGGGTGAATAGGTGGATGAATGGACAGGCAGACAGGTGGATGAGGAGATGGATGGATGCGTGGGTGGGAGAATGGGGTGGGGGAGGGGGGTAGGGGTGGATGAGTGAAATGTGGGTGAATGATTGATTGAGATGAGTATGTAGACGAGTATTTAGACGAGTATTTAGACGAGTATTCAGGTATTCAGGCTCATGGGTAGTCATGTGGACAATTGGACAAATGTACAGGTCGAGTAGCAGAAAGCTGGACCAGTGGACAGACATTGAAGCAGTTAGACTGGTATCAAACTGCACAGGTGGAGAAATGCACAGGTTTTTTTTTTCATTTTTTCATTTCATTTATTCGGTATAGCCCTGTGAGCCATGCGGCTCTTAAGTCGGGTGCAACCGCAACAAACAAAATATGAATCTACATTTCAGAAAACTATTACACCACAACCAGACCAAAATAAAGCTACAAAAACAATGCAACAAAAGTAATCATAGCTAGATAGATATTGAGACTGGCAGATATGGAGACTGGCATGGAGACTGGCATGGCTGGTCGACAGATAGGGAGACTGATGGGGTGATATGTAGACAGATTGGAAGACAAGCAGACCGGTAGATAGGTAGGCAGGTAGACGAGTGCACTGCGGGCAGGTAGACAGGTAGACATGTAGGTAGGCAGACAGGTAGGCAGGTAGACATGTAGGTAGGCAGACAGGTAGACATGTAGGTAGGCAGACAGGTAGACAGGTAGACATGTAGGTAGGCAGACAGGTAGACAGGTAGACATGTAGGTAGGCAGACAGGTAGACAGGTAGACATGTAGGTAGGCAGACAGGTAGGCAGGTAGACATGTAGGTAGGCAGACAGGTAGACAGGTAGACATGTAGGTAGGCAGACAGGTAGGCAGGTAGGCAGGTAAACTTGTAGGTAGGCAGACAGGTAGGCAGGTAGACATGTAGGTAGGCAGACAGGTAGGCAGGTAGACATGTAGGTAGGCAGACAGGTAGGCAGGTAGACAGGTAGACATGTAGGTAGGCAGACAGGTAGGCAGGTTGACGGGCTGACAGGCAGGCGCACCAGAAACGAGCAGAGGAATATGAAGGAGACGAAGTAGAAGTAGGAGAAGTCGCTGCCGCACCCCGTGGGGTCAGGGGGCGGCCCCCCCCGGGTAGCCCTCACACGGCTGCCCCGACTTGCAGGCCACCATGATCTCCTGCCAGGCCTCGCCCGTCGCACTCCTGCCCCCGCCGTGGCATACACACGCACACCGCATCACACACACACCCCACCACATCACACACACACACGCACACCGCATCACACACACCCCCCACATCACACACACACAAGCGTGCCGCATCACACACACACACATCCCCACACCATACACACGCACACCGCATCACACACACACCTCCCCACACCACACACACACAAGCGTGCCGCATCACACACACACATCCCCACTCCCATACACACGCACCGCATCACACACACACCCCCCACATCACACACACACACACACATCCCCACACCACACACACGCACCGCATCACACACACACACCCCCCACATCACACACACACCCCCCACCACACCACACACACACACGCGTGCCGCATCACACACACACATCCCCACACCATACACATACACACCGCATCACACACACACCCCCCCACATCACACACGCGCGCCGCATCACACACACACATCCCCACACCACACACACGCACCGCATCACACACACACCCCCCACATCACACACACACCCCCACACCACACACACGCACACCGCATCACACACACACCCCCCACATCACACACACACCCCCACACCACACACACGCACACCGCATCACACACACACCCCCCACATCACACACACACATCCCCACACCACACACACGCACCGCATCACACACACACCCCCCACATCACACACACACCCCCACACCACACACACGCACACCGCATCACACACACACCCCCCACATCACACACACGCACACCGCATCACACACACATCCCCACACCACACACACGCACAACGTAACACACACACACCCTCCCACACCACACACGCACACGCGCCGCATCACACACACGCACACCGCATCACACACACACCCCCCCACACCACACACGCGCACCGCATCACACCCCCCCCCCCCCACACCACACACATGCACCAGATGAGTGCCCAGGTTAGTTGGTGGGTGTCTAGGTGAGTGTCAGGTGAGTGTCAGGTGAGTGTCAGGTATCAGGTGTGAACCCAGGTGTGTGCCCAGGTGTGAACCCAGGTGAGTGCCCAGGTGAGTGTCAGGTGAGTGCCCAGGTGAGTGTCAGGTGAGTGTCAGGTGAGTGTCAGGTGAGTGTCAGGTGTGTGCCCAGGTGAGTGCCCAGGTGTGTGCCCAGGTGAGTGTCAGGTGTGTGCCCAGGTGAGTGCCCAGGTGAGTGCCCAGGTGAGTGTCAGGTGAGTGTCAGGTGAGTGTCAGGTATGTGCCCAGCTGAGTGTCAGGTGAGTGTCAGGTGTGTGCCCAGGTGAGTGCCCAGGTGAGTGCCCAGGCGAGCTCGCGTCCCTCCAGCACACCTGAAGAGCAGCATGAGCGCCTGCAGGAACGTCTGAAAGTTGTTGTGGCGGCTGACGGCGTTATCCTCCACCAGCTTGATGTTACCAAACACCTGTGCTAATCACGTGTATGCACGCACACATGTACACACACATGCACACACACATGCACACACACACATGTACACACATGTACACACATGTACAAAGACAAAGATCCCCCGTTTAGCCTTAACAGACTGTAGGGGCAAGTGCTGTTAGCGAGCACCTATGAAGGCCGGAACAGTACACGAGGGGGTGGGTGGCCAGCACCACGCCCGACCGCTTTTGTCTCCCCAGTGGCGATGTTTACACACCGCACCAGGTACTCATTTCAGGCTGAGTCGACCTAGGGGAGGCCCAGGACCGGTTCAGATAATCGTCACTGGTGTTGGCCGTGAGCGGGAATCGAACCCGGGTCGCCAGGTTCATAGCGCAGCGCGCTAACCGCTACACTACACACATGTACACACACATGCACACACACATGTACACACATGTACACACATGTACACACACATGCACACACACATGTACACACACATGTACACACACATGTACACACATGCACACACACACATGTACACACATGTACACACACATGTACACACATGTACACACACATGTACACACATGTACACACACATGCACACACACATGAATACACACATGCACACATACATGCACACACATGTACACACACATGCACACGCACATGCACACACACATGCACACACATGTACACACGCGGAGATAGAGACAAAGGTGCCCGTATAGCCTTGGCGAAAGTGCCGAGCAGTTCCTGTGCCCCTCTCCACTGGCTCTGATGACGGCGCGAGCCGTGCTAGTGAGCCGGGCGTGAGAGAGGAGCCAGACTTGCCTGCATGCCCACGATGGCGTAGATGAAGAAGAGCATCGTGATGAGGAGACACACATACGGCAGTGCCTGTGGGGGGGGGGGGGGGGGGGCAGAGGAGGGGAGGAGAATTGGGGAGATGATTTGAGAGGGAGGATGCTTGGATATATATCGCACCTGGAATTACTCTCTGTATGTATGTGTCTGTATGATGGGGCCTTACCATCAGCCCCACCATAACTTAGCACCTGCCTGGGTATTTTGTACCATCGGACACTCCACCCCCACAACTCCCAATTGGTGATGGGGCAGTTGTGGAGAGAGTGGAGAGTTTCCCATACCTCGGCAGTGTGCTCATGACCGGCTCCGGTTTAACAGCAGAGGTCTCACTCATTATCTTTTCATCGGTTGTATAACGCTGTGTGGAAGCTACCTGGTCTGTCGCTCCGCACTTAGCTTCAGGTCTTCTCGGCCACGGTCATTCCCTCCCTTCTCTACGCTTGCGAAACGTGGACCCCCTTAATGGAATATCTTCGCCAGTTGGAAACATTTAGGCTGGCCTGCCTACGTTCCATCCTGGGTTTAACCAGGCTGGATTGTGTGAGGAGCTCAACAATCCTTGAAAGATCTGGGCAAGATCCCATCGGTGAGCTCCTCCGGCAGGCAAGGCTGCGTTGGCTGGGTCATGTAGCCCGCATGCCCAGCCATCGCATGCTGAAACAGCTTTTTCTTGGCCGGATCGAGGGGGCTAAACGGGCGCGGCACGGGCAAGAGAAGAGATGGAGTGATGTGGTACAGGAGGACGTGGAGCTGAGTGGACTTGCCGATGACTGGTACCAGCGGTGTCAAGATCGGCCTCTGTGGAGGAGGCTCGTGAAGGACGCTATTGGGCAGTTGGAGGCAGTCGCCCTCCGACAACAACGGAGGGCGGAGGAGCGACGCTCACAACAACGAGCGGAGCGCCGGGTGGCTAAAGCACAGCAGGTTGGCACAGTAAGGGGCACAGGTGGTGCATCAGCCAGTCATCTCAGTCAGTCGACCCGTGGCACCTGGGTCTGCCCCGTGCCGTCTTGCCCACGGGCGTTCGACACTTCACGTGGCCTCAAGGTGCACATGGCCTGGCACAAGCGTTGTGGTGACGTTACCGCCACTTAGTGGCGAATGGCGGTTGTTGTTGTATGTATGTGTCTGTATGTATGTGTCTGTATGTATGTGTCTGTATGTATGTGTCTGTATGTATGTGCCTGCATGTATGTGCCTGTATGTATGTGCCTGCATGTATGTGTCTGTATGTATGTATCTACGTGTCTGTATGTATGTGTCTGTATGTATGTGTCTGTATGGCCTCTGGGTTGTTCTTCGTGCTTTTGGAGTCCCTGACCCTCTGCTCACGATCATTAAGGACCTTCATGATGGTGAGCGGGCCCGGGTAAAACTACGTGGCCGAGAATCAGAGCCATTCCCTGTACACCTTGGGGTGCGACAAGGATGTCCTCTGGCTCCCGCATTATTTAACATCTATTTTGACCACGTAGTTCGTGAAGCCTTCAATAGCTGTACCGGGGGAATCTCCATATGGTACAGATATAATGGGAGGCTGATCGATGCCCGGGTGCAGTCAAGGGATGGCTCCCTATTGCTCAACCACGTTATGTAGGCCGATGATTTGGTAATAGCTGCTCATTCAGAGGAGGAGTTGGAGACGCTGCTGCTGAGACTGGAGCGTGCCACTAAGATATGGGGCCTTACCATCAGTCCCATCAAAACTAAGCACCTGCCTGGGTATTTTGTACCATCAGAAACTCCACACCCACAACTCCCAATCGGTGATGGGGCAGTTGTGGAGAGAGTGGAGAGTTTCCCATACCTGGGCAGTGTGCTTATGACCGGTTCCAGTTTAACAGCAGAGGTCTCACTCCGAATCAGTCGAGCGGCAATATATTTTCATCGGTTGCGTAGCGCTGTGTGGAAGCTACCTGGTCTGTCGCTCCGCACTAAGCTTCAGGTCTTCTCGGCCACGGTCATTCCCTCCCTTTTCTGTGCTTGCGAAACGTGGACCCCCCCTAATGGAACATCTTCGCAGGTTAGAAACATTTAGGCTAGCCTGCCTCCGATCCATCCTGGGTTTAACCAGGCTGGATTGTGTGAGGAGTGCACAAATCCTTGAAAGATCTGGGCAAGGTCCCATCGGTGAGCTCCTCCGGCAGGCAAGGCTGCGTTGGCTGGGTCATGTAGCCCGCATGCACAGCCACCGCATGCCGAAACAGCTTTTGTTCGGCCGGATCGAGGGGGTTAAATGGGCGCGGCACGGGCTAGAGAAGAGATGGAGTGATGTGGTACAGGAGGACGTGGAGCTGAGTGGACTTGCCGATGACTGGTACCAGCGGTGTCAAGATCGGCCTCTGTGGAGGAGGCTCGTGAAGGACGCTACTGGGCAGTTGGAGGCAGTCGCCTTCCAACAACAACAGAGGGCGGAGGAGCGACGCTCACAACAACGAGCGGGGCGCTGGGTGGCTAAAACACAGCAGGTTGGCACAGTAGGGGGCACAGGTGGTGCATCAGCCAGTCGTCTCAGTCAGTCGACCCGTGGCATCTGGGTCTGCCCCGTGACCACTTGCGAGCGGGCGTTCGACACTTCACGTGGCCTCAAGGCCTGGCACAAGCGTCGTGGTGATGTCACCGCCACTTAGTGGCGAATGGCGGTTGTTGTTGTTGTGTGTATGTATGTGTGTCTGTACATGGGGAGCGGTAGTGTAGCCGCTAGCGCCCTGCGCTACCAACCCAGTGACCCGGGTTCGAAGCGCAGCTGATGATCTAGTAATTGCTGCTCACTCTGAGAAGACATTAAAGACTCTGCTGCCTTACCAGAAGATGGGCTGATGTGGTACAAGACAATGTGGAGCTGAGTGGATTTGCCAATGACTGGTATCAACGGTGTCAATATGAGCTCGTGAATGACGCTACTGGGCAGTTGGAGACAGTCGCCCTCCAACAACAGCGGAGGATGCAGCAGCGACGCTCACAACAATGACCGGAGCACCGGGTGGCTACAACGCAGCAACTTAGAGCATCTGCCAGTCGTCTCAATCTGTTAACCCATGGCACTTGGGTCTGACCCGTGACCTCCTGCCAGCAACGAGCCTCCGACAGTTCACGCGGCCTCATGGTGCACCTAGCCTGGCACAAGCTCCGTGGTGACATCACTCCGCCACTTCGTGTTGTTGTTGTGTAGGTGCATGGGGTACCTTGAAGGACTGTATGAACGTCCAGAGGAGGATGCGGATCGTGTATCCACGCCGCAGTAACTTGATGAGTCGCGCCGCTCGGAACAGGCGCAGGAACCCGAGACTCACAAAGTCTCCCTGCACGCACAACGACAAAGATCCCCCACGTAGCCTTTAGCAGGCTGTTGGGGCAAGTGCTTTTAATCACCTATGCAGGCCGGCACGGCACGCACGGACACACACGCACAGCATCACCAGTCGCAGCACGTGCAGAAGGTCCCGCAGGCCTGACAGGCAGTGCAGCGGATCAAGGTGGTACGGCGAGCTCCACGCGCAGGCGGTGGAACGTGAGCAGTGAGTGACGTGTGCAAGGGTGCAGCCAGTGCGGAGCGAGCAGAGCGGCGGGATCTCACCCAGAACTCGTCGACGAGGATGTCGGTGATGCTGCCCAGCACCGTGACGCAGTCGAACACGTTCCACGCGTCGCGGAAGTAGTTCTGTCCAGCGCAGGTGGTGAGGTCGCACAGGTGGTGAGCACTCACTCAATCACTCACCCGCTCACCCGCCCACCTGCTTAGATGCTCACCCACTCATCTGCCCACTCACTCACCCACTCGTCTGTTCACCTGCCTACATGCTAAGATAAGAACCTGCTCACCCACTCACCCGCTCACCCATTCACCCACTAGCACACTCACCCGCGACGTTGATCTTGATGACGATGATGGCATGATGGCGATGACGACGGTGACGACGATGATATTGATTAACTATTGATTTATGGGTTAGGCCACGTCATGATCCGGCCAAATCTGTGTCATAAGACAGTCCACCACCCGGCCCAGTTTAATGTCCGTAGCAACGGCAACAATGATGATGATGACGACGACGATGATAATAACGACGATGATGTTGAGGACGTACCAGCAGGCCGAACGCAAGCAGCTTGAGCAGGCACTCGAGCGAGAAGAGGATGGTGAAGATGACGTTGAGGTATTTGAGGACCAGCTCGTACTCGTTAGAGGCGCCGTAGAACTGCGTGCGACGAGGTGGGGGAAGGGGGTGGGGGCGAGACGAGGTGGAAGGGGGGGAGTGAACGACGAGCGGAAGTCGCGTCACGGTCGGGGGTAGTGGTCGCAGTCGAGGATGGGGTCATACGGAGCAGCAAGGACGGAGCACGGATACAGAGAGGGGACTAAGGTCAGCGAGAAGGTCGGGGCCAGGTGGACTGGCGGAACACGACGAGACATCATCGGGGCCGGGGTAAAGGTCAAGGTCGAGGGGTGGCGAGCGAGGGGACGAGCGGTCGGGGCCGGGAGTGGGCGAGTCCCGACCGTCACCCTCGTGTGTCCCCACAACACCACCGCTTCTATCGCCCCCCCACCCACCCACCCACCCCGCAGCGTCCCCCGCGCGCGTCCCGGCTCACCTTCATCATGAGCACGAGCGTGTTGAGGGCGATGAGCGCCATGACGAGCCACTCGAAGGGCGGGGACACGACCAGCGTCCACAGACGGTGCTGCAAGGCGGCTCGCCGCGCCGGCATGTGGCGCGACAGCGGCCGCGCCGAGATCGCAAAGTCGATGCACGCACGCTGGGGGTTGGGGGGGCGGGCGACACGTCATCGCCCGACGTCATGTATCGTCCTCACGTGACGTCATCGTGAAACGTCATCGTCACGCACTGTCGCATGTCGTCATTTTGTCGGTCTGAGTTTGTCGTTTACTTTGTTCTCCTTCCCTTGCAACTCCAATTAGCACGGTTTGCTACGTACGGTGCATACATACACACACGTCGTGACTCGTCGTGACGCGTCGTGACACGTCGTGACTCGTCGTGACTCGTCGTGACACGTCGTGACACGTCGTGACTCGTCGTGACTCGTCGTGACTCGTCGTGACGCGTCGTGACACGTCGTGACTCGTCGTGACGCGTCGTGACACGTCGTGACTCGTCGTGACTCGTCGTGACGCGTCGTGACTCGTCGTGACTCGTCGTGACGCGTCGTGACACGTCGTGACTCGTCGTGACTCGTCGTGACACGTCGTGACTCGTCGTGACTCGTCGTGACGCGTCGTGACACGTCGTGACTCGTCGTGACTCGTCGTGACTCGTCGTGACGCGTCGTGACGCGTCGTGACTCGTCGTGACACGTCGTGACGCGTCGTGACTCGTCGTGACTCGTCATGACGCGTCGTCACGCACCGCCTGCGCCCACCTCGTTCTTCTCGAGGCTGCAGTCGGACATGACCTTGTCGCCCTGCTCCTGGAACGTGATGATGATGAGCGCCACGAAGATGTTGACGAAGAAGAAGGGGAAGACGATGAAGTAGACGACGTAGAAGACGGACATCTCCATGTGCGCGCCGGGACGTGGGCCCTGCTCCTCCTCCGTGATGTCCATCGAGTTCTTCAGCACCCTGTCAGGCGGGGAGCAGGGGGGGGGGGGACAGGGAGATCGAGTGCTCAAAGAGAGGGCATAGAGGCCAGGTGTGCGTCTGTGTCTGCATGGGGAACGGGAGTGCAGTGCAGCGGCGAGCGCTACGCTGCGCTACGGACCCGGCGACCCGGGTTCGATTCCAGCTCACGGCCACACCAGTGACGATTATTTGAATCGATCCTGAGCCTCCCCTAGGTCGGACTCAGTCTCCTCAAATGAGTACCTGGTGCAGGATGTAAACATCACCACTGGAGAGACAAAGGCGGCCGGGCGTGGTGCTGGCCACCCACCCCCTCGTGTGCCGTGCCGGCCTTCATAGGTGCTCCTCGCAAGCAGCACTTTCCCCAACAGTCTGTTAAGGATATACGGGGATCTTTGTCTTTTTGTTTGTGCATGTCCGTGTCTCTGTGCGTTAGTGTGTATGTCTCACAGGGGCCAGCCCTCCCCCGTGGAGACGGTGAACAGCGTCATGAGCGCCTGGAACACGTTGTCGTAGTTGAACTCGTAGCGGCGCCACTCGCGCTGCTCCACGCGCACGCTCTTCTTGTCGTACACCAGGAACTGACCCCTGGGGGACAGACGGCGGGCAGGCGGTGAGTGAGCAAGTGGTGAGTGAGTGGGCTGTGAGTGAGCGGGGCGGTGAGTAAGCGGGCGGTGAGTGAGAGAGTGAGTGAGTGAGTGAGAGGGTGAGTGAGTGAGTGAGAGAGTGGGTGAGTGAGTGAGCGAGAGAGTGAGTGAGTGAGCGAGAGAGTGAGAGAGTGAGTGAGAGAGTGAGTGAGAGGGTGAGAGAGTGAGTGAGAGAGTGGGTGAGTGAGTGAGCGAGAGAGTGAGATAGTGAGTGAGTGAGTGAGCGAGAGAGTGAGATAGTGAGTGAGTGAGTGAGAGAGTGAGTGAGAGAGTGAGTGAGTGAGTGAGAGAGTGGGTGAGTGAGTGAGCGAGAGAGTGAGAGAGAGAGTGAGTGAGAGAGTGGGTGAGTGAGTGAGTGAGAGAGTGAGTGAGTGAGCGAGAGAGTGAGAGAGTGAGTGAGAGTGAGTGAGTGAGATAGTGAGAGAATGAGTGAGAGAGTGAGAGAGTGAGTGAGTGAGAGAGTGAGATAGTGAGTGAGTGAGTGAGAGAGTGAGTGAGTGAGAGAGTGGGTGAGTGAGTGAGTGAGAGAGTGAGTGAGAGAGTGAGAGAGAGAGTGAGTGAGAGAGTGAGAGAGTGAGTGAGTGAGTGAGAGGGTGAGTGAGTGAGTGAGAGAGTGGGTGAGTGAGAGAGTGAATGAGAGAGTGAGTGAGTGAGAGTGTGGGTGAGTGAGAGAGTGAATGAGAGAGTGAGTGAGTGAGTGAGAGAGTGAGTGAGAGGGTGAGAAGGTGAGTGGGTGAGTGAGAGAGTGAGAAGGTGAGTGGATGAGTGAGTGAGTGAGAGAGGGAGTGAGTGAGTGAGTGAGAGAGTGAGAAGGTGAGTGGATGAGTGGATGAGTGAGTGAGAGAGTGAGTGAGAGAGAGAGAGTGAGAAGATGAGTGGATGAGAGAGTGAGTGAGAGAGTGAGAAGATGAGTGGATGAGTGAGTGAGTGAGAGAGTGAGAAGGTGAGTGGATGAGTGGATGAGTGAGTGAGAGAGAGAGTGAGAAGGTGAGTGGATGAGTGGATGAGTGAGTGAGTGAGAGAGCCTCTAGGGACGTCACCTGCAGTCCTTCTCGAACTCCTTGGACTCGTCAGTGCAGTAGAAGAACTTTCCCTTGAAGAGCTGCACGGCGACCACGGCGAAGATGAACATGAAGAGCATGTAGACGACGAGGATGTTCCATACATTCTTCAGCGAGCTCACCACGCAGTCGAACACCGCCTGCTCACCACACGGCCAGACACTCCCTGCTCACCACGCGGCCAGACAGCGCCTGCTCACCACGCGGCCAGACAGCGCCTGCTGAGCAGACCTAGGTGCGGCACAGACCTTGAGCTTGGGGAGCCTCTTGATCGTCTTGAGGGGGCGCAGCACTCGCAGCACGCGCAGGGACTTGATGGTGTTCCCCTGTTTGCCCCTGCATACAAAGACAAAGGCGCCCGTGTAGCCTACGCAGACGGATAATATATCATCGTCACTGGTGTTGGCTGCGAGCGGGAATGGAACTCGAGCGGCTGGGTTTGCAGCGTGGCGCGCGAACCACTACGCACACACACACAGACAAGCGTGCACGCACACACACACACAAGCGTGCACGCACACACACACAAGCGTGCACACACACACACACAAGTGCGCACGCACACACACAAGCGTGCACACACACACACAAGCGTGCACACACACACACACAAGCGTGCACACACACACACGCGCGCACGAAGGCATCACAACAATAACAACGCGGTGCGTTTGGTGTCGCACAGCGGGGGACGCGATGCTGCCCGGCGTGATCCCGACCCAGGGCCACTTGGCAGTGGAATTTTTCAAACTGGGACCGTGACGCCGCCCGGCATGCGATGGCCGCTCTCTTTTAGAATGACGTCACGGGGGTCGTCAACGTCAGCTGCGCGTGAAGAGGATGGCGCGCGGTATGTTACGGTAAAGACCGCAGGGTTAACCAGGACGGCCCTGTCGGAATCCAACCACGACGCTCTGCTACGTGCGGCCACCGCGGGGTCACGGAGGGGTCACCGCGTGGTCGCCACCGCGGGGCAGCACCCTCCTGCGAAGGAGCCATGGGACTCGGCGATGCTGCACCGCGTAACCGCAGGAGAAAACTGCTTTTATTGAGTTACAACTCATCCCTCCCCGCCCCCACACCCCCCCCCCCCGTGCTCCAGCGATGATTGCGCTCCCGTCGCCGTGATCGCGAGACACCCCCCTCCCTGCCCTCCCCACGGAGCCAAGGGGCAGCGTGCGGGGGCCACGGGGGACAGAGTGGTGGCCGGGGAGGTGGCGATGGTGATGAAAATTATGGTTGTGGTGAGCGTACCAATGATGATGGTGACGGTGGTGACATGTGTTGTGTGTGAGGCTTGGTTGTGGTCAGTAGGGATGGGGGTAGGGGGTTTGAGTCTGGAGAGACTGCGGAGCAGAGATTTCAATCGAATTCAGGGCTCCATCTCTCACGAGTCGCGTTAATCATCGTGAATCGCAAATCCGAGCTGCCGGGAGCGAGTGGGGAGCGGCGAGCGGGAAGCGGTAGGGGGTGGAGAGTGGGTGGATGAGAGAATTAGGAGATGAGTGAGTGGACAAGTGAGTGAGTTGATGGGTGGGTGAGTGAGTTGATGGGTGGGTGGGTGAGTAGACGAGTGAGCTCATCAGTGAGAAACTGAGTGAGTGAATACGTGAGCAAGCGAACGGGTGTGTATGTGGGAGAGTGAGATCATTAGGAAATGAGTCGGTGAGTGGATGGATGAGTGAGAAAATGGTTGAGTGAGCGAGTAAATGAGTGAGTGCGCTTGTGAATGGATGAATGATTGAGTAGAGGAGAGAGTGAGAGGGTGAGTGAACTCGCATCATTCCTACCACCACCACCATCATCCTCATCATCTTTACCGTCACCACCACCATGACGCGAATAATTTGGCAGAGGATCGTGAAGTGAACGCTTGCCACCCCGGCCACAAGGGGGACCCCGGCCACAGGGGGACCCCGGCCACAAGGGGGACCCCGGCCACAAGGGGGACCCCGGCCACAGGGGGACCCCGGCCACAGGTGGGACCCCGGCCACAGGGGGGACCCCGGCCACAAGGGGGACCCCGGCCACAGGGGGGACCCCGGCCACAGGGGGGACCCCGGCCACAAGGGGGACCCCGACCACCGCCACTCGCAAGCCCGCACACCACCACCGCATTCCTGCAGGCAGGCGTGCCCCCCCCTCCACCCCCCACCCACACCCCTGCCCCCCCCTTTCCATAACCTACCCCTCACCTCACGCTTTCAGCACTGCCATTCACATTACAACAACAACAACAATCCAGAGTGGTGGGGGGGGACATCAAAGCAAAGCGGGAGTAGGAGCAGCGGCAGAGAGATGTTGGGGGCGTGTAGAAGAATTACAGCCCCCCCCCTCACCCCCCCTCACCCCCCCCCCTCACCACCTCCCCCTCACCCCCCCCCTCACCACCCCCCCCTCACCCCCCCCCCTCACCACCCCCCCCCCCCACTTATCCCCCGACTGAGGGAGGGGCCCTCGTAAGCGTGCCGAGATTGATGTGGAAACAGTGGCGCTTGAAACGGATGCAAATTCTCACGAGTGAATTACAGCAGCGTGGTGACGGGGAGGGGTGGGGGCAGATTGGGGGAGACAGAGACAGAGGGAGACAGGGGGAGATTAGGGAGACTGGGGGGGGGGGGCAGGGGGAGACAGAGACAGAGGGAGACAGAGACAGAGGGAGACAGGGGGAGATTAGAGAGAGAGACTGGGGGGGCAGGGGGAGATTGGGGGAGACAGAGGGAGACAGGGGGAGATTTGAGAGAGAGACTGGGGGGGGGGGTCAGGGGGAGATTGGGGGAGACAGAGACAGAGGGAGACAGGGGGAGATTTGAGAGAGAGACTGGGGGGGGGGGTCAGAGGGAGATTGGGGGAGACAGAGACAGAGGGAGACAGGGGGAGATTAGAGAGACAGGGGAGGGCAGGGGGAGACAGGGGGAGACAGAGACAGAGGGAGACAGGGGGAGATTAGGGAGAGAGACGGGGGGGGGCAGGGGGAGACAGAGGGAGACAGAGACAGAGGGAGACAGGGGGAGATTAGAGAGAGAGACTGGGTGGGGGCAGGGGGAGATTGGGGGAGACAGAGACAGTGGGTGACTGAGGAGTTGGGGGCTGGCAGGGCGAGACCAGAAGAGAGGGCAGAGAAGCTGTGTTTGTGCCTGTGGCAGGGGAGGGAGATGGAGGAGGAGAGAGACAAGGGGAGTGCGGAGTGGGCCGAGAGGGGAGGTGCGTCGTGTGAGGGTTCCACGGCCGAGGGCTGGGGGTGGAGCGGGGGCGGTGAAGGGGGGGGGGGGGTCTCACTGCAGGGGGAAGGCGATGATGGCTCCGGCGACGACGATGAAGTCCAGGATGTTCCACAGGTCCCGGAAATACGACCCGGCATGCAGCACGAGCCCCTGGTCGATCATCTGTGTGGACAACAACAACAACCACGACATCAACAACAACAACCACGACATCAACAACAACAACCACGACAACAACAACCACGACATCAACAATAACAACCACGACATCAACAACAACAACCACGACATCAACAACAACAACCACGACATCAACAATAACAACCACGACAACAACAACAACAACCACGACATCAACAACAACAACCACGACATTAACAACAACAACCACAACATCAACAACAACCACAACGTCAACAACAACAACCACGACATCAACAACAACAACCACGACATCAACAACAACCACGACAACAACAACCACGACAACAACAACAACCACGACATCAACAACAACCACGACATCAACAACAACAACCACGACATCAACAACAACAACCACGACGTCAACAACAACAACCACGACGTCAACAACAACAACAACCACGACATCAACAACAACAACCACGACGTCAATGACATCAAAGACAACAATATTCATTTCTCTTTCTAGATCAGCTTGAGCCTCCTGTAAATCACGTGACTGCTGTGTGGCCACGCCCACTCCCTCTCGCCGGCGCCGCCCACTGTGAAAACACGCTGCTCCTCCTCCTCCTCCGTGCGGCCTCTCTTCACCTCTCCGGACCCCTCTGTCCCGTTCCTCCGCTCCTTCTCCAGCCTCTTCCTATCATTCCCCATTCCTTTTCTCCTCCCTCTCGCGTCCTTTCCCCACGCGTCACCTCCGTGACTCTACTCGTCCCCCTCCCCCCTCCGTGGGGGAGCCACGAGCAACAACGGTTACCGGTTACGTCAGCAACAACGACCACGACGTCGACAGGAACAACAGCAACACCGCACGATGATGACGATGATGACGATGTTGCCGCGCTACCCTGGTGGTGAGCTGCGTACTCACCTTCACCACCATCTCGAAGGTGAACACGCCCGTGAATATGTAGTCAAAGTACTTGAGCACCTGGTTGAGGGCGACACAGGTACAGCCAGTCCACCACCGCTTCCACCGCCACTACCACCACTACCACCACCTCCACCACTACAACCGCCTCCACCACCGCCACCACCGCCTCCACCACCGCCACCACCACCACTATCGTGTTCGCTCGCCCGTGTCACCGCTCGGCATCTGCAGGGGCCCCGGGCGCAGGCCGCGCCCGGGGCCCCTGGGGAGTAGGGTGAGGGGATAGGGGTTCGGGTTGTGAGATAGGAGTTGTGGGATAGGGGGCTAGCGGGTAGGGGGATAGGGGCTAGGTGGATAAGGAGGTAAGGGGGTAGGGGGCTAGCGGGTAGGGGGATAGGGGCTAGGTGGATAAGGAGGTAAGGGGGTAGGGGGGTAGCGGGTAGGGGGATAGGGGCTAGGTGGATAAGGAGGTAAGGGGGTAGGGGGGTAGCGGGTTAGGGGGTAAGGAGCATGGGGCCGGGCGTACGTTGTTCTGCTGCGAGTCCGGCCACACGGGGTCCTCGGCGGCGAGGGCCACACTGCTCAGGCCGATGACGGTGAGGATGCTCATCTCAAAGTGCCGCAGGGTCACCACGTAGTGGCACGCACGCCGCAGCCTGGACCCACACGCGCGCACGCACAGCCACAGGTCTCCCGTGTAGCCCACGTGGGATGCCGGGGAAAGTGCCGTTGGCGAGCGGCGCCTTTGTGTGAACCAGCGAGTGGGTGAGTGAGTGAGTGAGCGAGTGAGTGAGCAATTGGGTGAGTGAGAAATAGGGCGAGTGAGTGAGTGAGCGATTGGGTGGGTGAGTGATTGGGTGAGTGAGTGAGTGAGCGAGTGAGTGAGCGAGCGAGTGAGTGAGCAATTGGGTGAGTGAGCAATTGAGTGAGTGAGCAATAGGGCGAGTGAGTGAGTGAGCGATTGGGTGAGTGAGTGATTGGGTGAGTGAGTGAGTGAGCGAGCGAGTGAGTGAGTGAGAGAGTGAGCGAGTGAGTAAGCAATTGGGTGAGTGAGCAATTGGGTGAGTGAGCAATAGGGCGAGTGAGCGAGCGAGCGATTGGGTGAGTGAGTGATTGGGTGAGTAATTGAGTGAGTGATTAGGTGAGTAATTGAGTGAGTGATTAGGTGAGTAATTGAGTGAGTGATTAGGTGAGTAATTGAGTGAGTGATTGGGTGAGTAATTGAGTGAGTGATTGGGTGAGTAATTGAGTGAGTGATTAGGTGAGTAATTGAGTGAGTGATTGGGTGAGTAATTGAGTGAGTGATTGGGTGAGTAATTGAGTGAGTGATTAGGTGAGTAATTGAGTGAGTGATCAGGTGAGTAATTGAGTGAGTGATCAGGTGAGTAATTGAGTGAGTGATCAGGTGAGTAATTGAGTGAGTGATTAGGTGAGTAATTGAGTGAGTGATCAGGTGAGTAATTGAGTGAGTGATTGGGTGAGTAATTGAATGAGTGATTAGGTGAGTAATTGAGTGAGTGATCAGGTGAGTAATTGAGTGAGTGATTGGGTGAGTAATTGAGTGAGTGATTAGGTGAGTAATTGAGTGAGTGATTAGGTGAGTAATTGAGTGAGTGATTAGGTGAGTAATTGAGTGAGTGATTAGGTGAGTAATTGAGTGAGTGATTGGGTGAGTAATTGAGTGAGTGATTGGGTGAGTAATTGAGTGAGTGATTGGGTGAGTAATTGAGTGAGTGATCAGGTGAGTAATTGAGTGAGTGATTAGGTGAGTAATTGAGTGAGTGATTAGGTGAGTAATTGAGTGAGTGATTGGGTGAGTAATTGAGTGAGTGATTGGGTGCAAGGGTGAAGGAGCGATTGGGCGACTCCACGCACGGATTTCTGACGCTGAACAGGAACATGGATCTGTACGCCATCGCTGGCCTGGCCCCGTCTTGCGCGCCATCGCTCGGCCTCCTGGCGGCACCGGGGCCCCGCGACCCACCGCCATCGGGGCCTGTACAGGGTTGGAGGTCGTGGAGGTGACGGACATGGTGAAGGGGCCCCAGATTCCTGCCATCGCCTCCCATCACCGCCCTCGCTTTGGGCCGCCCCGGACCGGCCTGACCCTGGCACGCCGCTTTGCCTGTGGGCCCCACGCCGAGCCCCACTAGGCTTGAAGTAGATCAGGCGAATATGATGAGGCTTCACAAACCGGCCTGTTGTGGAGAAGTCTGTTAGTATGTTTTCCTTCCCGCGCACCTCTGATTAGCACGGTTGGCTACGTATGGTGCAACATACATACAGCAGTTGTTCAATGGACTGATTTGCCCCTGGCATAGGAATGAGGAATGTCCACCACTGGCTCCACAGGGCAGTAAATGGGAGATGAGCACCGATGCCTCAATGCTCCGTTTGGCGATGGCCGCCGATCAACGGCGTCACCGTGGCAACGGAGCTCGCGTAATTGGCCTGCACGGTCGAAGATCGACAAGCGATGATGGCGTGCGGTGTGAACGACTTCGAGTAAACTCCACCACGGTGGACACAGCAGGAGATGGGGGGTGGGGGAGCCGCTGAGGTGGGGGGAGGTTGTGTCAACGTGCTTAACGAGCACCAAGCAATGTGCCGGCATGAACGTGCACTGCCAACGCGCCGTGTCCATGACCCTGCGACCCTGTGACCCCGTGACCCCGTGATTTCATGCCATCCATACAATGAATTTCTCGGTCAGAGGTGAATGGTGAGTGTCGTCTGGTGAGCATCTGGTGAGTGTCTGGTGAGTGGTATCTGGTGTTGAGAAATTTCTGTCTATCTCTTCGATGTGTTTTCCGGTCGCACTGTTCAGCACTATTCAGCACGATGTCCGACGTTTTACCCTACATGCTTAATTCAGTTCCTGAACAAGTTCCCTGCACGAGGGTGAGAAACGTCAGACATCGTGCCGAACGACGCGTCGCGGCATGACCCGGACACGCATCAGAGAGCCGATCCCCTCGTGTCCCCATGAACCCCGTGACCCCCGTGACCCCTCCGTGACCTCTTCGTGACCCTGACCTGCCGCCCCTCTCTGCTCCTCGGGCGGGGGGATGATGTTGACGGTGACGCTCCGGGCCGCCTCCTGCTCCCCCTGCTCCTCCCCTTGATCCCCGGGGTCCCCAGGGGAGGGGTCGGTGTGGCTCCGGCCGCTCCCCTCGCTCTCCCTCTCCGCCTCCCCCGCCGGGGCGGCGGCCCCCGCGTCCCCGTCGGCGTCGCCCTCGGCGAGCGGAGCCGCGGGCGACGCGCCCGTGCGCACCGAGCCCGCCGGGCACACGTGGTCCCTGCGGGGACACGGGACCCAGGGTGGGTGGGTGGGTGGGGAGAGACACAGGCGGAGGGGAAGGAGCAGCGGGGAAGAGACGGGGAGAGGAGCACAGCCATCGCGGTCCCGCCGAGAGGCGACCTTGGACGTGAGCGGCGCCGGATCGGCCAGGACGAACCCCTCTCACCTCCGCCTGTGGCGCCTCCTCTCCCTCCCTGGGGGGTCCTCCCCCCCGGCCCCCTCCTCCCCCTCGGCCCCCGCTTTGCCCTTGTGGTGCTTCCTCCGAGGGCGCCGCTCCTCCCGCTCCCTCTCCTCCTCCTCCTCGTCCTCCTCCTCCTCCTCGCCCCCGGTGCCCTCCTTGCCACCCGGCCCCGCCGCCGCCGCCGTCGCCGGTGCCGGCTCCGTGCCGTCGTTCCCGCGCCGTCCGTGCCGCCGGTGCAGTCGGCGCCCGCACGGCTCTCCCGGCGGAGAAGCGGCACCGGCGCGTTGCCGGGCTTCCGGCTGGGCCCCCGACTCCTCGTCCACCTCCTCCTGCCGCTGCCCGTGGTTGTTGCCGCCGCAGTTGTTGTTGCTCCCGCTGCTGCTGCCTCCGCCGCCGCCGCCGGCGCCGTGAGCGCGGTGCACCGTGTGGTGGTGGTGATGGTGGTGGTGGTGGTGCCGGTGGTGGTGGCAGCGGCGCTCGTCCTCCTTGCTGCGGCTGCGGTGCTTGCGGCAGCGCCGGTTCCGCGCGCACGACGCCGACGCCGCCGGCGCCGCCGCCGCCTCCTCCTCGGGGCTCGCGCCGTCGGCTCCGCCGGAGCCCGGCGTCACGCGGCTCTTGCAGCAGCCGCCGACGACGATGAGAGGCCGCTCCAGCGCCTCCAGCTGGCGCTCCTCGTCCACCTCGCACACGTCCTCGAGCGAGCGCCGCTCCTCCTCTCCCTGGCTCCTCCCGCCCGGCTCGAGCACCAGCGGCCGCTCCGTCACCGCCTCCAGGTGGCGGTCGGCGGGCGGCGGCGGCGGCGGCGCCGACGGCGGCACCGCGGCCGCGCCGTCGTCCTCCGCGCCGGGCCCCGCCGAGGGCTCCCGGAGAGACGGCAGCACCCCCCGCGCGGCCACGTGGTTCGCGCGCGCGCGCCGGGCTCGCGCGCGAGCAGCGGTCGGTCCCGGTAGGTGGCGGCGGCGGACGCCGCGGCGGCGGCGCCGGCGCCGCTCACGCGCGTCGTGGCGCCGCGCGCCGGCGCCGCCGCGACCCCGGTCGCCAGGCTCGGCGGGCGGACGTGCAGCGAGGCCGAGTGGCGCAGCGGCGCGCGCGGCGTGCCGGCGCCGCCCGTGCCGGCGTCGCCTGCTCCGCCGGCGCTGTCGCCCCGGCTGTTCGCCAGCGCCTCCTGGCTGAGGTGGGAGCGCGAGTGGCGCAGCGCGCTGGTGCGCCGCTCCCACACCGTCATGGGCTTGTGCGGCTTGGACTGCTCGAGCCTTGAGAGGCGAGAAGAGGGGACGCGAGGTGGGCAGCGGCGGCATCAGCGTCATCGTCACAGCCGGCTCTCCCGCGCTTGCTCCCTCTGTCTCTCCCCACGCTCCCCTGCTCTCTCTCCCCACACTTGCTCACCGCAAGCTAAGCCAGTTTCCGCCCATAAACTATGAAGCACGTTCTTGTCGGAGCTCACAGGCTAAGCAGGCTCCGTGCCTGGCTAGCGCTTGGACTGCATGGGAGATAGAGGCCCAGGCGTGTACGTGTGTACGAGTGTGTACGTGTGTGTGTATGTACATCGCTACTGGGGAGACAAAGGCGACCGGGCGTGGTGCTGGCCATCCACCCCCTCGTCTGCCATGCCGACCTTCATAGGTGCCCGCTAACAGCACTTGCCCCAACAGTCTGTTATAGGTTATACGGGGGATATTTGTCTTTGTGTGCGTGTGTGTACGTCTATAAATGTATGTAGTGAACCGTACCATTCAGAGGTGCAGGAATGGAGACAGAGGGGAAGTGAGGGTTAGAGGGAAGAGTGGGGAATAGTGAGGGGAGGGTGAGCGGGGAGCGAGGGGAGAGTGAGGGGAGAGTTCACACTGCGAGGGGAGAGCGAGGGGAGAGCTCACACTGCGAGGGAGATGTTCATCGCCGACATGGGGCTCACTTCCGCCACCTCCATGGCCTTCTGGAACGCCAGCTTCTGATTGGCCGCTTCCTCTTCTTCCTCCTCGTCCTGTGGTTGAGCACGACGACGATTACAACGAGGAAGTTGGTGATGGTGGAGATGATGATGGTGATCATGGTGATCATGACAATGAGAATCTAGGGATAAGGTGATCCGGTGAGGAGGTGGGGGAAAGATGCAGGGTGGGGAGGTGGGGTCAGAAGGTGGGGAGAAGAGGCGGGGTGAGAAGGTGGGGTGAGGAGGTTGGGCAAGTGGGTGGAGTGATTAGGTGGGGTTACGAGGTGGGTGAAGAGGCGGGGTGAGGAGCAAGACCTATGTGGAGCGACACTCAGAGATCCCACCTTGGTGAGCTCCTGTGCATTGGCGAGGTTGTCGACGGCGATGGCGAGGAACACGTTGAGCAGCGTGTCTGTGGGGGGCTCGTTAAGGGGAGGCTCGTTAAGGGGTGGAGGATGGGGGGCGGTGGATCCGGGAGAGGGGTACAGTACAGTACGGTACAGTACAGATCGTTGCGATTTTAGATTAGCGATCTGGCCAAGTGACCCCACCCTGACCTTTGCCCTCCACTCTGACCTCGACTCCATCTCTTTTTCTGCTCCTCAACCTCGATCTGACCTTGACCCCAACATTTGGCCGACACCAAACCTTACCCCATACCCAACCCAACCCCAACTTTGACCACAACATTGACCTCAAGCGCGATGTCAACCTTGACCTCCGACTGCGACCGTGTCCCCTGATGGCCCCCACTGGGCGGCTGAGCGGGATACAGTTGCCGAAGAGCGTGAGGATGATGAAGTAGATGGAGTAGCACATGCTGTACCCCGCGCCCTTCTGCGAGAGGATGCCGTCATACATCACCGTGTTCCAGTCCTCGCCCGTCAGGATCTGATCCGCCGACCCCGCCCCGCCCAGCACACACACACACACACCAACCACCCACACCGGCGCGGTGCAGCGCGCGCGTCGCAACGATAGCGGATCAATACGGGGTCGGCGTAGGGGCACGGGTCATGCCCGGCATTCCTCCTCCGTCACCGTGGCTCCCGTGTTGTCGTATCCCACCTACCCCACAGCGTATAACACCTCACGGTGCACGCTGCTGTTGCTGGCGGTGGTGGTGGTCGCCCATCCAAGCATTTAGCCAGGCTCAAACCTGCTGAGCTTCGGGGGTCTGGCGAAACCCGGAGCGTTTCCTGGACCGTATGTATCTACTCAATGTTGAACTTTTTTGTGCCGTAAGTAGCCAACCGTGCTCATTGGAGGTGCGGGGAAGGACAACAAACTAAACACAAAAATCAGTTCTATCTGAGTTTAAAGTGCATAGCTCCAGTGGCTTCTCAATGTCGGAAGAAAAAACGTGATGCTCGCCCACGTCGTCATTTCCATACGATGTCCAACGTTTCACTCCGTGTGCTGGGGCCTCTCCAGGAACTGAATTCATACACTTAGCACGTGGAGCGAAGTGTCGGACGTTGCACCGCCCAACGCTTTAGCGGTGGCACAACTCCGAGAATCAACTCAGTGTTGGACACTATGGGGGGAACACTCTATGACCCGTGTTCTGTGGGCCTGGGTTCTATGGCCTGGGTTCTGTAGGCCTGTGTTTTATGGCCTGGGTTCTCTGGCCCGGGCTCTGTGGGCCTGGGTTCTATGACCTGGGTTCTATGGGCCTGGGTTCTATGGCCTGGGTTCTGTGGGCCTGGGTTCTGTGTGCCTGGGTGTTATGACCTGGGTTCTGTAGGTCTGTGTTTCATGGCCTGGGTTCTGTAGGCCTGTATTTTATGGCCTGGGTTATGTGGGCCTGGTTGCTGTAGGCCTGGGTTCTATGGCCTGGGTTCTGTAGGCCTGTGTTTTATGGCCTGGGTTATGTGGGCCTGGGTGCTGTAGGCCTGGGTTCTATGGCTTGGGTTATGTGGGCCTGGGTTCTGTAGGCCTGGGTTCTATGGCCTGGGTTATGTGGGCCTGGGTTCTGTAGGCCTGGGTTCTATGGCCTGGGTTCTGTGGGCCTGGGTTATGTGGGCCTGGGTTCTATGGCCTGGGTTCTATGGCCTGGGTTCTGTAGGCCTGTGTTTTAGTGGGCCTGGGTTCTATGGCCTGGGTTCTGTGGTCATGGGTTCTGTGGGCCTGGGTTCTATGGCCTGGGTTCTGTAGGCGTGTGTTTTATGGCCTAGATTCTGTGGGCCTGGGTTCTGTGGGCATGGGTTCTATGGCCTGGGTTCTGTGGGCCTGGGTTCTATGGCCTGGGTTATGTGGGCCTGGGTTCTATGGCCTGGGTTCTGTAGGCCTGTGTTTTATGGCCTGGGTTCTGTAGGCCTGTGTTTTATGGCCTGGGTTATGTGGGCCTGTGTTCTATGGCCTGGGTTCTGTGGGCCTCGGTTCTATGGCCTGGGTTCTGTAGGCGTGGGTTCTATGGCCTGGGTTCTGTAGGCCTGTGTTTTATGGCCTAGATTCTGTGGGCCTGGGTTCTATGGCCTGGGTTATGTGGGCCTGGGTTCTATGGCCTGGGTTCTGTGGGCCTGGGTTCTATGGCCTGGGTTCTGTAGGCCTGTGTTTTATGGCCTGGGTTCTGTAGGTCTGTGTTTTATGGCCTGGGTTATGTGGGCCTGGGTTCTATGGCCTGGGTTCTGTGGGCCTCGGTTCTATGGCCTGGGTTCTGTAGGCGTGGGTTCTATGGCCTGGGTTCTGTAGGCCTGTGTTTTATGGCCTATATTCTGTGGGCCTGGGTTATATGGCCTGGGTTCTATGGCCTGGGTTCTGTGGGCCTGTGTTTTATGGCCTGGGTTCTATGGCCTGGGTTCTGTGGGCCTGTGTTTTATGGCCTGGGTTATATGGCCGCACCCTGCCGGGTCGTCTCTGGGAGCCCGGCGTGGAGGGCGTGTGAGTGGCACGCTCCACCGTGCCCCAGCCGGGTTGCTGCTCTGCATGAGGACGCACCTGGAAGACGGTGAGGATGGCATTGGGGAAGGTGTTGAAGTTGGTGAAGGGCGTCTTCTCTTCAAAGTTAAACCTGGCGCAGATACAACGGTGGGGGAGGGAGGAGTGGCAGGGAGGGTGTCAAACATTGAGACCCCTTTCACACTGGCATATCTGGGGCCCACACGGCATGGGAAGTTTTTTTCCATTGGCTATTTGCGAGCCGAGCCAGAGCCATACCGTGTTACGTCAGCCGCAAAAGGAGACGTCTGAATCTGGCTCGATGTGGGGGGATTGCGGGGCGGAGGGGGTGAGGGGGCGGGCGAGGGCACGTACGAGCCCCCAAAAAGCTGCATGCCGAGGAGGGCGAAGACGACGATGAAGAGGAAGAGCAGGAAGAGGAGCGAGACGATCGACTTCATCGAGTTGAGCAGAGACACCACGAGGTTCTTCAGCGAGATCCAGTATCTGGGGGTCACCGCCGCGGTCACGGGGGGTGGGGGGGGGGGGCGGGTGGTTAGTGTTCGGGGTTAGGTCTATATCGGATCAGGGTTAGAGGTAGGAGCAGTGTCATGGTTATGGGTAGGGCTAGTGTTAGGGGTTATGGTTCGGGCCTAGATAGTGAGGAGGTAGGGTTCGGGTTTAGATTAAGGGATTCATCGTAGGAGTAGGCGCAGGGGTGGGGTTATGAGTAGGACTAGGGTTGGGATGATGGCTAGGGGTGTGAGCTTTTGCTGCTGCTGCTGATGATGATGACCATAATGATGATGATGGTAAACAGCAATAATACCAACACCGATGATGGTAATGATGGTGACTACGATGTTGATGATGGTGTAAAACACAGGCGTGTGTCGACCAATCACTGCAGACCAGTTCTGTGACAACAGTGACCTCTTGACCCCGTGACCCGATGACCTTGGCGTCGCTCACTTGGTGACCTTGAAGATGCGCAGGAGCCGCAACGTGCGCAGAACCGAGATCCCAATCGACGTCTTGGGTTCGATGGCCGTGAGCAGCACGTCAAACACACTGCCCATGATCACCTGCGGAACACGGCGTCACGCCACACGGCGTCACACCGCCCCGTGTCACAATACATGGCGTCACGTGACACGGCGTCACACCGCCCCCGTGTCACGCCACACGGCGTCACGTGACACGGCGTCACACCGCCCCGTGTCACGCCACACGGCGTCACGGGACACAGCGTCACACCGCCCCGTGTCACAATTCACGGTGTCACGAGACACAGCATCACACCGCCCCGTGTCACGCCACACGGCGTCATGGGACACGGCGTCACACCGCCCCATGTCACAATACATGGCGTCACGCCACATGGCATCGCACCGTGTCACACCACATGGCGTCACACCACACGGCGTCACGCTACACGGTGTCACACCATGTCACACCACATGGCATAACACTGTGTCACACCGCACAGCGTCACACAGCCCTGCATCACACCACACAGTGCCACAACATGTCACACCACACGGCGTCATACTGTGCCGCGTCACACCACTCTGCCCATGACCGTCTGTGACGATGAGATGACGATGATAATAACGATGATCCTGATGATGATGATAACGATGATCCTGATGATGATGATGATAACGACACTGCTGATGAGACCCACCAGGCAGTCGAAGCAGTTGAAGGAGGAGTGGAAGTAGGCGCGCGGGCCGAGTCCGTACATCTTGAGGCAGAGCTCGAGCAGGAAGAGGCCCAGGAACACAAACTCTGCGTAGTCTACAAACACACAGACACACACATACACACAAACACACATACACACATACAACAACCGCCATTCACCACTAAGTGGCGGCGGCGTCACCACGACGCTTGTGCCAGGCCATGTGCACCTTGAGGACACGTGAAGTATCGAACGCCCGCTGGCAGGAGGTCACGGGGCAGACCCAGGTGCCACGGGTCGACTGACTGAGATGACTGGCTGACGCACCACCTGTGCCCCCTACTGTGCCAACCTGCTGTGCTTTAGCCACCCGGCGCTCCGCTCGTTGTTGTGAGCGTCGCTCCTCCGCCCTCCGTTGTTGTTGGAGGGCGACTACCTCCAACTGCCCAGTAGCGTCCTTCACGAGCCTCCTCCACAGAGGCCAATCTTGACACCGCTGGTACCAATCATCGGCAAGTCCACTCAGCTCCACGTCCTCCTGTACCACATCACTCCATCTCTTCTCTAGCCCGTGCTGCGCCCGTTTAGCCCCCTCAATCCGGCCGAACAAAAGCTGTTTCGGCATGCGGTGGCTGGGCATGCGGGCTACATGACCCAGCCAACGCAACCTTGCCTGCCGGAGGAGCTCACCAATGGGACCTTGCCCAGATCTTTCAAGGATTTGTGAGCTCCTCACACAATCCAGCCTAGTTAAACCCAGGATGGATCGTAGGCAGGCTAGCCTAAATGTTTCTAACCGGCGAAGATGTTCCATTAAGGGGGTCCACGTTTCGCAAGCGTAGAGAAGGGAGGGAATGACCGTGGCCGATAAGACCCGAAGCTTAGTGCGGAGCGACAGACCAGGTAGCTTCCACACAGCGTTACGCAACCGATGAAAATATATTGCCGCTCGACTGATTCGGAGTGAGACCTCTGCTGTTAAACTGGAGCCGGCCGGCTCCACACATACACATACACACACACATACACACATACACACACACACATACACACACACACATACACACACACATATACATACACACACACACATACACACACATACATACACACACATACAAAGATAACAAAGATCCCCCATATAGCCTTAACAGACTGTAGGGGCAAGTGCTGTTAGCGAGCACCTATGAAGGCGGGAACGGTACACGAGGGGGTGGGTGGTCAGCACCACGCCCGACCGCCTTTGTCTCCCTAGTGGCGATGTTTACACACCACACCAGGTACTCATTTGAGGCTGAGTCGACCTAGGGGAGGCCCGGGACCGGTTCAGATAATCGTCACTGGTGTTGGCCGTGAGCGGGAATCGAACCCGGGTCGCCAGGTTCATAGCGCAGCGCGCTAACCGCTACACTATCGCTCCCCACATACACACACATACACACACACATACACACACACATACACACACACACATACACACACATATACACACACATACACACACACATACACACACATACACACACACATACACACACATACACACACATACACACACACATACACAGAGTGTACACAACACACATGCACCCAACACCCACAACACAACACACATAAAAATATACACACAAAACATACACCACACAGACACACAATATACACACACACATACCCAGAGTCTACACAACACACAACACAATACAGTGTACACAACACACACCACACCCACAACACAATACATAAACAACACACAATGAGCCACTCTGTCTACAGGAAAGCTACCCATACGGATGCTTATCTGAAACCGGATTCCCACCACCATCCATCACAGAAGAATTCTCTCATCAAGACTCTACACCATAGAGCCCAATGCATATCCGACCAGGAACACATTGGCAGTGAACTCAAGCACGTACACCAAGCTCTTAAGGCTAATGGTTACTCCGACCATACAATCCGCAAAGCTATCACTCAAACCATGAAGAAGGACCCTCTTGAGGAGCCTTTCAAAACCATCACTTTACCCTACATTGCGGGGATCACAAAAAAAGATCTCCAAAATCTTGAATAAACACAAGATCCAGGTCCGTTTCAACACATTACATAAAATCCGTGATCTGGTTCCGTCTGTAAAAGATGTGATTCCGGACATACAGTACCCTGGTGTCTACAAACTAAGTTGCCTCTGTGGTAGTAGTTACATTGGAGAAACCAAACGACATGTCTCGGACCGCATTCGTGAACACAAAGCAGACCTTAAACAAGGTAGGACCAACACCTCGGCCGTGGCAGATTATTGTTATAATTCAGTAGGCTCACATGACATTGACTTCTCCAAGACAGAGGTTCTTTGTAAGCCATCTGGCTACCATGAGAGATTCGTTCATGAGGCTATCCACATATACAAACACAGAGACAATTTCAACCGAGAAGATGGATTCTGGCTTAGCAATCATTGGAAGGATTTGATAAACCATTTCGGGTCTTAATTGATTGTTCACGCTTACGGTGGCTTTCAGATAGCATACATTAATTTTTCGTCTCCCTCCTCCTCTTTTCTGAACATAGATGGACTCGTCCATCTAAACAAACTGTCAAATCGCTATCCGTGGTGCTAACGTTTACACATAAATAAATACAAACCGCCACTTCTTTCAAATGTTCTTGCCGTTGGTTTTCACACCTGATGATGACTACTTGTGTTACAGTCGAAACGTCGTGAGAATTTTATTGTTTTATATATATTTTATTGTTTCCCTTCAACGTGAATTTACCGAAAGAACCAAGAATATATAACACACACAGTGTACAAAACACACACACACAAAACAACTCTCATCACGCACCCACGCCATGCACGCATTCCACGCACGAAGACGATTACAATGAAGACGCAGATGACGTTGATGACAATGATGATGGTGATGACAATGACGACGATGATGACGATGACACTTACGATGACGATGGTGATGACAATGATAATGACGATAACGAGGACGCCAATGACGACGATGACGGCAATGTGGCACGTGCGTGCGTGTGCGAGAGGGCGCACGGCCACCCACAGAGGAAGAGGGAGAGCCAGGCGGGCTGGTCGTAGTGCACGGCGCCCACGCACAGCGCGTTGAGTGCCACCAGGCACAGCACGAGCCAGAAGAATGGCTGCGACTTGACGAGGCGGCGCACGCAGAACCGCACCCGCCTCTCCCTGCGCCGCACGTAGGAGAGCCCCTCCCTCGCCACGCCCCCCCCGGAGCCCCCCCCGCCCCCCCCGCCCCCCCCGCCGACGCCGCCGGGGCCCCCCGAGCCCCCCCCGCTCTTGAAGGTGGCCGCGCGGGTGAAGGGGGAGCCTTGGTGGGGGCAGAGGGGGACGGACACACGCGCGCGGGTGAGCGAGGTGAGCGAGGTGAGCGAGGTGAGGTGAGTGAGGTGAGTGAGGTGAGTGAGGTGAGTGAGGTGAGGTGAGTGAGGTGAGCGAGGTGAGTGAGGTGAGGTGAGTGAGGTGAGTGAGGTGAGGTGAGCGAGGTGAGGTGAGTGAGGTGAGTGAGGTGAGTGAGGTGTGGTGAGTGAGGTGAGGTGAGTGAGGTGAGCGAGGTGAGTGAGGTGAGGTGAGTGAGGTGAGTGAGGTGAGGTGAGCGAGGTGAGGTGAGTGAGGTGAGTGAGGTGAGTGAGGTGAGTGAGGTGAGGTGAGTGAGGTGAGTGAGGTGAGGTGAGCGAGGTGAGGTGAGTGAGGTGAGGTGAGTGAGGTGAGTGAGGTGAGTGAGGTGAGGTGAGTGAGGTGAGTGAGGTGAGGTGAGTGAGGTGAGATGAGTGAGGTGAGTGAGGTGAGGTGAGCGAGGTGAGGTGAGTGAGGTGAGCGAGGTGAGTGAGGTGAGGTGAGTGAGGTGAGTGAGGTGAGTGAGGTGAGGTGAGTGAGTGAGGTGAGTGAGGTGAGCGAGTGAGGTGAGCGAGATGAGGTGAGTGAGGTGAGCGAGGTGAGGTGAGTGAGGTGAGGTGAGTGAGGTGAGTGAGGTGAGGTGAGGTGGGGGAGGTGAGTGAGGTGAGTGAGGTGAGGTGAGTGAGGTGAGTGAGGTGAGGTGAGTGAGGTGAGTGAGGTGAGTGAGGTGAGGTGAGTGAGGTGAGGTGAGTGAGGTGAGTGAGGTGAGGTGAGTGAGGTGAGGTGAGTGAGGTGAGTGAGGTGAGTGAGGTGAGGTGATTGAGGTGAGTGAGGTGAGGTGAGCGAGGTGAGGTGAGTGAGGTGAGCGAGGTGAGCGAGGTGAGGTGAGTGAGGTGAGTGAGGTGAGTGAGGTGAGGTGAGTGAGTGAGGTGAGTGAGGTGAGCGAGTGAGGTGAGCGAGGTGAGGTGAGTGAGGTGAGCGAAGTGAGGTGAGTGAGGTGAGGTGAGTGAGGTGAGTGAGGTGAGGTGAGTGAGGTGAGTGAGGTGAGGTGAGTGAGGTGAGTGAGTGAGGTGAGTGAGGTGAGTGAGGTGAGGTGAGTGAGGTGAGTGAGGTGAGGTGAGTGAGGTGAGGTGAGCGAGGTGAGTGAGGTGAGTGAGGTAAGCGAGGTGAGCGAGGTGAGGTGAGTGAGGTGAGCGAGGTGAGGTGAGTGAGGTGAGGTGAGTGAGGTGAGTGAGGTGAGTGAGGTGAGGTGAGTGAGGTGAGTGAGGTGAGGTGAGTGAGGTGAGTGAGGTGAGTGAGGTGAGGTGAGCGAGGTGAGGTGAGTGAGGTGAGCGAGGTGAGCGAGGTGAGTGAGGTGAGGTGAGTGAGGTGAGTGAGGTGAGTGAGGTGAGGTGAGTGAGTGAGGTGAGTGAGGTGAGCGAGTGAGGTGAGCGAGGTGAGGTGAGTGAGGTGAGCGAGGTGAGGTGAGTGAGGTGAGGTGAGTGAGGTGAGTGAGGTGAGTGAGGTGAGGTGAGTGAGGTGAGTGAGGTGAGGTGAGTGAGGTGAGGTGAGTGAGGTGAGTGAGGTGAGTGAGGTGAGCGAGGTGAGTGAGGTGAGTGAGGTGAGGTGAGTGAGGTGAGGTGAGTGAGGTGAGGTGAGTGAGGTGAGTGAGGTGAGGTGAGTGAGGTGAGGTGAGTGAGGTGAGTGAGGTGAGTGAGGTGAGGTGATTGAGGTGAGTGAGGTGAGGTGAGCGAGGTGAGGTGAGTGAGGTGAGCGAGGTGAGCGAGGTGAGGTGAGTGAGGTGAGTGAGGTGAGTGAGGTGAGGTGAGTGAGTGAGGTGAGTGAGGTGAGCGAGTGAGGTGAGCGAGGTGAGGTGAGTGAGGTGAGCGAAGTGAGGTGAGTGAGGTGAGGTGAGTGAGGTGAGTGAGGTGAGGTGAGTGAGGTGAGTGAGGTGAGGTGAGTGAGGTGAGTGAGTGAGGTGAGTGAGGTGAGTGAGGTGAGGTGAGTGAGGTGAGTGAGGTGAGGTGAGTGAGGTGAGGTGAGCGAGGTGAGTGAGGTGAGTGAGGTAAGCGAGGTGAGCGAGGTGAGGTGAGTGAGGTGAGCGAGGTGAGGTGAGTGAGGTGAGGTGAGTGAGGTGAGTGAGGTGAGTGAGGTGAGGTGAGTGAGGTGAGTGAGGTGAGGTGAGTGAGGTGAGTGAGGTGAGTGAGGTGAGGTGAGCGAGGTGAGGTGAGTGAGGTGAGCGAGGTGAGCGAGGTGAGTGAGGTGAGGTGAGTGAGGTGAGTGAGGTGAGTGAGGTGAGGTGAGTGAGTGAGGTGAGTGAGGTGAGCGAGTGAGGTGAGCGAGGTGAGGTGAGTGAGGTGAGCGAGGTGAGGTGAGTGAGGTGAGGTGAGTGAGGTGAGTGAGGTGAGTGAGGTGAGGTGAGTGAGGTGAGTGAGGTGAGGTGAGTGAGGTGAGGTGAGTGAGGTGAGTGAGGTGAGTGAGGTGAGCGAGGTGAGTGAGGTGAGTGAGGTGAGGTGAGTGAGGTGAGGTGAGTGAGGTGAGGTGAGTGAGGTGAGTGAGGTGAGTGAGGTGAGCGAGGTGAGGTGAGTGAGGTGAGCGACGTTAGGTGAGTGAGGTGAGTGAGGTGAGTGAGGTGAAGGAGATGAAGGACGGTGGTGGTGAGGGAAGCCGAGGGGCAGCCGAGCCACAACCAGGCTACAGTCTACATTATAGACTGTCAGTACACTCACTCAGCTTAAGAACCAGGCTACAGTCTACATTATAGACTGTCAGTACACTCACTCAGCTTAAGAACCAGGCTACAGTCTACATTATAGACTGTCAGTACACTCACTCAGCTTAAGAACCAGGCTACAGTCTACATTATAGACTGTCAGTACACTCACTCAGCTTAAGAACCAGGCTACAGTCTACATTATAGACTGTCAGTACACTCACTCAGCTTAAGAACCAGGCTACAGTCTACATTATAGACTGTCAGTACACTCACTCAGCTTAAGAACCAGGCTACAGTCTACATTATAGACTGTCAATACACTCACTCAGCTTAATAACCAGGCTACAGTCTACATTATAGACTGTCAGTACACTCACTCAGCTTAATAACCAGGCTACAGTCTACATTATAGACTGTCAATACACTCACTCAGCTTAAGAACCAGGCTACAGTCTACATTATAGACTGTCAGTACACTCACTCAGCTTAAGAACCAGGCTACAGTCTACATTATAGACTGTCAGTACACTCACTCAGCTTAAGAACCAGGCTACAGTCTACATTATAGACTGTCAGTACGCTCACTCCGATTAAGAACCAGGCTACAGTCTACATTAGTGTTTTTTTTGTTTATTATTTTTTTTATTAAACTTGTATTATTTTTTAGTATTATTTTTCTATCTACGTGACTTTACCGAAAGAACCAAAGAACAGGTGAGAGAGTCCCTACGGAGGGGGTGAGTGAGGGAGCAGTGAGGCAGGTGAGTGTGGCGAGCAAGGCAGGTGAGCGTGGCGAGGCCTCACCCACAGAGGAGATGTCCGTGAAGTGGTCGTCCCCCTCCTCGGCCTGCATCAAGTCGTCCCGGCTGTTGATCACCGCTGCCCGTCGCATGGCTGAGTGGCACGACAGCACCGCGGGTTAGAGGGCTAGCGGGTTAGCGGGCTAGCGGGTTAGAGGGCTAGCGGGCTAGCAGATTAGCGGGCTAGCGGGTTAGCGGGTTAGAGGGCTAGCGGGTTAGCGGGTTAGCGGGTTAGAGGGCTAGCGGGTTAGAGGGCTAGCGGGTTAGCGGGTTAGAGGGCTAGCGGGTTAGCGGGTTAGAGGGTTAGAGGGCTAGCGGGTTAGCGGGTTAGCGGGCTAGCGGGTTAGAGGGCTAGCGGGTTAGAGGGCTAGCGGGTTAGAGGGCTAGCGGGTTAGCGGGTTAGAGGGCTAGCGGGTTAGAGGGCTAGCGGGTTAGAGGGCTAGCGGGTTAGAGGGCTAGTGGGTTAGCGGGTTAGCGGGCTAGCGGGTTAGAGGGCTAGCGGGTTAGCGGGTTAGAGGGTTAGAGGGCTAGCGGGTTAGCGGGTTAGCGGGTTAGAGGGCTAGCGGGTTAGAGGGCTAGCGGGTTAGAGGGCTAGCGGGTTAGCGGGTTAGCGGACTAGCGGGTTAGCGGGTTAGAGGGCTAGCGGGTTAGAGGGCTAGCGGGTTAGCGGGCTAGCGGGTTAGCGGGCTAGCGGGCTAGCGGGTTAGAGGGCTAGCGGGTTAGAGGGCTAGCGGGTTAGAGGGCTAGCGGGTTAGCGGGCACGGCTGTGCCCCACACACACGCCCAGGCTGCGTCCTGGGCTGTCCCACGCGAGAAAGAAAAAAGAGAGACTTTAAGGTCGCAGTGCGGCGCTGTCGCGATCGCTCACCCTCGATGGCCGACTTGTCGTCCGCACTGCGGTCCTCTTCGGCCAAGAGGACCTCCTCTGAGACGCAGATGTGGAGAGACGCAGAGACGCACGGACATACAGACACGGCGACACGGACATGTGGACACACGGAGACACACAAACACAGAGACACCACTCCAGGATTTTACCACTCCGTAGCAGCTTTGCAGATCCACTCCATGATTCCAGACCCACTCTAAGCTCTAAGATCCACTCCAGGTTCTGAGACCCACTCCAGGCTCTGGGCTCCACCCCGGGATTTCCCCAATCCGTACCAGCCTTGCAGATCCACTCCAGGTATCCGTTTAACTCGCGCTCGATCTGCTGCTGCCGGCGCAGACGCAGGAACTCGCGGCGATTCTCCACGCGCTCGCGCTCCTTCGCAAACTCCCTAGGTCCAGCGAGGAGGTGGGGTCAGAGGGCAGGTGGGGTCAGAGGGCAAGTGGGGTCAGAGGGCAGGTGGGGTCAGAGGGCAGGTGGAGTCAGCGGGCAGGTGGGGTCATCGGGCAGGTGAGGTCAGCGGGGAGATGGGGTTACAGTTAAATACCAGGATACAGGAATTGGGGTGGTGACAGTGATGGTGGTGATGGTGATTACTGTGCTGATGGTAGTCGTGGTGGTGGTGTTGGTGTTCATGGCGGTGGTAGTGGTGGTGGTGATTGATGACATTCATTCTGCTCGGCCTGCTGTGCGTTATTCCACTCCAGCAAGGCCTCCATGTGTCCCCGTCTCACTCTCCCAGGGGGTCCCGGACAGACGGCTGCGAAACGAAAATCAGTTTCCACGGCAATCGCTCCGAGCCGAGCCGCCAATTAACTCCCCCACCGACGTTAGCCGTGGCCGGGAATCAAACTCGGGCGGGCTCGCGGCAGCTGGGCGCACGAACCCCCATGCCACCGCTCCGCTCGCCGCCCGTGATCGCCCGGAGAGGACCGCTTTGTCGGGATCAGAGGGCGCGCTATAAATCCGGCGAGAGCACGACTTCTCTAAACCATTCCTCGCATCTTCCTCGATTACTCTCCCCGCGCCTTCCTGCACTCTCTCCGCAAACTCTGCCGACAGGGAGCCCTTCCACCACCCCGGAACCCTCGGGGCCTGACCCCTGCACCCCACCCCCGGCTGCCCCCCCTCCTGCCCCTTCCCACCACAGACCAAAGCGCGGAGCTGAGATTTCTCTCTAATTGGCGACGTGGTGCGAAGGCGGTTCACACAAATGGAGGGGTGGGGATGCGGGGGTCAAATGGGGGTCACTTTAATTGGCTGCTTTGGAAATCGCTAACGTGGATTAGTCCATACACCACGCACCCTCTCTGTGGGGGGCAGCCGTCGCCCCCCCCCCCCCCCCCCCGGGATGCGTGTTGGGGGAGAAGGGGGGTGGGGTGTAGAGCAGGGGGAGATTCCCATGGGATCACCCCTCTCCCGCTCCCCCAATCACCGTGGGCTGGGTTTAGCGTCGTGGAGATGAGCCACGACTTTGGCTCGCTCGTTAATGGATTCTCGTCAATTCCTCTTTGTGGTGACGTCACCGCGGGGCGTAGGAGCCGAGACAGCCACCACAGCACAGCCGGCTCACCACTCACACTCACCACTCACACTCACCACACACACTCACCACTCACACTCACCACTCACACTCACCACTCACCACGTGCACTCACCACTCGCACTCACCACTCACACTCACCACTCACCACTTACACTCACCACTCACACTCACCACCTGTACTCACCACTCACACTCACAGTCACCACTCACACTCACCACTCACACTCACCACTCACCACCTGTACTCACCACTCACACTCACCACTCACCACCTGCACTCACCACTCACACTCACCACTCACCACTCACACTCCTCACTCACCACCTGCACTCACCACTCGCACTCACCACTCACCACCTGCACTCACCACTCACACTCACCACTCGCACTCACCACTCGCACTCACCACTCACACTCACCACTCACCACTCGCACTCACCACTCACCACCTGCACTCACCACTCACACTCACCACTCACCACCTGCACTCACCACTCACACTCACCACCTGCACTCACCACTCACACTCACCACTCACACTCACCACTCACCACCTGCACTCACCACTCACCACTCACACTCACCACTCACCACCTGCACTCACCACTCACCACTGACCACACACACTCACCACTCACCACACACACTCACCACCTGCACTCACCACTCACACTCACCACCTGCACTCACCACTCACACTCACCACTCACACTCACCACTCACCACCTGCACTCACCACTCACACTCACCACTCACCACTCACCACCTGCACTCACCACTCACCACTGACCACACACACTCACCACTCACCACACACACTCACCACCTGCACTCACCACACGCACTCACCACTCACACTCACCACTCACCACCTGCACTCACCACTCACACTCACCACTCACACTCGCCACACACACTCACCACCTGCACTCACCACCTGCACTCACCACTCACCACCTGCACTCACCACTCACCACTTACACTCACCACTCACCACCTGCACTCACCACTCACACTCACCACACACACTCACCACACACACTCACCACCTGCACTCACCACACACCACCTGCACTCACCACTCACCACACACACTCACCACTCACCACACACACTCACCACCTGCACTCACCACACACACTCACCACCTGCACTCACCACTCACCACCAGCACTCACCACTGACCACTCACCACCTGGACTCACCACTCACCACCTGCACTCACCACTCACCACCTGCACTCACCACTCATCACCTGCACTCACCACTCACAAACACTCACTACTCACACTCACCAGCACTCACCACACACAAACACTCACACTCACCAAACACACTCACCACTCACACTCACCACTCACCACCAGCACTCACCATTCACAAACACTCACCACTCGCACTCACCAGCACTCACCACTCACCAGCACTCACCACTCACAAACGCTCACACTCACCACTCACACTCACCACTCACACTCACCACTCACAAACACTCACCACTCGCACTCACCAGCACTCACCACTCACCAGCACTCACCACTCACAAACACTCACACTCACCACTCGCACTCACCAGCACTCACCACTCACAAACACTCACACAGCATACAGTGAACGGGTGTGACTTGAGCGTGTGAGTTATGGAGTGGTGAGTGTGTGAGTTATGGAGTGGTGAGTATGTGAGTTATGGAGTGGTGAGTGTGTGAGTTATGGAATGGTGAGCGTGTGAGTTATGGAGTGGTGAGTGTGTGAGTTATGGAGTGGTGAGTGTGTGAGTTATGGAGTGGTGAGTGTGTGAGTTATGGAGTGGTGAGTGTGTGAGTTATGGAGTGGTGAGTGTGTGAGTTATGGAGTGGTGAGTGTGTGAGTTATGGAGTGGTGAGTGTGTGAGTTATGGAGTGGTGAGTGTGTGAGTTATAGAGTGGTGAGTGTGTGAATTATGGAGTGGTGAGTGTGTGAGTTATGGAGTGGTGAGTGTGTGAGTTATGGAGTGGTGAGTGTGTGAGTTATGGAGTGGTGAGTGTGTGAGTTATGGAGTGGTGAGTGTGTGAATTATGGAGTGGTGAGTGTGTGAGTTATGGAGTGGTGAGTGTGTGAGTTATGGAGTGGTGAGTGTGTGAGTTATGGAGTGATGAATGTGTGATTGTGAGTGAGTGATTGAGTGGACGAGTGAGTGACCGAGTGACTGCACTTTATGCGACTAAGTTGCTAACTGAGTAATTAAACAGCTGAGTGACTGAGTGATGTAAATTGTACATTTAAAAGTGGTGCACATTCTAATGATGTTCGCAGAGGGCTATTGGGCTGACATTTGGCTCAGATATATTGGTGCCTGTGCCTCAATCGTGACTCGTGGTGTATCCCCGGCTGGATGAATGTCCCGTGATCCGTCGGCAAGCTCATCCGTCTGGCCACGTGACCGGGGAGGGCATTCAGGGCACGGCCGAACTGTGGAGGGCACGGCCACGCAGCGATGTGTGGGGTACGGTGGGGGGCAGTGGGGGGGGGGGGGGGGCACTCACCCTGAGAGGACTCCCAGCACGAGGTTGAGCATGAAGAAGGAGCCGATGATGATGAGAGGGACAAAGTAGAGCCAGTTCCACGCCGTGCCGTACGCGTCATTAGTCTGGGGAGGGAGAGATGGGAGGGGGGGAGATGGGAGGGGAGATGGGGGGGATGGGGGGGGGGAGATGGGAGGGGAGAGATGGGGGGGGAGATGGGAGGGGGAGATGGGAGGGGGGGAGATGGGAGGGGAGATGGGGGGATGGAGGGGGGGAGATGGGAGGGGGGGAGATGGGAGGGGAAATGGGGGGAGATGGGAGGGGGGAGATGGGGGGGAGATGGGAGGGAGATGAGAGGGGGGAGATGGGGGGGGGAGATAGGATTCACGTTGCCCGCGGCGCTACTCTGCTGTCAGCAGCACTCTGCACCACTCTGCACCAAGACGGGGTTCGCGCGTTGCTGTTGGGTTTGGGGTCAGGAGTTGGGATGGCGTTGGGCCCAGGCGGTTTGTTAAACCCCCCCCCGGGCCCCCCCCCCCACCCCCGGGCCCCCCCCCCCCCCCTGGGCCCCCCCCCGGGCCCCCCCCCCCCCCCGGGCCCCCCCCCCCCCCCCCCCCGGGCCCCCTCTCCCACCCGCGCCCCCTCTCACCCCCGCGCCCCCTCTCACCCCCGCGCCCCCTCTCCCCCCCGCCACTTTGGGACATCTGTGGGGGCAGCCCCCTCCGCGTCAGCTGTGCGTGACGGCGATTTGTGCTCTCCACAGCGTGCGTAGGTCGACTCGGCCTCAAATGAGTACCTGGTGCGGTGTGGTGCTGGCCTCCCACCCCCTCGTGCGCTGTGCAGGCCTTCATAGGTGCTCACTAACAACACTTGCCCCAATAGTTTGTTAAGACTATAGGGGGAATCTGTGTCTTTATAAGTGCACATGAATGTGTGTTAGTGAAAGTGTGTGTTTGTGAGTGAAGGTGTGTGAGTGAATGTGTGTGTTTGTGAGTGAATGTGTGTGTTTGTGAGTTAATGTGTGTTTGAGTAAATGTGTGTGTTTGTGAGTGAATGTGTGTTTGTGAGTGAATGTGTGTGTGTTTGTGAGTGAATGTGTGTGTGTTTGTGAGTGAATGTGTGTGTGTTTGTGAGTGAATGTGTGTGTTTGTGAGTGAATGTGTGTTTGTGAGTGAATGTGTGTTTGTGAGTGAACATGTGTGTTTGTGAGTGAATGTGTGTTTGTGAGTGAATGTGTGTTTGTGAGTGAATGTGTATGTGTTTGTGAGTGAATGTGTGTGTTTGTGAGTGAATGTGTGTGAGTGAATGTGTGTGTGTTTGTTCGGCAAAACAACCCCCTACCTCCTCGCGGTGCCGGACGGGCAACTCTGTCGTGGACAGCGCTGTGGGGGGAGATCCAATTTTGATTGGCTCCTCCCCTCATGGCATATGTATCCACCACAGGGGCTAAACGGGGGCTCTGGACGGGTGCGAGGGGCTGGTAACCCCTCCACCTTCAATTAATTACCACGAAACTACGAATTAAACTTAAATATGTAACAACTAAGCTTGTGCCGGAGGCCCCGGGGGGCCAGGCGTCTATGACGTCTCCTGGCCAAACCCCAATTGGCGGAGCCAGGAGATTGAATACCTACCCTCGGGGCTACTCCAGAAACAACGAAAAGCCACTACGGTTGGCCACGTGGAATGTTCGAACGCTCACTGCAGAGGAGAGGCTGCCACTCCTCTGTCGGGAGCTGGACCGGTACCGCCTGGATCTATGCGGCATTCAGGAGGTCCGGTGGACCGGCTCTGGCTCCTGCCACCATGAGGGGTGGACAGTCCTCTACTCGGGGCAGCAGACTGCCAAACAACAGGGTGTGGGTCTTCTTTTGAACAAAAGAATGAAGGGGGCGTGGGAGCGTGGCGGTGAGGTGTGGGAAGCTGTAAGCCCCAGGCTACTTTGGGCTCGCCTTCCCATCAACCGGAGGCGAGGAATGGTGGTCGTGGTTACTTATGCCCCCACCGAAGATGAACATCCGTGGAGGGATGCAGGCAAAGCCGATGAGTCAGATGCCTTCTATGACCTCCTGTCACAGGTGCTGGCTAAAGTGGCCCCTCGGGATAGAGTCATCATGTTGGGTGACTTCAATGCCCGAGTTGGTCATGATACTGGCACCTGGCCTGGAGTGATTGGAGGGCATGGGCCAGATCAGCTCAATAACAACGGTAGGAGGCTGCTAGATTTTTGTGCAGCCCATGGGCTTGTAATTACCAACACGCTGTTCCGGCATCGGCGCATCCACACAACATCATGGATGCATGCCGGGTCCAAGCAAGAACATCTGCTGGACTACATAGTGACGGACCAGCGAATGCGAGCCCATGTCCTTGACACCAGGACCTACCGTGGAGCTGATCTGCCCTCTGACCATCGACTAGTCATCTGTAAGATGCGCCTGCCATTCTTCCACTCCGGTGGTGGGTGTACACCCAGGACCCCATTCCAACCTAAAGTGGCCTGGTCTCAGTTATCTGATGAAAGTTGCAAACGAGAATTTCATCATCGCTTGCGGCTGGGATTGGCATCGTCCCCGACTCCTCCTGATGTCGAGGGTAAATGGGCGAGGTTTAGGACTGTGACTCATGCAGCTGCAATGGCTGCTTTGGGTACGCGGTCCAGACCTCCCCAGACACCCTGGATGACAGAGGAGTTGTTCACGATGGTTGAGAAAAAGCGACAGGCCCACTGTCATCGGCTACAGAGTCCCACGTCAGAGAATGAGGAGGCTTACCGCAGCCTTCGCTCGGAGGTTCGGAGAGCCGTGAGGCGCTGCAAGGATGGGTGGTGGTCGCGGGTTGCTGAGGAGATGGAGTCTGCCTCAGTGGCCCGTGATCACAAATCTCTATTTAACTCCATCAAAAAAGTAACCTGCAGCGCCACACCTATTACCATCATTAGGGGAAAAAAAAGGCGATCCAATTTCCGACCCCCAGGAACAGGTTCGCAGATTTGCTGAGCATTTCTGTGAGGTCCTGGGGGAGGGAAAATCCCTCAGCCAGGAAAACATCGTGGCACAAAGTGAGGATGACCCTGCTGAGGCTGCGGTGCCTCAAATATTGGATGAAGTCACCCCCTGTGAGCGGCTGGCTGAGGTGCCATCTGCTGAGGAAGTATTGAAGGCGATCCGGAGTCTGAGACCAGGAAAGGCAGCGGGCAGAGACGATCTTCCAAGCGAAATGCTGAGGGAGGGTGGCGTTTGTGCACAGACTGCCCTATATGACATCATAACAACAGTCTGGACCACTGGACGGGTTCCGCAGGATTGGAAGGATGCCCTGGTGGTCCCCCTTTTTAAGAAGGGGGACCGCACAGACTGTAACAACTACAGGGGCATCTCACTCCTCAGTGTGCCGGGAAAGGTCCTGGCAAGGATTATTCAGCATCGCCTTGCCAGGCACGCTGAGGAGAGGCTTGCGGAGCCCCAATGCGGTTTCAGGAAAGGGCGGTCCTGCACAGATGCCATATTTTCTGTCCGTCTGCTACAGCAGAGGTGTAGGGAATTCCAACAAGACCTACATCTCTGCTTTATTGACCTGGTCAAGGCCTATGATACCATCAGTAGGCCTGGGCTCTGGGTCGTTCTTCGTGCTTTTGGAGTACCTGACCCTCTGCTCACGATCATTAAGGACCTTCATGATGGTGAGCGGGCCCGGGTAAAACTACGTGGCCGGGAGTCAGAGCCATTCCCTGTACACCTTGGGGTGCGACAGGGATGTCCTCTGGCTCCCACATTATTTAACATCTATTTTGACCACGTAGTTCGTGAAGCCTTCAATAGCTGTACCGGGGGAATCTCCATATGGTACAGATATAATGGGAGGCTAATCGATGCCCGGGTGCGGTCAAGGGATGGCTCCCTATTGCTCAACCACGTTATGTATGCTGATGACTTGGTAATAGCTGCTCAGTCAGAGGAGGAGTTGGAGACGCTGCTGCTGAGACTGGAGCGTGCCACTAAGAGGTGGGGCCTTACCATCAGCCCCACCAAAACCAAGCACCTGCCTGGGTATTTTGTACCATCGGACACTCCACCCCCACAACTCCCAATCGGTGATGGGGCAGTTGTGGAGAGAGTGGAGAGTTTCCCATACCTGGGCAGTGTGCTTATGACTGGCACCAGTTTAACAGCAGAGGTCTCACTCCGAATCAGTCGAGCGGCAATATCTTTTCATCGGTTGCGTAACGCTGTGTGGAAGCTACCTGGTCTGTCGCTCCGCACTAAGCTTCAGGTCTTCTCGGCCACGGTCATTCCCTCCCTTCTCTACGCTTGCGAAACGTGGACCCCCCTAATGGAACATCTTCGCCGGTTAGAAACATTTAGGCTGGCCTGCCTACGATCCATCCTGGGTTTAACCAGACTGGATTGTGTGAGGAGCTCACAAATCCTTGAAAGATCTGGGCAGGGTCCCATCGGTGAGCTCCTCCGGCAGGCAAGGCTGCGATGGCTGGGTCATGTAGCCCGCATGCCCAGCCACCGCATGCCGAAACAGCTTTTGTTTGGCCGGATTGAGGGGGCTAAGCGGGCGCGGCACGGGCTAGAGAAGAGATGGAGTGATGTGGTACAGGAGGACGTGGAGCTGAGTGGACTTGCCGATGACTGGTACCAGCGGTGTCAAGATCGGCCTCTGTGGAGGAGGCTCGTGAAGGATGCTACTGGGCAGTTGGAGGCAGTCGCCCTCCAACAACAACGGAGGGCGGAGGAGCGACGCTCACAACAGCGAGCGGAGCGCCGGGTGGCTAAAGCACAGCAGGTTGGCACAGTAGGGGGCACAGGTGGTGCATCAGCCAGTCATCTCAGTCAGTCGACCCGTGGCACCTGGGTCTGCCCCGTGACCTCCTGCCAGCGGGCGTTCGACACTTCACGTGGCCTCAGGGTGCACATAGCCTGGCACAAGCGTCGTGGTGACGTCACCGCCACTTAGTGGCGAATGGCGGTTGTTGTTGTGTTTGTTAGTGAATGTGTTTGTGAGTGAATGTGTGTTTGTGAGTGAATGTGTGTGTGTTTGTGAGTGAATGTGTGTGTTTGTGAGTGAATGTGTGTGTGTTTGTGAGTGAATGTGTGTGTTTGTGAATTAATGTGTTTGTGAGTGAATGTGAGTGAGTGAATGTGTGTGTGTTTGTGAGTGAATGTGTGTGTGTTTGTGAATGAATGTGTGTGTTTGTGAGTTAATGTATGTGTGTGTTTGTGAGTGAATGCGTGTGTTTGTGAATGAATGTGTGTTTGTAAGTGAATGTGTGCGAGTGAATGTGTGCGTCTCTCTCTTTTGTCTGTCCCGGTCGTCATGGCTGCTGGCGAATAGCACTTTCCCCAACATCATATTCAGGCTATACGGGGAGTCTTTGTCTCTGTGTATTTGTCTATGAATCAGGCATAATGTTGAGAACTGCCCGGCAGGGAGAGGGAGCTCTTAGACACTCAGAGTGATGCACTCGATTAAATTACACACCAACAGTGCAAAGACAAAGATCCCCCGTGCAGCGTACTCAGGCTAGTGAGGCAAGTGCTGTTAGCGAATGGCACCAATGAAGGCGCGGTTGGAGTGGCCATCACCCCGCCAGGTCACCTTTGTCTCCCCCGTCTGATCAAGTTTAAGACTCACACCGGCTGGAGTCTCTCTAACGGAGGCTCAGGACTGCTTCGGATATTGGCCACTGACGTTGGCCGTGGTCGCGATTTAAGCGCAGAGTTCCCTGCGCACTGCGCCACGGCTCCCCCCCCCCCCCACCCCCCCACACGTACACACACGTAGAGAGATAATACATACACACAGATAACACATACACCCTGTGTGCAGCACGTCCACTCTACATCTCTCACGCAATGACCACAGACACACAATGCACACGAGCAAGGCGAACCAAGCCGCACACAACCCTGCTCCCCCTCCCTCTCCATCCCTCCAACTCCTCACTGCCCATGTATCTCCCCCCCTGCCTCTCTCATTCTCCCTTGCCCCCCACACCCCACCCCCGATTTCTCTCTCTCCCTCCCCCATTTCGCCCCTCGCTCCATTTTTCCCCCTCCCTCGCTCCCTCCCCAATTTCCCCCCCCCCTCCCACATTTCCCCCCCCCCCTCCCTCCCACATTTCCCCCCCCCTCCCTCCCACATTTCCCCCCCTCCCTCCCACATTTCCCCCCTCCCTCCCTCCCACATTTCTTCCTCCCTCTCCCGCAGAGGTGCTGGATGAGCCTCTCTAATTCGCGCCGCTCCACGTGTTGGGCACGAGTCGTGCGGGAAACCACGTGGTTCAACACCCCCCTCCGCCCCCCGCCCCACCAACCCCTCTCACCCGCCCCCCCATTCCCACGTTAATCTCCACTCACTGCCAATAATCGGTGACCCTGACAGTGACCCCGGCACCCCGCGGTGAGGCTTGGGGCTGCCTGAATGACGTCACGCGTTCTTCCCAATGTCCACGGATCGATGTGGAGGCGAGTCAGGGAGTGGATATCTCACTTCATGGACAATAATGCACGCGCACACAAAGGCGCAGATGTCCCGTGTAGCCTCAACAGGCTCTTGGGGAAAGTTGTTTCAGTTTCATTTATTAGTGCTGTTATGAAAGCCGATAACGGCACACGAGGGGGTGGAGTGGCAAATTCCACGCCCGGCCGTCTTTGTCTCACTAGCGGCGATGTTTACACAGCGCACGAGGTACTCGTGCGAGGCCGAGCCGACCTAGGGGAGTCCCCGGCCGATTCAGTTAATCATCCCGAATGTTGGCCGTGAGCGGGAATCGAACTCTGGTGCCCGGGTTCGTAGCGCAACGCTCACCGCTGCAAGACCGTGCCCAGCACTGTACACAGATACAGTGATAAAGACCCCTCGTGTAGGCCACACATGGCGCTGGGTAAAGTGTTCATCGCGAGCACACGGGGATTGGGCACGGTGCACGAGGAGGTGCGGGCTGTGGCCGCCATACCAACGCCCGACCGCCTTTGTCTTATCCAGTGCTGATGTTCATCACACATCGTTTCAGATTATTAAACTCGTCACTGATGCTGGTGGCCGTGAGCGGGAATTATAATTCTGTCGCGATGCAATAACCACTGTGCCACCACTCCGCTACTCGAACCACCACTACCATCATCACCACCAACAACAACCGCCATTCGCCACTAAGTGGCGGTGACGACGTCACCACGACGCTTGTGCCAGGCTATGTGCACCTTGAGGCCACGTGAAGTGTCGAACACCCGCTGGCAGGAGGTCACGGGGCAGACCCAGGTGCCACGGGTCGACTGACTGAGATGACTGGCTGATGCACCACCTGTGCCCCCTACTGTGCCAACTTGCTGTGCGTTAGCCACCCGGCACTCCGCTCGTTGTTGTGAGCGTCGCTCCTCCGCCCTCCGTTGTTGTTGGAGGGCGACTACCTCCAACTGCCCAGTAGCATCCTTCACGAGCCTCCTCCACAGAGGCCGATCTTGACACCGCTGGTACCAGTCATCGGCAAGTCCACTCAGCTCCACGTCCTCCTGTACCACGTCACTCCATCTCTTCTCTAGCCCGTGCCGCGCCCGTCTAGCCCCCTCGATCCGGCCGAACAAAAGCTGTTTCGGCATGCGGTGGCTGGGCATGCGGGCTACATGACCCAGCCATCGCAGCCTTGCCTGCCGGAGGAGCTCACCGATGGGACCGTGCCCAGATCTTTTAAGGATTTATGAGCTCCTCACGCAATCCAGCCTGGTTAAACCCAGGATGGATCGTAGGCAGGCTAGCCTAAATGTTTCTAACCGGCGAAGATGTTCCACCACCATCACGACCATCACCGCCATTATCACCACCGCTAACGTCAACGCCCCCCAATCCATTTAAGAAACCATCTTGTGGCATGAAACTGCACACCAGCCAATCTCCACATCTCCATCATCATCACCACCGCCGCCACCAACCAGCATAACCGCCACCCGCCACCATAATGTACGTATGTTGGACTTCTTTCGCACCGTACATAGCCAATCAATCGTGCTAATCGAAGCATCATAATTACCGCCATCATCACCATCATCATTGCATTGCCACAATTATCCACGGCGACGAATGGGCGCGGGAGGGGGCGGTGGGGGGGCCCACGTGCCTCATCAGTCGCGGACGTGCTAATTGCTTTGAGTTTAAAATTGCGGTAATAGGCGCGCTCTGGCTGTGGCATCTCGACTGGCAGTCCCCCCCCCCCCCAGCCTCGCCCTCACCGCCCCCTTTCTCCACCCCTCCCCCCTGCCCCTTACCCCCCTAGCCCCCCCCCCACCCGGATTGTCAGCCCGAATTATAATTAACAGCCACTTGGGGGGGGGGGGGGGGGGCGGGGGGGTCGACGTGGCGCGCGACGCGGGAATTTACACGTGGGCATGGACAGCGATGACGCGGCGGCGGTGGTGGACGTGGATGGCCCCGTGATGGTTCTCAATCGTCATCAGCGGTGATTATAATTGGGTTGAGTGGCTAGCGCGGACAGGTAATTGTCCCTCAGGTTTGTGTTTTACTACACTCCCGATTACAAGCTGCACCCATTAAGGTTTACCTCCACCGAGCGTCATCGTTACGCCCACGCAGAAAACTACACAAAAAATTTATATACCGCGTCATCACCACGACGCCCACATGCACCCGTTTCTAAAGTGTACCCAACCACGTTTATTTCCAATGTGTACCTAATCATAACAACCGCATCTCATACTCATTGCCAAAGTGTACCCAAACACCACAACCACATCCCACGCTTATTTCCAAAGTGTACCCAAAAAAAGTGATAGCCCACCATGATTGGCAAATGTTAAATCTGGACACGGGAGGGAGGGAGGGAGAGTAAAACACACACAACGAAAGCGGATTGCAGATTGATTCTCCGCGGAGAGGAGATATCATTAAAGGATGAGAAGGAACGAGGGGGATGTGCAGTGAGTGCTGTGGACTGAGCGACTCGGCCTGCGATGTCGGGGCCAATGTGTAGAATAATTGCGTCCGCTTGGGTCTAAAGGTTATCGCCGAATGTGGCTGTTGTGTGACGAGCGTGGGGGGGGGGGGAGGCGATCGTGTTGGGCTGGAGGAGCGGATGATGTCGAATTTGGTTTGAGGGGGGGGGGGGGGGGGCGTTCCAACATGGAGATAGGGGGAGACACAGAGATACACACAGACACGGAGATGGACACATGTACCCAGAGACAGGGTGAGAGACAGAGACAGGGCGAAGACAGCCAGCGGGTGGAAATTCCACATTCCCATGGCAGCAACAACAATGACGACCCACGCACACGTCAACTTAACACTCCTCGCCTCGCTCTCACTCGCCACGCCGCCCCGACCGTCATCCTCGAGGCAGAATCCCCTCTCTGTGAGCGGCGGGGTCCTGGCGGGACTCACGGCGTACAGCACGTCGGTCCAGCCCTCCATGGTGATGCACTGGAAGACGGTGAGCACGGCGAAGAAGATGTTGTCGAACTGCGTGATGCCGTCGTTGGGGCCGGCCCAGTAGAGGCGGCATTCCGTGACGTTCTCGTGGCAGATCCGCGCCGTGCTGTCCGTGCCGCACGGCTGCTGCCCGAGCTGCTCCCCTACACGCACAGCGCGCCCACCCGTCAAGGCGGCAACCTCCCCACCCCACCCACCCCAACTACAGCCTCCACACACACACGCAAACCTCGACAGGCAACAGACACACACCTTACAGGCAACAGACACGCACCCCTACAGGCAACAGACACGCACCCCTACAGGCAACAGACACGCACCCCTACAGGCAACAGACACACCCCCCTACAGGCAGCTCACACCCCCCTACAGGCAACAGACACACGCCCTACAGGCAACAGACACACACCCCTACAGGCAACAGACACACCCCCCTACAGGCAACAGACGCACACCCCTACAGGCAACAGACACACCCCCCCCCCCCTACAGGCAACAGACACACCCCCCTACAGGCAGCTCACACCCCCCTACAGGCAACAGACACACACCCTACAGGCAACAGACACACACCCCCTACAGGCAACAGACACACACCCCTACAGGCAACAGACACACACCTTACAGGCAACACACACGCACACCCCTACAGGCAACAGACACACACCCCTACAGGCAACAGACACACACCCCTACAGGCAACAGACACACACCCTACAGGCAACACACACACACCCTACAGGCAACACACACACCTACAGCCGACACACACACATCTACAGCCGACATACACACACATCTACAGCCGACATACACACGTACAGGAAACACACACACAACTACAGGCAACACAACACATTCCATAAGGAACACATACATACAAATGGAGAGACAACACACACAGCTACAGGCAACACACACAGCTACAGACAACACACACAGCTACAGGCAGCACACACTGACAGTGGAGCCTAGGATGGAAGTGGGCCCCAGGAAGGATTGGTCCCCCGGAGAGAGAGTGAGTCTCTTTGAGAATGGACCACTGGATTTATTTTCTATATTCTTTTCTGATTCGGATTTATATAACGCCCTTTCCAGAGCACTTTAAAATGCAATCCGACGGCGTTCAGTGAGAGAGGTGATGGAATGGATGGAGGGACAAGGGCTGGGAATGGAGCTAATGTTGCTGGGGTTATGTAAGGCGGAATAAGGTGGCATGTAATGGCGAGTGCGGGTGTCTGATGGGTGCAGCGTGGATGAGAGGTGGCGAGGTATGGGGCACGCGTGTGGAGTGGTGAAATGGGCACGGATGAGGATCGGTGGAGGGTGGTAGGGGCAGGGCTCTGGAGTATTGATGAATCCCTAATGGCATTGGGGCCCGGAGTGAGCGTGATCTCCGTGCCTGTGGCGTTGTTGAAGCACGTCATGTGGAGGTTGTCCCCCTTGTAGAACTCGAGGCCCACGATGGCGAACATGAGGATGGCGAAGAACAGGAGCATTCCGATCTGCAGGAGCGGCACCATGGCCTTCATGATGGACTTCAGCACCACCTGCAGGCCTGGGGGGCATGGGAGGGGGGGCATGGGAGGGGGGGCATGGGAGGGGGGGCATGGGAGGGGGGCATTGGGTGGAGGGATCGAGGGAAGGGGAGGGAGGTGTCACGGGGTTCATGGTGGAAGGGGATGTGGCGAGGGAGAATGTGAGTGAGGGAGAGGTGGGGGCCATGGGGGGTGAGGGTGGGTGGCACGGGTCACGAGGGGACAGGGGGGGGCGCACGTACAAGTCGTGGGGGGCACCAACGGGTGAGTCATGTTTGGTGTCCGTGTGTACACACACATTAAGTATGTGTACACAGTGTGTGTGTTATGTACATAGCGCGCGTATATATATATTGTATTCCCATTATAAATATACTCGGGTTGTATTATTGCGGCGAATATTGTTTTTGGTGACTCCGAGTAGCCCACGGGCGTCGCGAGAGGTGCCCTGGAGGTGGTGTGCCGGGGGCGTGGGGCGCTCACTGGGGATGCCGGACACGAGCTTGAGCGGCCTCAGGACGCGCACGGCACGGAGCGTCCTCAGGTCGAAGCTTCCCCCCAACATGGAGAGGATCCTGCGGGACACGGGGACAACACAGGAAGATGGGGACAGAGGGAGACAGGGAGACAGGAAGACGGAGACACAGGAATATGGGGACAGAGGGAGACAGGGACACATTGAGACGGGGACACAGGGAGACGGGGAGACGGGGAGAGAGGGAGGGAGACAAGGAGACGGGGGACAGGGAGATAGAAGTCAAAAGAGAGACAGGTCTGGTCAGGTGGAAGTGAAAGGTCATGTGACGCGGGTGACACGACACACAAAGACAAAGATCTCCCTTGTGGCCTCAACACACCGTTGGAGCAAGTGCTGTTAAGGGCGACACGGCACACGAGGGGGTGGGTGGCCAGCACCACGCCTTGGCACCACCCTCTGTGTCTCCCCAGTGGCGATGTTTACACTCCGCACGAGGTCCTCATTGAGGCTGAGTCGACCGAGTGAACCGGTTCAGATAATCGTCACTGGTGTTGGCCGTGAGCGGGAATTGAACTCAGGTCGCCGGATTCGTAGCGCAGCGCGCTAACCGCTACATTACCGCTCCCCATACACACACACGCTTAGTAGGGATTATCGGCGTAAGGCACTACCACGAGAGTGCAAGGAACGCCTATCCGTGATAATCCTGTATTAACCCTATAAACGTGTGAACAGCTTCAGGACTTCTGGACCAAGCCGCGATGGATGTGACCGACGAAATGGTTCCCGGTGCAGCAGCGGTCGGGACAGTGCGAGTGAGTTCACTGGAGGGAGGAGTGCACGTGGCTCCCGGTGCTACCCGCTCGGAGACCTCCATTCCATTCCCGATCACGACCAACACCAGCAACCGATTGAACCCCAGCTCGACTCGGCCTCAAATGAGTGCCCGGTGCGATGTGTCAGCATCTTCCGCAGGGAAAACAAAGGCGGCCGGGCATGGTGCTGGCCACCCACCCCCTCGTGTGTTGTTCCGGCCTTCATTGATGGTTGCTCACAGCACTTGCCCCTACAGTCTGAGGCTTCTAGGGGGGACCTTCGTCACAGCGATGTCGTCGTGATGGAGGTGATGATCATAGGTCGTGTCGCTGTGATGATGATGATTATGGTGGTGGTGATGGTGGTGATGGTGGTGGTGATGATGATGGTGGTGGTGGTGGTGATGGTGGTGATTATGGTGGTGGTGGTGATGGTGGTGGTGGTGGTGGTGATGGTGGTGATGGTGGTGATGGTGGTGATGATGGTGATGGTGGTGGTGATGGTGGTGGTGGTGGTGATGATGGTGGTGATGGTGGTGGTCGTCATGGTGGTGATGGTGGTGGTGTTGATGATGGTGGTGGTGATGGTGGTGATGATGGTGGTGGTGGTAGTGATCGTGGTGATGGTGGTGGTGGTGATGATGGTTCGAGTGTTACGACGATGGTAGTGGTGGTAGTGAATCCCGGCATTAATCTCGCCGGAGGGCGCGCGCTGGCGGATGCGTGATTTAATTAGAGCCACACAACTGCCGCACATCTCACGCGATGTGATCCACATCTCTCGCGATGTGATCCACATCTCTCGCGATGTGATCCACATCTCTCGCGATGTGATCCACATCTCTCGCGATGTGATCCACATCTCTCGCGATGTGATCCACATCTCTCGCGATGTGATCCACATCTCTCGCGATGTGATCCACATCTCACGCGATGTGATCCACATCTCACGCGATGTGATCCACATCTCACGCGATGTGATCCACATCTCACGCGATGTGATCCACATCTCACGCGATGTGATCCACATCTCACGCGATGTGATCCACATCTCTCGCGATGTGATCCACATCTCTCGCGATGTGATCCACATCTCTCGCGATGTGATCCACATCTCACGCGATGTGATCCACATCTCACGCGATGTGATCCACATCTCACGCGATGTGATCCACATCTCACGCGATGTGATCCACATCTCACGTGGGAATCTATTGTCCAGGCCGAACCGGACCCTCGCCGGACGCGAACGATCGAGTTCGCTCACCTCTCACGATCACGTTCGCTCACCTCTCACGTTTACACAGAGACAGACAAAGGTCCCCCGTGTAGCCTGCCAACACCGGTGTGGCACCTATGAAGGCCGGCAAAGGCACAGGAGGCGGTTGGTGGCCAGCACCAGGCCCGGCCGCCTTTGTCTCCTCAGTAGCGATGTTTTTACGCACCGCATCAGGTACTCATTTGAGGCTGAGTCGACCTAGGAGAGGCCCAGGCCCGGTTCAGATAATCGTCACAGATGTTGGTCGTGAGCGGGAATCGAACTGGGGTCGCCAGGTTCGTAGCGCAGCGTAGCGCTAACCGCGACACTACCGCCCCCCCCCCCCCCGACACTCACACAGACACAGACACCCACACACACAGACACCCACACACACAGACACACAGACACCCACACACACAGACACCCACACACACAGACACCCACACACACAGACACCCACACACACAGACACCCACACACACAGACACCCACACACACTCACAGACACCCATACACACAGACACACACACACAGACACCCACACACACAGACACAAAGATCACAACAAAGATCCCCCATATAGCCTTAACAGACTGTAGGGGCAAGTGCTGTTAGCGAGCACCTATGAAGGCCGGAACGGTACACGAGGGGGTGGGTGGCCAGCACCACGCCCGACCGCCTTTGTCTCCCTAGTGGCAATGTTTACACACCGCACCAGGTACTCATTTGAGGCTGAGTCGACCTAGGGGAGGCCTGGGACCGGTTCAGATAATCGTCACTGGTGTTGGCCGTGAGCGGGAATCGAACCCAGGTCGCCAGGTTCATAGCGCAGCGCGCTAACCGCTACACTGTCGCTCCCCACAGACACCCACACACAGACACCCACACACAGACACCCACACACACAGACACTCACACACACCCACACACAGACACCCACACACACAGAGACACTCACACGCAGACACGAGACACACACACACAGACACCCACACACACACCCACAGAGACACCCACACACACAAAGACACCCACACACACAGACACCCACACACGGAGAGACACCCACACACAGACACCCACACTCACACAGACACCCACACACACAGACACACACACCCACACACAGACACTCACACACAGACACCCACACACACACAGACACACACACACAGACACTCACACACAGACACCCACATACACAGAGACACACACTCACACACAGACACACACAGACACCCACACACACACAGACACCCACACTCACAGAGAAACCCACACACAGACACCCACACACAGGCACCCACACACAGGCACCCACACACACAGAGACACACACCCACACACAGACACCCACACACGACACACACACAAACACACTCACATCCACTAGCTCCCTCTCAGGCATCGCGCCCTGCGTGCTCTGTTATCGCGTCTGCACCCCCAGGGCTCCCATTTCTCGCGTCGCGGGGGGCGGGAGGAGCCCCCCCCCCTCCCTCCACCCCCAGGCAGTCGCAGACGCGGAGCTGCTGCGTCCATTAGGGGAGCGGGGTCGCTACATTCGGAGTGGCCCGTGGGGTCATTATAGCCCAGGGTGGGGGAGCAGGGGTTGGGGGGGCGAGTGTGGGGGGGCAGGGGTTGGGGGGCGAGTGTGGGGGGGCGAGGGTGGGAGGGGGCGAGGGTGGGATGGGCGAGGGTGGGGGGGGGGGCGAGGGTGGGGGGGGGGCGAGGGTGGGGGGGGGGGCGAGGGTGGGGGGGGGGCGAGGGTGGGGGGGGCGAGGGTGGGGGGGGGCGAGGGTGGGGGGGGGGGGCGAGGGTGGGGGGGGGGCGGGGGTGGGGGGGGGGCGAGGGTGGGGGGGGGGGGGGAGGGTGGGGGGGGGCGAGGGTGGGGGGGGGCGAGGGTGGGGGGCGAGGGTGGGGGGGGGCGAGGGTGGGGGGGGGCGAGGGTGGGGGGCAAGGGTGAGGGGGGGCGAGGGTGGGGGGGGCGAGGGTGGGGGGGGCGAGGGTGGGTGGGGCGAGGGTGGGGGGCGAGGGTGGGGGGGGGCGAGGGTGGGGGGGGGCGAGAGTGGGGGGGGCTTCTCGTCCGTACCGCGCGGTAATGGAGGCGAAAAATAGACGGGGAGGGAGAGAGCGGCCCAGGGTTTAAAATAATTCCCGGGTTTATTATGGCCTCAGTTTATTCATTATTAGTTTTATTTTTTTATTTCAAACTGAGCGGGGGTGAGGGGGGATTGGGGGGGGGGGGTGACTTTGATTGACGGAACCAGGAACGCGCAGGGATGCAGCGCGAGGAGAGCTCGCAGGAAATCAGCGGAATCATCCCTCGTCAAGATTGTGACATCACCAACACCATCAACACCGCCCTCTTCATCTCCACGGCCACTACCATCACCACCATCACCACCCCCCACCACCACCACCACCTCCTCCTCGTCTGTGCACCTTGTCGCTCGGGGTGCCTTCGCGTGGCCCCCCGCCCGCCCGCCCGGCCCCCTCCGGCATCAAAGTCAGATTTGCAAGTGAAGCGGAATAAATAAATAATGAATAAAATAGCTATGCGCGTGAAGCCCCTTGCGGGGAGGGGGGGGGAGAAACATTTGGCACGGATCGATCCCCGGTCCCACAACAACCTCACGAGAACGTTCTCACTCACCTTCCTCACACTCAGCGATTCCTCCATCCCTCCCTCCCCATCCCTCCCTCCTCATCCCTCCCCATCCCTCCCTCCTCATCTCCCCCTCCTCATCCCTCATCAGCCCTCCCTCCCCATCCCTCTCTCCCCATCCCTCCTCAGCCCTCCCTCCCCAGCCCTCCCCAGCCCTCCCTCCCCATCCCTCCCTCCCTCCCCAGCCCTCCCTCCCCAGCCCTCTCTCCCCATCCCTCCCTCCCCATCCCTCTCCCCCCATCCCTCCCTCCCCATCCCTCCCTCCCCAGCCCTCCCTCCCCATCCCTCCCTCCCCATCCCTCCCTCCCCAGCCCTCTCTCCTCATCCCTCCCTCCCCATCCCTCCCTCCCCAGCCC